CTTTGGCTGGCGACGCATTCGGCCAAGTTGGAGCGTTGCTACATCATCCATCTCCATTGGCACTGGCGCTGGCGGTGGTTGCTCCAGTATCTGCATCAAGAATGAGATGCCAGAGTGGCCATGGAATGGTACGCCTCTTTGCAAAGTGACGTCCCGATGCCATGCTACACATCTGAGGTTTGATAGTGGTGCCGTGCATGCATCATAGAGGCCAATCGCCTGAAGCAAATCGTCGAGCTGTATACGGTCTGGCATGGTGACAGCAAGCTGATGTACTTCAGGTTGTGGTTGGCGTGCATCAAAGCAGGATATGATTGCAGTTGTCCATTGAGGTTGTGGTCGTTGAACCAGAAGGATATGAGCAATCACTCGATGGTCAACGGTCGGTGGCTTCGGCGTAACCAGGTGAAAGTCCAGCTGAGTTCCAGGAACAATCATCTCTGACCAGACTTGCCAAATGCGCAATCGCCATTCTTGGATGGCTGGAAAGAGTTGTACTGCTCGTGGAGCATAGCAATGGGGTTCAGGCCAATGGTGGTCGACAAACCAGACCAAAACACTGCCAGAGCGCGGTTCATCTTCCCAAGCAAACGCCATCAACTCCCATAGCATGTAGAGGTCCTGAAGGAATTGATCTGGCGTGGCAGGGTCCCATTGAGGTACTGATTGCTCATTTGTTGTGGTGTCCCGCTGGTAGAAGTTGCCTTCTGCATGTCCATGCGGCAGGTTCAAACCAAGGGTACAGACAGGCAAATGCTGCTTCGGTTCCGTCAGTAAGTTCTCACCTGCAATGTTCACATCAATTTGAGTGGATGGGCTTTCAGGGACGTTCAAGCCTTGCATGAGGAGCATAACGTCGTCAGCGTCTACATCAGGAGGATCAACTGTGCGAGTCAGCTCATCAGATGCGGCAGGAAGGGTGGCTAGAGCAGGTTGAGCAGGAACATGGATCGTCAACCCAAGACCATCATGGACATGTACATCAAGCTCTGGTGGTAGTTCTTGTTGTCCATACCATACACTGCATTGAGGCATGTGGGCAGGAACATTGCATATGGTGCCGAAACCAGAGTCATCAATGATTTCCCTGTATGGAGTGATGGTAGTGGTCGATCTAGCCGTGTGCCATAGGCGCTGAGGAAAATGGTCGTCTGCCTTGACAGTGAGAACACATGCAACTCGATCAACAACAGGATGTTGGGTGATCAGAACTGTGGCAGCAGAGCCCTGGAAAACAGTTGTAGATGGGTTGGGGCTCACAATGTGCAGGTCAAAGGGGACCTCATTGTCGATGTAGTCTTCCCACATGAAGCGCGCACTTGCTTCCCATGTCTCATGATCAGTGTCAAACCTCAGATAGCGCGTCTGGGTGTTGCTGAGGACCCGCTCGTGTGAGATGTAGTACGATGTCACATATAGTACAGGCCCTTCTTCAGCCATTTCCACAGCACCATGGTCACGAAGCAAGTCCCACATCTCGTGGTACCAAATGGGCTGTTCAACACGAGGTGGTCGATCAGGAGGCAGAGATCCACTGTCACTGTCAGAGGAGGTGATGGTAGATGAGAAGTGGGTGTAGGGCTCGTTCATGCTGCACATAGTGGGGCTCTTCACAAATGGAGTACTTCCGGAGATGCACTTTGCCAAAATGGACTCAGGATCAACATCAGAAGTTTCCAGCGAAGTTCTCGAAGTGGTGAAAGTTTGGATCGTGGATGGATCATCGATATCATCAGTCGCATTTTCTTGGAAGGATGTCGAGCTAGAGTTGAGGCACATGAAGCCATCCTCGTGGTCTCCAATCTTGACCTGGAAGTAGTCGCCATCCTGAAGATACATGGGGCTGACTTGTCCTGCATCAACGAGAACATTATTGTACCATAGACGGCTGCGTTCAGGGTAAGCTTCAAGCAGGGAAGAAAGTCCCAGCAGGCGGAAAACAGAGACTCGATTGATCGTCTCAGGAAGCCACATTGCATACCGTCTAAAGGCCCCAGGGAGCACCTCATTGGGCTCAAAGATTTCGAGATCCACCAGCACAATCCGGACAAAGGTTGAAGGTCGAGGTTCAAGGCCTGTCTGAATCAATAGGCATTCTAGTCCTTGTTGAATCAGGTCGGATGGCCGATGCCTCACATGATGAGCTCCATATATCCCTTGTCCTTGGTCATCAAGTGCTCGTAGAATTTGTGGCACCAATTCTGCTCCGTCATTCCATGGGAGACGGGCTGGGAACATTCTGCCATCAAGGAGGATGAGGACAGTTTGGCGCCAATCAGATTGACTGCTCGTCGAACTCCCAGAAGATCTTGATGTGGATGAAGACGACGTAGTCGAAGTTTCATCTCGATATCTTGCAGACATGGGCTGCGTGGGTCGGCGAGCCATCATGGATGCTTCATCATGGTCTTGCTGTGGTTCCTTGGGATGTCGGGAACGGAGTCGCCAAGGTTTGTCATCAAATGCACGTAGGGAATCATGATGAATGGTAGCGGAGCAAAGGCCCAATTCATTGTCTTCTCCAATCAAAACTGTTACTTCATCATTGAATCGAACTCGATTAATGGAAGTAGGCTTGAACTTGGGCAGGGTGAACACGTCGACCTTCACTTGATCTGAAGCCCCTACTTCAGCAGCCAAGGTGGATGCATGCTCCTGTGCCTGCCATGTTGACAAGAAGTCTCGTTCCGTGAGGACTGAATGATTCCACTGGAGCTTGACAACATCAGGGTCAAGCTGCGGCCACTCAGAGGGCCTGTGGTGCGTATACACAGAGGTCATACGGCACCGGCCTTGCCAAAAGGCGGTTGAGCAGCTTGTGAGGCAGCAGTCTCGCCTTCGGTGGCTGAAGTGCGCGGCCGCTTGACACGCTGCTCGAGCTGGTCGGCTGATGTCGACAGCTCTTCGAGGCTTGTGACGATGGACGTCATACCCTGGTGGATCCTTTGCACGCTCTCGTTGTGGGGATCCTCCATGATGTCGTCGGTCACCTCCGCATCTTCCTCGTCGGAAACTTCGACTGTATCTTCTTTGCCAGTTTGTTCCTTCTTGGAGGCTTGATCGAATGCTCGCTGTGCTTTGCGCACTTCGAGTCTGGCAGCTTGAACACCTTGTTGATGGGCACTCTCGGACGCCTGGAAATTCGCAGTAAACTCCCGCCATTTCACCACGGATTGCTGCAAGAACGATCTCCATTGTGTCAAGAGCTGGGCTCGTGCATTCTCTGCTTCGAGCAGATCTTGCTTGGCATCTCCCAATGCCTTGACTGCAGATGACAAGTTCTTGATATTGTTCTTCTCTCCTTGTTTCTGCATCTCGTGGGCAATGGCCTGAAGATGAGGTGACAAATTGTCCTCTTCTTTCTTCATCTCCTTGAGGAGTCGATTCAGTTTCTGCTGCGCCGGTCCATCTGATCTGTACCCAGATGTAGGCTCTAAAGAGCTCGTCGCCGATGTAGGCAATGGTGCCGTGGGAAAAGCCATCATCTGTGCTTGAGGTCCCCAAGGCATCGCCGTCGTGTTCGATGTCATAGCTCCTGATGGTGCCGTTGGCATAGATGGCATCATCATAGGAGGATTCATTGCCTTTCCAGCACCCTTGTCGATCATAGGCGGTGGTAAAGGCGGTGGCATCATCTGCTGAGGGTACTGGGGCATTCCAGCTGGATATGGCATGAAAGGTGGCAAAGGTGTCTGTGCTGGTGCATAGTGCTCTCCTCCTTTGCCTTGCCCTTTTGGATGATTCGTATGATCTCCTGACTGCCACGTGCCGTTGCCTTTGCCCTTCTTGCGCCCTCGATTGGATGAACGCCTCGTGCGTGTCCTTGGGCTCCACGAGCCAGCATTGGAATCGTTCCATTGTTGTCCATCCCATGGAGGTTGTACTTGATGCTGATTGTAGGCCTGCTGATGTCGGCGATCTGGAGGAGTGAAGGAGGGATCGCTGCATTGTCCCCATTCTTGTCCACACTTCCAACATCTCGGGAAGGTGCCCTTCATCACTACATGGCAAGCCGCACAGCGCCAGGATGGTTGCTTGGACGTCATTGTGGCAGTAAAGGCCGCAAGGAGTGAACGCAAGAGTTGTGAATCTCTGGAGTGATGTTGATTCAATGTGTGGTACAGCCGCACAAGTTGGCGAGCAGTAAGGATGCGAAACCCTTTCCTGTGCAAATACCAGGCCAGTCTTGCCTGAGCTCGCTGTCGCCTTTGCGCCCTCCGAACAGTGGTAGTAGCCGTTGTCAGCTGTTCCAAAGGGAGGTTCACCACACTCAAAATCACTATTCACAAAGAGCAATGAGATGACGCAGGTGAGGAAATACAAAATGGTCATACACAGGAACAATGCCCTTATCCACCACGGAGAGGAAGTAGGCCAGGAAGAGCAAGAAGTCCAGTGCAGAGCCCGATCACGAGGTCAAACTCAGTGTACCCGGGATTGGTAACGCGGTCGGGACCGCAGCACGTGCACAGAGCGCAGGGCGAACCAGTTAACGCAGCTGCTGCACGGCAAGGCGAAGAAATTGCCCAACGCCCGCGGGTTGTCTTCACGAGACCCGCTAAGGTGAACGGCCGGGGGGAAAGGGGAACGTGACCCCACCTAAGCCGAAACCTTATATATATATATACATATATATATATATTATGATGTGCTATATCTCCATTTTGGTTGACCAACAATTTACGTCCTATTTGCACTATGTGCTACATCCAACATTAGGTATACCCCCAAATAGCAATCCTTACTGAGGAAAATGATGAGAATCCAGTCTGGAACTGGAATTGGAATGATGATCATTTCCCCTGTCTGAGGACAGTATATAGATAATAATGTCTATCAACAATCCCATAATATATACGTATATATATATATATGCAATATACATATATGTATATATATAATTATAACATATATATATGATTATGACTTATATATATACAGTATACACATGTAATATATTATACTATCCATTTCGGCTGGTCATATCCCCGACGCCCGAGGCAATCCTGGCCCTTCGTCCTGAAACTCTTCTGGGCCCCTCTGGTCGACTCGGTCTACGTTCGCAGCATCGGCCGGAGAAAGTGCTCCGGCTGGTGATTTGAGCCCCAAATCCTGGGGATGCTATGGTTAGCCATGTGGTACCCTCTGGTAAACTAACAAAGCTATTGAAAATGGTCCATTTAGTTCGTTGATTTTCCCATTAAAAATGGTGATTTTCCATAGTTATGTTAGTTTACCAGAGGGTAAAGCCAATAATAAAACATCCCCAGTTGGGATTTGGTGTTGGATATAGCCTTATTTCGAGAGATGTTATGGTTGGCAAATGGGCTTAGGGTTATAACATTAGTCAGAAATAGGGGATATTCCCTAACCTTCCAGTTACCTTTGGGACAGGTAACCACTTCAGTTAACTATGAGACAGGCAACCAAACATAGTTTCCGGAACCAAGGTTTGATGTAGTGATTGGAACCGTGACAAAACAGGTTGGAACCGTGACAAACCGCATTGGAACCGTGAAAATATATCTTGGAACCGTTAGAACATGAGTCGCACCGTGATAAACCAGTTGCTTCTATTTGTGGTTCCTCGCTGGCAGCCTGGTTCCTGTAAAAACCGTCGCCGAGGCCTAATTACCTATGCGAAAGGTTACCATTTACCAGGAAGACTAGGGTTACTGTATACAAAGGGGTCTTATATTAAACCATAGGCTCAGAACCGCTCTAGCTGCGATCCATGGTATGATCCTCCAAGTGGGGTTTAGGATGCGTTTTGTGGGGCCCCATGGGGCCCGCTAAAGTCCACTGGATCATTTTTTTTCCCTGTTAGAATTACCCCATGTGGAATTCGGAGACAGCATCAGATATGATATAGGTTTTTGCCCGTGTAACGCTGCCCATTTTTTCTGCCATTTCTCTTCGGTACGTACAGCAAGTCGTCTATTTGTGATTCCCTTGTTGCAGGGTTTGATACAAAGCAATAGAGTGGGTCCAGTGACCATTGACCAAAGTCATTATAGGGTATGATACTGCGTGATATCTGCGTGATATCTGCGTGATGTCTTGGGGATTCTTCTGACCTTTCAGCACCAAGCAACCCAACCTGTATGAAGCAATGACATTTTGGTACCCCACATCTGATACGGCCATAGCATTGGGGAGAACATTACCATTGTTTCATGATTAAATCCCGTTAAATTCCCATTTTTTTGATGGTTAGATCCCGTTAAATCCCCATTTTTGATGGTTAAATCCCATGAAATCCCCATTTTTGATGCTTAAATCCCCATTTTTCATGGTTAAATCATGTTAAACCCCACATGTTCACCATTTTGATTTGATCTGAGGACTTGGATGGTCCCATCGCAACTGATCATCGGAGTTCTGATGCTGTACACAGCGTCGCAATTGGAGAGCCTTCTTGGAGACGGAGACTCTACGAGGCGCAAAACGGTCAGGATGTTTTGTTGATATGTCTAGAACTATATGACATACCCAAGGATTTGATACATCTGAGGATTTCGATTTGGTTGATATTTGTTGATATACATACTATACCTGACTATTTGTTGATATTTGTTGATATTTGTTGATATACTGATATTTGTTTCTTGAAATAAGTGTTAGAATATACTGACGATACGTACTGACCCAGCATTTTTTGTTTCCGCTTGGCCGCTTCGCATCTAAAATTAGCGGTGAGTATGACAAGCGACGGGTGATGTTTAGATGCTGCAAGATGCAGCTTGGTATAGACATCGTACATGTCTGTATTATGTGTACAAAGCATGTGTTATACAGATATTATTGCATTCTTTCTATGGATACATTTGCACATATTAAATACATATTAAATACTTAAGACTTATATATCTTATATACTACATGTCATGTTGAACATTTGTCCAGATTGATTTGAAGGTTTCGTGCAGTACAGCCAGACCCGTCTTGGAAGGCCAGCCATCAAGACGTTGACAGCCCTCTTCTTGATGATCAATTTTCTTTGTGACACTTGGACGCAGCTCCAGCCATGGTGACGAGTGGATGGGGGCAATAGATGTGGTCGGTTGCGCCAAGTTTGTCAGCATGGGCATAGACTTGGAATCATATGGAGTCATATGGGGTCATATGATCTACATCATGCAGTTATACGTGTATACCATTCATGTATGACACACTGATATATATATAATTATATATATATACATGTGTAAGTAGCAGCCGAACAGGATCAGCTGACATCTCCCCTTGGAAACAGTGGAACTTCAGCTCACCTGGAGCTGCAGGGGCCCGTAGGAACCCAATATTTCGTAGGGAAATACCTATGGTGTCCGGTTAGGATTTTCCCTTTAAGCCGTTAAGCAATCCATCAATATGACTTCTGAAACCAACAGCATGATTCTGACATGGTAAAGTGTTGTTTTTCCATATTATAATTATAATTTTAGTTTTATTAGTAGATGTGCTATTACAAAGGAAAAATCAACATCATATATTATTTCGTACCATGCATTATTATGCTATAATTTGACATATATCAAATATTATAGTAGTACACCATGGTATTTTGGAACGTTGGGAAGTTCCGCATGAGGCGCCGCTTGACCCTGAGTCACACTGAGGCGACTCAAGATATCGCCGTGGATGGTTGGGCCTTGACCATGCTTCGGAAGGAGATGGCGGGGTGGGATATGGTCATGGGTTGATCTGCCAGGAGTGGAACACCATCAGTTTACTACCAATTTTGATAGGAATCGAATGCAACTGTTGACGTTTTTGGGGGTAACCGCTCCGATTTTTCTAATCAACAGAGTTGATTACTTGCAGGGTTGGCATTATGACTATGGCTTTGAATCTATTCTTGACCTGGTCCATCCCTCTATCCTTTGTTGGATCTGGGCAGTCTATGTTGCTACCCACAAGGACCTCCCCAGACTTGAGGGTTGGGAAACTGCCCTTCGAATTCGAAGTATTCCAGGAGTAGAACCATACATCCACTTAGCTGGATATTTCCATGTAGTGATTTCTGACCTTTGGGACTCTGGGACTCCTAAATCTTTTGTGAAGATGCTGTAAAGGTTTAAAGTTTAAAGAGGGGATTTGTTTGAGACAAGTCAAGTCAGGTGTTATGACAAGTCAAACCTGGTGTTGCGGATTTTCCAACGCCCAAAGAAACATTATATAACCGTATTTTTGAGGGGGATTTCCAGAATGCATCCAGTCGTTTTGACGTGTTTTTCCCGATGGCAGGAGAATTCCAATTATCAAGCCACCTGCAATGCGGCGGGCCAAACCTTTGGCTATGCCCTGGGAATCTTGGGCATTCGTTCGAGTTCCAAGATGTCGAGAAGAATTTGGGACTTGATGTATAAATATAACTACAAAATAAAGCAAGGGATTGTAAATGGACATACAATGATATACATATATGATTACAATACAATCAACACTTTAGAAACAGTCCATCTACATCCATTTGCAATACAATTTACATTTATGTACATCCTTGTACTTGGCAATAAAAGACATTTCAGAACATTAAACGCATTTGGGTTTGTTTGCAACTGGATTGCCCTCCAATTCCAAAGATTTCTCATCAGGTTTCAGGTTTGAATTGTATTTTGCCTCAGTTTGGGTCAAACCGATTTATTTGGGATTTACGTGGTTATGAGTCAAAACCTTGACATACGTGTTTTAATACCAAAATAGATGTGCATCTCCCCAAAACTGGAACTATGGCATAATCGATTTTGACCGATCCACTTACATCCATGTACTTATGTACTCGACATTTTAACACATGTTTAAGCTGTACATGTAAGAACATTACACATCCATTTGTCCACGGTCCACGGGATTTATGATGGGATTTACAGATGTTGAAACTCAGTTTGGGTCAACCCCTCCATTGATGCAAAAATATCTGGTTAAATCATGACGTGAAAGCGAGGCTTCACCGGTTTCACGGCGCTGGATCACTTCCAACTGCTGTCTTTGCCGGGCTTCATGTCCTCCTGCGGTATCTTCTTTATCGTCGCTAAAGTGGAAAGTGTGGGATTTCACCGGGATGGGCTACTAAAAAAAACTAAAAGAAATGGGGGATTTAACAAAGAACATGTGGAGACCATGACAATTTGGATTTGATCTTTGAAAATTGAATGAAAGTGGGGATTTCACAGGATTTGACCTCGAAAAATGGTGGAACGTGAACATCGGGGCAGAATTTAAGTATATGAAAACGATGCTGCATTTGAGTATTAAAACAAGGGAACTGGAAGTCTTAAACATGGGGAATTGATGATGAACATTTAGAGTTTAGGAAAGAACAAATTGAGACGCTTTTGAAAGCTGTTATTGAGTAGGTCTGAACATTGGGATTTTCGCTAGAAACAAATAAAGAATTCTAGAGATTATCAGCGATTTAAAAGTGCAAAAAACATGGAGGATCTATGGTACCCTATGGATCCAAGTGTCTTCTTAGGAAGTACTTGGGGTATGATTTAGGGGGTTAAGTACCTTCTCAGACAGTGGAATTGATATGGGCAAATGATGTTTAGCCAACTTCACTTGCCAAGAAGTATGCCAAAGAGGGACAGTTTCGGGAATCATCCCTAACCTGGCAACGGCATTGGTCATTTCGCAATATTTTGCCCTTGACCTATCCCAAAAATCTTGCCAGACTGGAGGATGAAAAACCGGATTGCCATTTACAGAATTGGGATTCAAAAAAGGGTGTATTTGCCCTGCTGAACAATTTTTTTTTAGTGATTTGCTGTTCTTTCTGGAAGTTGATTCCTTGTCACATATGGTCCCACAGGCTGTTGACCCATCCCCAAATTGGCAGATACTCGCATCATTGGATTGGTTTCAGGGAACAGTTTACAGGAGATTTCAATATTCAATGGGAACATCCATGGTTTCAACATGTTTCAACCATCGTTTTTCCAATCGAGTGATCAAAACAATCCTGATGCTGGAAGATGGTTTTTCCCCAGTTTCAACATGTTTCAACCATTTGTTAAACGTAGGGAGTCTACAATAACCATTGGGTTAAACAGACCTGGTGCCATGGTGCCATGGTGCCTGAGGCCGTCACGGTGATCGTGGCGATCTTCAAAAAGGAGAAGCCCTTGCCGCCGGAAGATGAACCAGAGGGCATCAGAGACGCCTACGTGCAGATTCTGGGGCTTGAACAATTCTATGATGTTGGAAAAAGCCATGGAAAAAACATGGTAGAGCAATGATGAACCACCCACATGGATGGTTTATACCACTCATTTATGGTAAAATTGCGCGGATGGTTTACCAATTAATTACTTTGATGCTAAGATTGGGAAAGTTTTTTTTTTTTATGTTTGTTGTTGGGTCAACGGGATAATATATATATATAATAAGAGCAAACATTTGGCGTTTGGGGCTGTTTGACATGCGGTGGTAACTATCCCATGAAAAGGGGATTGAATGCTATCCCCTTGAAGCAAATAATTGGGTTCAAGGGAGTGATGGTTGGCAATGATTCCCCGAGATAGTCGGGTGATGTTCGCCACGCCTGTTCGATGGTCCAATGGGTACGGACGGTGATGCATATATGGAACCAACAACATCAAGGACTTGATTCATGTAGTAAAAACAAGAACATCAACTGACAAGTTTGATATCGTTGGATTCAAGGATCCTTGAACCTTCTATATTAGTGCGTCCGAACATAGGGTCGGTACCTAGAAATCAATCAAAATCCTGTAGTCTAGCATCATTTTTGTGGGGTATCCTGGTATCACCCATTTTTGGACAAACCCATAGGTCAATGCAGCATTTTTTGAATCCAGCAGGGCCAGCGGAGCCAGCAGCCCCTGAGGATGCTGCGGATGATTTCTATGAAGCCGATACAGCTTCTCTTCGTTCCTTGGTGTCACCTCTTTTTCCGCTTTGCGTCTCATTGGGGGGATTCAGTGCTCTAAGATGCTCTAAGTTTATCCCAAGATGAAATTACACTACTTTGAATATTGGATCTATTCATTTTGGGGGTTCATATGAGGATGGGATTGGGGATAGAGCTCTTCACCATGCTCTCGGGCCGTGGTGGAGAAGTGTTCCATCCATTTGGCAAAATGGGATACTTAGTCATTGGCTGGTCCATGTACTGACTGACCTACCCTTTTTCTGGGTGAATCTCTCATTGGTATCTCTATTTCTCTTCATTTATGGGTTGACTCGCCATATTTCGAAAATGATATCGATATTTCTGTTAAGCCCTTTTCTACCCTATATTACCACCAATTTTCAGGGTTCAACCCCCACAGCCATCTTCCATATGGGTTTGTATGAACAGATTGTATAGAAAATCTATGAAAATCCTATCTTGGACTATTCTTGAATTTGGCAGTGTTCTTTTGTGTTCCCCGATTAAAATTGCAATGGTTTGAGCTGTAGCCCATGTTTGCACACACACACATTTCCAAAAACTGCTTCCAGTAAATCCCAATACACTGGCTGGCTAAATCCCAATTATAAATTGTTAAACCATCATTTTTGCTACGTGAATCACGTGAATCCCCGTAAATTAGCTATAGGTTAGAGGCAGTTGGTAAAATCCCGATCGTTGCAAGATGTTTGAAGGCTAAATCCCATATTGACTGGTTGAATTAAATACCAACGGTGGAAGGTGAAATTACTTAAACATATATGTTATATAAGCCAAAGAATGATGATGGACCTTCTGCTAAAACCCAAATTGGTTTGTTGCATACAGGAAGGGCCCCCCATAGATAGCTAAGTCGGTTCAAGCTTAGCTGACCATGTTGCATTGGTTTATAGATCAATTCAAGTCAGTTTACATCAATGATGGATGCTTGAACCACCATTCTTCATGGATCAGTCCCCATGAATCATGGCTAAATCCTGTGAAATCCGTCCCTTTTTACCCTTGGCTTTTATGTTTGGCCACCATTCTGCTCGAAAAAAGGTGATGCTCTTCACCTGGAAAGTGCCCTTCGCGGTCTGTGAGTCGGTGGCACCGGTGAAGTTCCAGGAGTATGGCATTCCTAAGGAGCACATCGCCTACGTCACGTCTGTCCTGATGTCGCCTGGTGATCCAGAGGGGAACCATGGAGAAGCCGCATTTCGTTGGGCTACGGGCATTACGTTTGGCAGTCTGGGCTACGTTTGGGTTGGGAATATCGAACTAGTAATAACTAGATAACTAGTTCATGGGGGTTATAAACCAACTTAGAATTTATAATTGACAACCATCCTGATATGGGAAATGCTGTGAGTTTTTCCCAGTTCCTATCCCTTGGTTTCACCCCACGGTTCTATTCACGGACACGGAAGCCATGGCCATGGAAAGGATAGGTAAATCATCTACAAATGGGTGATTTTCGAATGGCGATGTTAATTTACCCAATAGATCCCAATAGTATTATTAAATACTTCCTGATATAGAATATAGAAACTATGCAACTTAGATCAACTTAGTATTAGATCTATAAGCACCGTGGATTGACTCGCGCACACACTTTTTCAGTGGCTACCTCCTTTGCTGGTCGCGCAGTTGGCAGTTGACATTCAATTTTGGGGGCCATCTTGGGGAGATTGGGTAGTTGTCCGGCAGATTCCGGCAGAACATGATGGGGTGATTTCACGATATTTCACGGACTTTCCAGTGTCAGAGCTATTGGGTGTTCCATGAATTCCTGGGTTTTGTTCGAGCTGAGGCCCATGTACATCATGATTCCCATCGTGGCAGCCCGCTGGACGGGGGGCAAGATGCCCTTGAAGCTGGCCATGGCCGTGGCTCGAGCGAAATATGCGAAATGGGATGGGCCCCCAGGATATGGCCAGAGAGTGTGAAGATATATGATATATGTAGTCTATATTGAAGTTAAAAGAAGAGGACTGATTATATGTGTATGTATATATAATGCCAATATGTATACATACATAAATGATATAATATATACTATTTATATTACTGTGGTGGACAAACACTTGCAATATACTTGCAAAAAAGACAACTTTGAATATTGTATATAGAAGTTTGCGTTCCGGCCGTAAAGGGTGACCAACCTTGCGCAACCATGGATCAGCTGTGGGGAACGGGTGTGGCACCCAACAGCAATTCCTACCAAACATGCCAATGCATATTTAATGAACTGGGTTATAAAAATCTGATTGGTTAGTCTAATCCATCACAATCCATATCAATCCATCATAGCCCTGTGGCACAAAAGTGCCATGAAACCTCTCAGTTTGGGTTGGATGGGTCCACAGGTCCACTTATCCACCTGGGTCAATGTTGGAAAATATGACCACAATTTGCTTCTGTGCAACAAACCAGGGATCGACAATAGTTCCCTGTTCACAAAACAATCCAGTGACATTAAATTGTTGCAGTATCCCCCCCAAAAAAATCATGGTCAAAACATGATCGTACATAGCTAGATTATATACTATATTTCCCTATATATGAAATTGTTGATACTCTCTGGTAATCAAACATGACAATCTACCATTTACTTCGATGATTTTCACCTTCAAAAAACCATAGGCGATTTCCCAGCCATGGAGCTGACACCGAACGCTCCTCAAGCTTCCACTGAAGCGCCGTAGGTCTATCCCTTGCGCTTGGCCACTGGACCATTGACGGCGATCTTGGCCTTCTACACTCCAGCGTCTGTGATGCTGGGCTGCCGGGAATATCCCCATGAGTTGCCCCAGTGGAAAGCCCGGTTGGTTGATGACTAGTTGGGTGATACCAATGTTGGGGGAGAAAATCATTATCCAGGTTAGTAACCGATGATCTTGGAAACCCGTCATGTAACATGGTTTCCAGCTTTTTTTGGCATTTTTTTTGGGGGGGTGCTATGCGAACATGATTTCCTTGTCCTGCAAATAACATGCTATTCACTTGATATCCCCCAAAACAGAAAACAATCTGAACACAGTTTCTTTGTCCCCCAACAACATCGCTGAAGTTTGATGTTTTGTTGGTTTCTTACAATTTTAACATATAGTAATTAATTATTATAGTAAGCCCGAAAAAACTGAAGTTCATAATTCATCCTACTAAAATAGAAAAGTGTGACTATCTAACATGTTCTATCTTTTTGGGGGATTACTGTTCTAATTTTCACCCGTTGGGGACACCCAGGAGCCCCATCCCCTGGATCTTCTATGCCTTTCTGGTGCTGGTCATTGCAGCGGCCGCAACCACCTCTGACACCCTGCGGAACATCAGCCATGGGGTTTGAATGGGTCCACGAACTAAATGGGAGGGGTTCCAATATGAGACTTCTCACGGTTGGATTCTTTCATGGGAAAATCATCTATAGTCCCTAAGAATGGAGGTTAATAGCTGGGGAAATCACTAATTATGTGGTGGATTTTCCATTGCCACGGTTGATTACCAAAGGGGTAAATGAAGATTTTCCAGCGATGCGAATGCTTAAGGGGTAACATATGCTGAAGGCGGCTGAAGGTGGAGGGGATGTTTATCATGTTTTAACCTGCATATCCCTCATACCTGGGTGATGTGTGGGGAACATGTATTTCATGCATGGAGCATATGGGGGTGATTTGGGGTTCGTGGTTTAAAGGGCATTCCCAAAAACCAAAGGGATAAAGTAAGGGACGATCATTAGAGGATTTGCCATAGGAATTCAAGGCACCAACCCAAATCACCACGTGGTCTTCGGTTGTGGGGGAGATGGAACATGGTCCGGTGTGAATTGTGAATCATTGGCCGATTGGTGGTTTCAAATGGACTTGTCCAGACGTGGGGTAGGGACCCCTAAATTTGTAATTCATGTAAGAATACATCAAAAAGTGGGGAACACGATGCATGAATGAAATTCGGGGGTTACCCAATTTTCTGACACACCCAGCATATTCCAACATGCTTTTGTTCTATTTTACTTTCCATCTTAAAACGTGGGATGATGAGAACTCCGTTAAAAAGGGGATGCGTTGAAAATCCTGGACCACACTTTATTCATACGGCACATTTCGCTAGCATTGGTTTCAACCCTGCTGTTTGCCTGGGGTACCCGAACGGCATTCCACGAATGTTATACACTTTTCAGCATCTACTTGGGATGATGACACATTCTTGACTGTCACATCTTTGGAGTCAGGATGGTTCAACAACCAACGAGTTGATTTAAAATATGCATCTCAGCATCTCATGCTATGGGTTGAATCCCCTCTTTTGGTGGAATGATGTCCCCATGGGATGGTGGAAAGTTGAATCCCAAATGCCATCTACAGAATCCCCATGCGTGTTGGTTGTATCTTAAATTAAAAAAGAAAGGAACAACCGGCATTTTCATGGGCTCAATCACCAGATCATGGGGATTCATCAACCCAGCAACCGGTCACCCAGTCAAAAATAGATGGTTCAGATTTGCCCTTATCATTGTGTTTTGTTGGACCCTTAAACATTTTTTGGGGGGTCACCTGACTGGGGGTTGGATGAATCACCATTCTTAAATCCCTATGTTTCCCCTGCATCTTTGATGGTTAAGTCAATGTGAAGTCTAAATTTTCCACTATTAACCATCAAAAATGTTTGGGAGTTCATGTTAACTCATTTTCCTATCGTCAAATCCCTATGTTCCATTGTTTTTCCACCATGTTTGAGGGTTGTTTGGGCTTCATGGCCAAGTTTATCATCACAAGGAGTTGATGTTCGTCTCTCAGATGGCCTTCTTCGCCCACGTGAGCGATCCAGCCTTTGGAGGCGCAAGAATGAATATCAGATGTACTGTATATATCATGTAAATATGGATCATATATATATACACACACACATTCTTTAATTTGTATATATAATATCATATGTAAACATGTAATATAATATAAAAATGGATATATATATGGGTTTGTCCGAAGTCTGAACATCGGGTATCCCCAAATTTGATCGTTTAATAATCAATTTTCCTATTAACAATGTGCAATAAACTTGGGGCAAAACCCATACTTGTGTATATCCCTATGCATCCAAACGCATCCAGACACTTTCTTAGAAGGTATGTATATATTATATATATGTATGTATATCTAAATACAAGATGATGAAAGTTGATATATATATATATACACATTTTATGCAGAACTTCTCATGATGTACTTAATGTCCTTACCACTTACTCCCACTTTCTATTTACGGGCTGATGATATAATTCGAAGAATACTTTTTATATACATACATTGTATATATCATTCTATATCTACCCAGACCTCTTCTCACTCCCTCTCTCTCTGTGATTGTTCAGCGACTGCAGAATGGTTAACAACGATACCTGGCCGCAGGTACCTACATGACCCTGCTCAACACCATGGGCAATCTGGGTGGTCGATGGCCTCCCACGGCGGCTTTTTTCTTAGTGGACGCCGGGAGCTCAGCAGTGATCTTCCGGGGTTTTGGAGCAAGACAGCCTAGATTACCAGAAGATAAATACTAACCTGTTGCTGGTTAATCATATTTTTTCTGGGTTAGCTCGGCAACTTTCCCAGGGTGATTTTCCATAGCTGATATATCTATGATATCCCCATCATATCCCCCTTGTACTCCGTTATACTCTGCTTGGGGAGAACCCAATAAGCCATTACTTTTCTGGGTTACCCTTTGGTATATAATTTTCATGAATTTTCGTATAGCTATGGAGAATTATCATGAACACATTAAAACAACAACAATAGGTAAATCATCGAACTAATGGGCCAAGGTTTCCACAACTCTACAACAAATCACCATAGAAATCCATAGAATATATCCTGCTGATATCATTTGTGAAAAGACCATTAAATCATCATTTTGGATGGTTTTCGCATGACATGTTGGGATGGTTTCCCACCTGGACTTGTTTCAGGTCTTGATGCTTCCACAATAATGGCAGAATCATTGAACTAAATGGGCCATAGCTTCCATACCTACGCGACAATTACCAGATGATTTTCGACCTGTTTCAGGTGTTGATGCTTACCCTCTGTTTATTTAACGTAGCGAATTGGAAACTCACCATTTTAAAGAACGGTAACTCATTATAAACCATCTACAAATGGGCCCATTTTCCATAGCAGAAAGTTGAATTATCATGGGGTACCTATTATTTCCAGTGATATTCCCATTCAAATCCCATTCATATTGGTGATAAATCCTCAAAACTCAGGTCTTGAGCTGCCAAACGGAGAGCTGTTTGCTGCAGATGGATGGTTTCTACACCGTCACCATCCTGTACCTCGGTGGTTGTGTCAAGCATCCGATGTTTGGGGCTTTGATATACATGATCATAAGTGATTGTTACATAATACTTAATTAATACTGTATACCTACTTATGAGATATACATGTATGTATATATATATATATAGAAATATAGACACGTGATATAGTATAATATAGTATATATGTATGACGTATTGTATTACCATATTATATCATCTATGTATAGATGGGGTCTTTAAGTCTCTACCTAGATTACTCTGGTTGGGTGAATTATGTTTTCTTTGGTATCCACAACATGCTTTAGGTACAGCATGAGCGGTCATTCATTAGATGTGCATCCCGGCAATTGTGATTACGTCCTGCTGGCTTTTGTTATCCGTTTCCCTTTACACTGAATGTTGTACAAGTATATAGTATATCTGGTTTCTCCACACATGCACACACATATATATATATATATTTATATATGTATACATATATATATATATAAATACATGGTTTCCTATTACATTCCGTAAAAAATCTCACCGGTGGCATCCCTCGGACAGTGAGGTGCACCGTCCTTGGCGTTTTGTGGCTCTTGGGCACCAAGCAGATGATCCAAGGGCTACAGGAAAAGAGCCCATCTGAGTGGAAGCTACACCATGAGCATTTGGAGTAGCGGCGCCGGGATTTGAGTCGGTGACTTTTTTGGATGTTCACATAGAGAAAACTTAGACCCACCACAGGGGAATCTACTGGAAATAGTTGATGTTTTGATGGTCCCAAATCCGTTTGGTGGTGAAGGGCATAGTTTGGGGGCCATTATGCACGGGGAATCCGTCAAGCCATGTGCAGCTTGAGCGGCCAAAAAAGATTGGGCACTGGCAGCTGGAAAAGGCAGCGCCCAAAGGAAACTCATTAGACCTCCGTCGCTGGTGCTGGTCCAGTGACGGACTTCATAATCCGGCTGAGACACCAAAAGAACCAGCGATGAGGGGGGCGATCAGGGTTGGTTGGACTGTGTCAGTGTTGATACATATCTTTGAAGACACTTCAGCATTGAGGACACATGAGCAGTATTTCAAAAGCCCTGGTGTTTTTTTTTTCCAGGGTTATACTGTCCAAGTATGGTGGATCATCATCATCCATAAGAAGAGATAAACCAGACGTGGTAAACTCCAATCTCCTCCAATTCAGAACTTTCTTCCATTTCTGGGAAGTCATTGGTAACAGTGGCTATCGGTTTTTCGGACCTACATACTATTGTCAATCTCCGTTTACTGTTGATAAATCATGGTAAATCATGGCAAATCCACGTTTCACTTGTCCCTTTGCACTGTTTGCCAGTGCCCTCGCCCCGTCCACTTGCATTGTGCCAGGTCAAAACCTCTCCGCCCACGGTTTCTGGCCGCAGAGGGTTGAAAACGGTTTGTTCAAACATGGAGGATTCATCTGCATTATATAACTGGGAAATATTATATAGATAGCTTAGTACCTTGGGCTGGGGATTTTGAAAAACTCACCAGCTAAAAACAAAAACATGTAAAAACAAGTCACTGTATCTAAGTAGAAAAAAAAAATATAATAGAATCGGCTTGGCCACAATAAAAGGCAATTTCAATAGGGAAGATGATGATCAACCACTAGCTGGGCTTGTCCGATTCAGATCTCCACAGTTTTGAGCTGCTGACATGCTTCTTGATGAATATATCATTATGGATGTATTATAATTTATCATCCATGATAGGTTTTTTTTGGGAAACTGCTTAACGATTCTTAACCTTTACCAGTAGAACATGGAATGACATTTCGGGTTTTGAACACTGCCCAGATGAGTAGCGCTTTCAACCGGTGTTATTTGGAAGTTGAGGTTCAACATTCGTTTCTATGATCCTAGACATTTTCCTTGGTGTTTATACTTTATGTGCTGACCATGCTAAGAGGGAGTTGATTCGATCAATTACAGTACGTATAATTACAGTACAAGGATCCATTTCAAAGAGTTGTAAGTGGATATTAAATGCTATTAATAAGGTCCTCTTTGACTAGCCTGTATTGTTGTGAGAGAATCGCTGGGAAACTCCATCGCTGCACCTGATCTAACTAAGGTCTCATGTGATGTCAGTGCGCGGAAAAAGGGTTCAGTCAGATGTGCTGCTGGTGACACCGACTACATGGGAAGAGAGGTTCATTCAACTTACAGTATTCCATGCGCTGCTTCTGCTGAAACACGGGCGCACCTTAGGTGTTTGGCCAAGGTTTCTGCATGGAATATGTGTTGCCAGCAGCATTTGCCAAGCCCTTTGCCATCCCAAACGGAGTATGTTTGGGATCAGGGTTTGCATCCTTGCTATGATTTTTCAACAGTAAGCAGGAAAATTACCCATTTATAGATTATTTTCCCATTGAAACCTCCTCCAATGGGGGATTACTGTAACCATTGATCTTCCCCTTTAAACCTCCATTTATAAGGGATTAACCATTGCTTTTCCCCAGTTGGTTTCATGTTTGTTCCCCTCACTCGAGACCTCGACGCTAGGAGACGACTTCGGACATGAAGCCAGTGGTGCCAAAGGTGCGAATCCTGTGATGGCCATGGTGTTTTTTCCTAGCGAAATGTTTCGCCAAAGGTATCATGCTGATCCTGTTCTACATTTTTCTTGGGAAGAACATATGAATTGGATTGAGTTGGAAACTAAATAGAAATGAGACAAAGGGGACCGTGTTTTTTTCTCATGTTTTTCTATGTTTTGAGCTTCTTGGGCGGTTCCAAAATACTGTGGCTGGTAACGTGGCTGGCTGGACATTTCCATCAGATCCAGCAATAGTTCGATGATTTTCCCAGCGAGCAAAGCTCCATGGCTAGTTCAGGGATTTTCCACTGCCAGCCACGTTTGATTATCCTCATCATATTCCCTATTAAATACCAATTGAATCCCCATTTTTGTTGGTTAAATCCCATCCAATCCCAAGTTTTGTTGGTTAAATCCTAATGACATCTCCATTTTTGACTAAAGCATGCAATCTTGTGGCATGCTCTGGGGCCAGGCAGCTGGCATGGAAGCACTTGGTGAGTTGCCGGAAGGTGAATCCAGCAACTCCTTGAAGAGGAGAGGGGGAAGTGGGGTGGTTTACCCTCTGATCATAGCTACAAGGTGCCCCCTAGATAGTTATACCTCCAGTAGCTACAGTATGGTTTACCAGCTAAATCAATGGGAATTCCAGGATCCTAAAATGGAGGTACTGTACCATATAAGGCCATATTTTGCTGGGATATTCACTTACATAGGCCTTACATAGGCCTTATATATGGTAGGTACCTCCAATTTAGGTTCCTGAGATGGCCAGTGACTAAAGATAGGGATTTCACCATGAACATATAGATTATGGTGGTTCCTAGATAGCTAAGTTGGTTTGTAAATCCAGTAACTATATGGTGCACATAAAGGTTTATATGGGATATATCTGTACTTAATGGGGTTATAAACCAACTTGTAACTGGGGGACCACCTTGTATGATACAGATAGCCATTTTATAGATGATTTACCTCAAGAACTGTGATTTTCCATAGCTATGGTGGGATTTATATAGGCAGCCTATCTCAACCAATCTGAAATGCTTGCAAGGCACATCAGAAACAGAAAGGGCGAACATTTCCCATGGGGTAATGAAGCTGCCCAGCTACAACCATGAAAACTAAAATGATGATGTGAAACCAATTTTGTGTAATTTTATTGCGTTATTCACATTGTACACTGATAGTGGGATGGTTGTGAAATGGGAGGAGAGGGTGGTATCCACTAATCAACATCCAACAGTAATAAGATGTAATAAGTGTATCCTATATTATTCTGGTTGGTGGTTTGGAACATGTTTTATTTTTCCATATATTGGGAATAATAATCCTAACTTACTAATATTTTTCAGAGGGGTTGAAACCGCCAACCAGTATTTAACTTAATTCGTTTTCCACAGATACCTCCCCTAGATTTGGTTTCATCGGAACCAAGCGACCAAACTTCCTCGATCAAACAGATGGCATAGCACCTCGGAATAGCAGGCATTTCCTGGGAGGTTGAAACACTGGAAGAGTAAGGGGAATTATCCCAATTCAATATAGCCTATTTCAGGTTTGTGAATTGCTATATTTTTCCCAGATCAGTGGCAAGTTTGGCAAGGCTCGCCTGCAGGACTTTGGTTTGGCCCCGGGGCTATGCCCTCTGCATCTTCAGCGAAAATCACGCCGTGAGGACGGAAGATGAGTTGCCAGCAACTTTTTTAATTTCTAGAGTCTATATTAGGTAATATATGTGATATCATTTTGGGGATGGTATATATATATATAATATGCAATTGTTGACCACAATTGTCCAAAACCACAGGGCTCCGGGGTACAACAGAGGGCAGCTTCGGCTGGTGGATCTATGGCAGATCCATCCCAACCATCAGCCAGCCCCCTTCGTTGACAGGCGGCTGTGCAAAGGCATCCTTTCCTTCGAGGCAGGTTGGGAGCCGAAACGCGTCAACGCCCAGGAAGGATGTTGGGTGTTCTGAAACCTCTGAATTCCTCTGGTGTTTACATAGCTATCGAATATCACCATGTTTAATGGGTACATGAACTACATGGAGACGGAGAATCACTTAGAACATCATTTGGACACCAAAAACATAGGAGTTACCCGGGGGACTTGGAGTTAGAACATATCGATATGCTCCACACTTAGAATATCCCACACAGGATATGTAATATAAAATGCATGTATGAGAATACTTGACATCAAGCACTATAGCATCTGAAACAGTACCATTCCCTGCGGTGACCATCGAACTTAAAACATAATATGATACTGTTATATACACTAAATCAATATATATACATGATATATAGATATACTGTAATATATAATTAATTATATATATATATCAAAAACTTAGCTGAAGCAGATGTTCCACGATGTTCTAAGTGTGGGGGTCCCCCACCTACTTCTAAACCATGGTGAATGTGTCTTCCTTACACAACCTCGAACTTGCAACACAGCGTTGCTTTCCAGTCCCAACCTTTTATCCTACTGGGAGGGCCCCAAGGCGAGGGAGACGCTCAACAGGTGCATCTTTTCTTCGCACCCAAACCTGTAACTGAAAAAGTCCCACAGCTCTTTTCTTTTATTCGCATCCATTCTTAGTCGAACATTTTCAGCTTTTGTTTTCCAGTTCCAACTGCCTGTCCTTTGTGGACTGATTTGACCCCAAAGAGCTGTCCGAGACAGAAACTTTTAGCCTTGACCAACTGACAAAGTCCAACAATTTGTCCTTTCAACCCTGTTTCATGGGGAAATATAGGTAAATCAACCATGAATGAACCAAATTTTGTCAGTTTCACCTTTTCTTTCAATTTCACACTTTGCTTTGCATATTGCGTCGGTCATGAATTTTAGATGGATCGTGTAGTGCTTTGATCTGGCGCAGACAGTGAAAAATAAGGTTGAAGCAGCTGCTCCTTAAGTCATGTTATGATTGTTATGTGATTACAAGTACTGATGGGTGCACAGAGCCTCACACTTAGAACATCGTGGATCAAATCAACATGTAATTAATTGATGTTCTAACTTGTATGTTCCAAATGTGATGGAACAACATGTTCCAACTGTCGAGGATCCAAAATTTTGAAAAATTATGTTCTAAGTGATTGCCCGTCGCGTTTTTAGCTGCCATGTTCAGCATCTATACTAAATTACCACATGGCCGATCGTGGCAGCAGTCCTGTCCAGGTCCTGTTAAATGCAGCATGATGAGTGCTGCCAGTTCTCCCGGAGAAACCAAGGAAATGACCGTGTCGTCAACACACGAAAACCCAGAACGTCCCAAACAGTTTGCCAAGAAAATGGGTCACCGGGTCATTCTTGCTGGTTGTTTCTCCACTATCAATCATTAGTAACCATTATTAGCCACATATTGACCATTATTGACTATGATTGACCATTTTATCAACCATTATTAAGCTAATTGATCATCTGCAAATTCTGGAGCTGCCAGCAAGCATTTTGTGTCAGGTTCAGATCCAGGGCGATCGTTTTAAGGTGCGCTTGCTTTTGTTCAGGGGTTAAGTTGGTCAAAGAGCCAGATCAGTGTAAATGGCTAGGGGACCCATCGAAAAGTCCATCAATCCCTAGGTAATCTTTGTAATTGGCTAATGCTGGATTGAGAGAAATTTTGGGGACCCCAGAATCCAGTGGTTTATCATTGAAATTGCATGGGAACCATCGATCTTGGTGGTGGACAACACTTCCATGCGTTTGGGGCATCCAGTGTCGACTGTCGACCCAATGGTGCTTCTCAGATCCAACGACATTTCAGTAGCCTTTAGCCGGGCAGCTTCTTGATGGGTGCTGAGCAAAAAAAACGGCGGACATCCCTCGCTGGATTTTGTAGGAGTGATCCAATTTCAATTGGCTGAGATAAAGATCCACTGCACCATTTCTTTTCTTTCCACATCCAATATCCCTTGGTTTTGAAACCGCAGGTTTGCTAATTATTGAGTGGCCATCAGTGTCCAAATCATCATCACCATTTTGTGACCGCGTTTACTGCGTACTTCAATTCTTGGACAAATCCCCACATTAATTACTTAATAGCACAGCCGCCAGGTTTTTGACAATGCCATCCTGGTGTGCATTTTGGTCTCTTGCATTGGAATGGCTGGGAACCTCAACCCACAATGGTCGACCGCAAAAAAAACAATGGGTGGTCTTTGTGGCAGTACGTTTCGACGGTTTTTATTTGCTTGCTCAGTGGGAAGTAGAAAAAATGTATTCACATTCACTTCAGTATACAGTGTTTAACCTTAGTCTATTTGAATCATGCCAAAAGGTTTCGCTACGATTTGGTGCTGCTTGTCAAACTTTTTGGTGTGTTGTTTGGTTTTTGTGAAAACACCATTTGTTTCCGTAAGGAAGTATCTGTCTCAAAGTGTCTCCATCCACTGGAAACCCGTTCTCCAAAGATACGTAAATCCCCCAACTGACAAAGGTCTCCAGAATCGCAACATTTTTCTTCTCAAACAATCACTGAATGTATCCAAACAGCGTGTTTCTTTTCAACGCTCACAACTGCAGGTTTTCTGAGTGTTTTTTTCTTTTTTTTGTCGATGTTTTTTTAAATAGTACCATAACCAACCATACCTTTTAATCTTTATGCATTGTGGATTATCTGAATCCATGGAATCCGGTTCTTAACCAGTATTTCATGGAATGACAGGCTGGGTAAACCCGCATGTATGTATACATATATTGTATATATATATGTATATATATATATTATATGTGGCTGCTATTTACTTAATAACAATCACATATACTATAGACTATAGATGTATGATATATATATATATATATATGTTACATTCCCCATTATATAGAATGTCATGACTTATACTTATACATCTACATTTAAAGTGAACAACGTGCATGACACAAGGGGAGTTCCCCCCATGAGTTTTATCGTTGTATCCCGCATAAACCCAAAGGCTGACCAAGTCACGTGCGTCAACTTAGCTATCGTTTGGGATGCTCACCTTGTATAACTTATAACTACTTATTAGGGGTATGGGACCCAATATAACCCGATACTCAACAATTTATGGTTCATAAGTTCATAATTACATGTTTTTTTTAATTGGCGTATATAGTATGTGACTATTGAATGAAAGGGGTATGGGATTATTTGTAGACTTGATAGGTCAATCATCTACTCGTGGCTGCAAAGTCCACCCGAAATAGTTCAAGACTTCGATGATGTTCTCAGCTATAAACCTCCATTTTATCATATTTTGTTGCTGGATTTTCCATGATTTTCCCATTAAAACACCCATCGATGGATGCGTTTCCCCATATCTTCCCATTGAGAGCGCTCCAGTGATGGGAATTTCCTAGCCTCGAAGGCCAGTGACACACCATTGGCAGATCCAAAGGCCACCCTCACCCAGGCAAGGGAGTCGTGGGGCCGGGACTTCATGGGATATCATAGGGTAAAAACACCAGGATAAGGGAACAAGAACAAGCAAAAACGTTGTGTTTATAGGATTTAACCAACACACAATGGTGACTCAATGGTGATTTGAGAATGACATTTTTGATGGGGAGATTAATGGGGTGTCATCAGCCCCATGGCTGGGAAATTCCAGAACTAACTGGATGGTTTTACTGGGAAAGTCATCGGACCATTTTCTGGTGATTTGCTGGGATATCATGGGATACAAAAACGAGAAAACAATGGAAAATCCATCGCCCTAACATTTTTCCACACCGCCATTGTATTATCCCAAATATATGTTGTTTTGCCCCCTACTAAACCACAATGGTTTATGGGGTGCGTTCAATTTTTTACGGGGGAAGGGATGAGTGGGAATATCATGGGATATTGAATGGGGAGATTGAATGGGATTGGTTTAAGGGAAACCAAAGCATAGAAATAATGAATAGGACGAATTGACATGACATGATAGTAATTGGGAAACCCATTGATTTTGTGATTTATTGAGGGCAAATCCCAGAAAGATCGAAAAAACAATCCTACTACAACTGTGATCCATAGTGACAAATTACGTTTCTATTTGTTTGGTTGCTATATGCTATATGGAAATCCAAAATAGATACAACCGTTGAAAGCATGAAAATGATAGGGGAAACCTCACGGAAACATCCTGGAACCTGGAAACGGCATCTTTTTGAGATCCTTTTAATGCCTGGGAAACATGAATGGAGAGCTTACGAAGAACAACATCGGGAGCTCAACAAACACGAGGTCTTACTTAAGAATTGGGCAGTGATTGCTTATATGATTACATGCCCTGGTTTTGGTTGGTCAATTACACATTGGGCCCCTTTTTTTGTTGGCGAGGTATATCCACTCATATCCACATGATTTCTGCAGTTTTCTTCATTGATGATCTCTAAAGTAACACCCAAAAGACAAATTTTGATGTTCTCACTATTTGAGGATGATGGACTATAGGATTTTGCTAACATTTTAATCTTTTGGGGGATTGCTATAGTGTCGTTTGTATGGTGCCAATTGTCGACCTATCCTCAAAGGTGCAGATGGAGAAGGGTTGGGCGGTTGTGAACACCTTCACAGCCTGAAATTGCGCATCCATATTCGTGCAATAAAGATCTGACTGCTGAAATCGTTTTTGGGGCTTTGAACCCCCCAAAACACCCAAAGAGGTGTTGATGGTGTTTGTCGAGCCCTGATTGATGTTTTGAGCTCAATTCAATTCAATTTTGGAATGAAATCAATAATGTTTGTCCCATGATCGGGCAATCGTATTCACCTAAATCGACCACACTTGGGGAAAAAGGCTTGATACTCATCATTTGAACCATTATACATCATATACATATATATATACACAGTATATATATATATACATAATTACATATATATATATACATAATTATATATATAATTATATATATATATGTACATAATTATATATACATATATATATATAAAGCTGTCCAAATAGCTTAAGCTACCATGATCTTTTGACTCAACTGCTGACCCTCGTCATGAATCCCTTCCCCTCAGATCATTCGCGGTGGAGACTATGTGTTTCATCCTCAGCCATGGAAGACTCTTCTTTTGATTGGCCATGGGGGTGCTTCCATAAATGTGGGGGTACTCAAAATTGATGGTTTATAATGAAACATCCCAAAATAAAATGGATGATTTGGGGGTACCCTATCTTAGGAAACCTCCATGTCTGAAAATTTGGATTTTTATCTAACAGTTGTGGCTATATTTAATAACTTTTTTTTTGTGGTACCCTATTTCAGATTTAGATTTGGGCGATTGTCTCAGGCTCGCACTCTAGAGTATCCTTAGATAGAGGTGGGTGGTATCGCTCAACATTTATGGTGTATACAATACCCACCAATAAATGTGGATCGTTTAATAGGTACTAAGAATCACCCCACCCCCCAGGAAAAAAACAAAAAATGGATGGTTTATGACGCTTCAATACCACAACAACCGGACTTTCTGAGCCTATTGCCTTCCAGCAATCAATCATGGCAATGGCAAAGCCCCCATTCAGTTCGCTGATTTTCCCATTGAAATACCCATTTATAGATATTTATAGCGAATTTCCCATCCAGCCATGTTGACACCGGGAATATATCCCCACAAAATCCCCATGATACCATCATTTGTTCATGATTAGATCATATTAGATCCCAGTGTTTCATGATTTTTCCATGATTTGCCAAGGTTTTCCCATGGTTTTCCCATTTTTTCCCCCATGATTCTCCCATGGTTTTCCCATGAATCTCGGTGACTTCTCGCCCCGAGATTTGCGGTGCTCTTTGGTGCGGAAATGATCATCAAACTCGTGGCCTTTGGCCTTGCTCCTTGGAAAGAATCATGGAGCAGCCCGAAACAGAAAGGGTTTTAACATTGCTAAAAACTAAAACATTGCATATACAATACATATATATATATACATATGTATTATTACATATACAATATATATATATATATATCATTATAAATTATATATTTGTGTAAACTATGAACTATGAAATAATATGTTATATATGTTATAGATATTCCAAGATATATGATGATATATGTTCAAAAAATGTATATATATATACATACATACATACATATGTACACATACAGACACATTCATATTACACCAAGAATATGACATACATACAATGATGGACAACGATCCAAATCAACATGCCCCATGATCCAATTCAGACCTGGGACCCTAATTGTAGACCCACATTGCGTGGCTCCTTTGTGTTTGCTGAATTGTAGTATCAACGATTTTGTTTGACCATGCATGTTTGGGTTCACTGAATCATTGAGCTACGTATACATATACACGTGTATTATATATATAATACACATACTTGGAGGATCATCCCACTTCCAAAGTGGTTGGTACCCCTAGCTTCGTAGGTCCCCATTGGCTATCCCATCTACAAAGAGGTTATAACTATGGTTACTAACCGCCCTGGGACCCAGATCTTCAGCGAGAACGCCTACCTGAAAGATGGCTGGAATATCCTGGATGGTGTTGTGGCCACTTGTCCTGCAGATCGCTGCTGGAAATCAATGGAAGATGACCTAACATGGAGATATCTGGAGAATACGACTTTTCGCCAAAGTCCTCCTTTTGATGATATTATTGACATTTATTGACCTTGTGAACGTGTCAGTTTGAATTATACACTACGCCATGTCGGAGGTCAACCTTTCACATCATACTTTGCATCACTCCTGAAATATGGCTTTGGTATCAAGGTTTCAGGTTCTGGATCACACAGATGTCGGCTCAGTTTAGCATTTTTTGGATAGATGGATAGATGTGATAGTTGCATCCGGTTTTGCTAGCAAGCATGTTCAAATCATCTGAAAGGTAAATTTCCCGTTTGCCAGCACCCCCAAATTCTTGGGTATCTCCCCAAGTTTGAATCCACATTGGAACCCCCAATTGTGGCGGTCAAAAACATGGTTTCCAGTTTCAGTTTTTTCACTTCACCCATCCATTGATATCTTTGCCCTGCCATGATATACCCTTTATAAATTATATCCCCACCATCTTCCCGTATACTACCAGGTTTGTTGGCTATCCAATTTGTCAATGCTTATATCTTACTATGTTCCATAAAATATCCCTCTTGCTGCAAGACTCTTGCTGGTTATTTTCCATAACATATTCCTATTGTGGCTATATAGTAACCACCAAAAAGATGCAGAAAAGTAGTTTGTCACTATTTTAGGATTGGATTTTGCTGAATCATTTGTTTGGGGGGTTGCTGTATATTTCTAATTGCGGCTATATAAGATGCTAAATTCACATGTTTCAGAAATCCCATGAACCATCCCATATCCGTTCTTGAAATATTATGAACTATACTATGCCTATCTAAAATCATCGCACATAATCACCTAACATCATCTAAAACCATCTAGCATCACATAGCATCACCTAACCTCATCTAAAACCATTTAACATCAACTAACATCATCTAAAATCAATCATCTATAGCATCATCCAAAACCATTTAACATAATCTGAATTCAACTAAAGTTATTTAACATCATCAAACATCATCTAAGATCACCTAACATCATCTAGAATAATCTATAACATCAACAAGACTAACATCATCTAAGCACTTTTTCGGTTACGGGTGCGATAGGTCTGCCTGCCTGGCAGGTCATCGTGAGCATCGTGGATTTGGCCGTGGCCGGCGGCGGCGGCTTCCTCAAAGGCGTCCGCATCCTACGGGCCTTTCGGCCCCTGCGGATCATTTCGAGGCGATGGGAGGACTTGACTTAAACATGGAGGATTTACCCTCTGGAAATTTAACATAGCTATGGAAAATCACCATTTTTAATGGGAAAATCCACTATAAATGGCCATGTTCAATAGCTATGTTAGTTTACCAGAGGGTATATAAGCCAATAGAAGCCATAAAAAAGGAGGAGTCAACTGACTCAACTATCAAATATGGTGACTCAAGCCATGAAATCTAGTGACTTCACTGACTTCACCATGAAATCTAGGGCCTAGGGGAAATCCGCAAAAATCTAGGGGATTTAAGCAGACATGGTGACTCAAGCACCTGGATTCATGGGGATATGGACACACATAGGGACTTAAGCAATAACCATGGTATGATAATGGGATATCATAGGGATGTGGATATGGGATACCCTTCGGTCTCATCCAACACGGCTGGCTGGGAGCATATGGGTAGAGCAAATAATTGAGCACATGAGATATATAGAGCCAAGCAAATGTCTTTGAAACAACCAAAATGGAATGATATGTGTTTGGTTGTTTCAATATTGAAACATAGTCCATTCTTCTAAATCCAAGTATATCATAATATATCCAAATATATATATAATATATATATGTATACTAAATATATCATATTATATTTATCAACATATATCATAAAGGATCTAGAGCCCATGTCTCCCCCCACGATGGACTTCGTGGCAGGAATCAGAACCTGCGAGTTGTGGACCGGGACCCCAGTCGAGGGGATCCTGAACTCGTCATGGAAAATCAGCGAACTACACGGGAAGAATCCGAGTTTTCATAAATGGGTATGGATCAATACCTATTAATATAATTTTTAGGGGGATGAACATCCATTTACCAGCTATTTTGGGGTTCACTAGGTACCAGGGTTTTGACCCATCCCCACATGGGAAAATTCCATATGGTTGTTTCCTGAAATAGGGGTACCCCTGGTATTACCCCGAAATCATCAACTTTAGTAGGATTTTCCATTATAAACCATCCAGCTATTGGGGTACCCCCATTTTAGGAAACCCCCATATCGTCATATTATACTATATAGCTATTTAGTTCAATATATGGAACATCACATGTTTCCCCCTAAACCTGACCATATCTGGTGATTTAAACGAGATTATGATGTTGATTTATGTGGATATACCGGGATATCATATAATCCACGGTAGAGACCACCTTTTTGAACGGGTCATGAGTAAACTATGAGGGTTTATGCATCGTTTGGTTGGTGCCATGTCTATGTCTCTATCCCACTTTCTACCTGGGATATCCAGGATGATCTCCCCAAACAAACGCGGCTGGAAATTCCTCCATGTGCTTCGATGGTGTGCTATGTTGAATGGTTAAATCACCATAAATTGCTTGCTTAATTTCTAATATGTAGAAGGATATACAAGGTGGTGCTCCCCCAGTTGTAAGTTGTTTTACAAACCATGGTAACTATAACTATATGATACTATATGTAAGTATATAGATATAACATGATATAACTACCATAAACATCCATAAACCCAAATTATCAAGTTATTGAACTTATAAAACTTCGCTATCTATGTGGCACCACCCATGGAAGACACGCTGAGGCGCAGACCATTTTTGCCTCGTTGCAAGACCTGCTGAGCTTGATGGCATCTTGGTGTCATGGGGGTACCCGCAAACCTCAGGAAACCTCCATTTACCCTCTGGTAAACTAACATAGCTATTGAAAATGGCTGTTTATACTTGATTTTCCCATTAAACATGGTGATTTTCCATAGTTATGTTAGTTTACCAGAGGGTATGTTAAAAATGTTGTGAACTTTTCCTAAATATACTATGGAGATGAATGGAGATGATGGCTTTTCCTAAAAGATAATAGCAACTTTTCTGAGTTTTTTTTGCCCAACATGCATCAAGAATTCATCGGTCAGAGATGATAGCAGTATGAGGATTCCATATACCAAAAGCACGTTTCCTGGATTCTGCTGTTCATGGATGGCTCCTGGTAGCATCGCGTCCATTGAGGTCGTGGCGGCTCTGTTTCTTCTGATCTTCGCTCTGTTTGCCTGTAGTTTTCTGTCCGGAAGGACACTGAGAGCAAAGCGAGGGAGTTGATAGGGGAGACACAACTGACTTTGGAGACACTTCAAGATCCTGTAGACTGCTTTTCGGTTTCATGGTCCAGTCGGTCGTGGCTTGCAGGTCCAGTAGGATTGCCCCCCTCAGACTCAAGCAGCATCTTTAAGCCATGAATCCACTGTATCCCTCAAGAGCTTAAGCATGTCGGGATGTTTATGGATCAATGATGATCAATGTTCATGCGGCATTAATGCGATGCCTGAGTTTCTGTTACAGTAAATCCGCCATCATTTGAGGATTTCCGCTTCAGTTCAAACATCAGTGCAACTTTGTTTCAGCTTCAGCTTCAGCTACTGGATGCCCTGCCATGCCCAGGATGTATCATTGCTCCACAGAGACTTCCGTCCTTCTGTTGCCCGGTTTGGTTGGAACTCCACGGACCCCTTTTTTTTCAAATATGAAATCTCCATTGGCCATAGGGATGTTTCATGGCAATTCGGGAAGCCATGTGATGGTTTAAATATGTTTAAATATGTTTAAATCATCTATTTTTTTTACAATCTGTAACCGGCCATACAGATATATTATGATATATGATTATATATTGATCTCAAATTTTACCGGCCATTGGGCCATGTCTTGCGGCACGGGGCTGCACACCTCACAGCCTCTTCCTGCCGGGTTCTGGTGGAGATTCCAAGCATTTGTCCAAGGCGACCGATTTTCCCAATGAAATTTTCAGATTTTAAAGAAGTTCTGGTGATTTTTGCCAATCAATTCACACAAAAAACCAGAAACACCTCCAATCTTTGGGCGTTTTTATCCACCGATTCCGGTATATTCTCACACCATTTTCATATACACATGTTGATCCACACTGATAATATCAGGCTACCCCCAGCTTCCAATGACCTGGCAATGGACAACCACTCATCTTTGTCAACGATTTTACATATTTTTTGCCATGTTTTCCAATTCAATTTGCAAATTGAGATAGGCCATGTGACCATGTGGATCTAATTCAACATAGCTATGGAAGATGGTCATCTTTTGAAACGGTCATCGAACTAGGACAAATTCCGTAGTTATGTTTAAAATACCAGAGGGTAGGTAAATCCCATTAAATCCCATTGTTTCATGTTAAAGTTGGCATTTGTTTTCCATTGACATGTGACATTTCTCATCGTTAAAGCCGCTCAGGCTTCGTGATCAAGCAGACTTTCGCACCCCACTTTGCCTTGGTCGAGACCTTGGTCCGCTTTCGGTGAAGATCGGGTGCTGAAAAAGGGGTAAGTTGTAGTTGTTTTTTAGAAACAACCGTTGTATGTTGATATGATATGATATGATATCATTAGATATATATATATATCATTAGGATATATTTCCAAGTCAAACGTTTGGAAACAGCGTTTTCTACACTTTGGAGATGGTGTTTGTCGCACTGGTCCATCATCAGAATGATACTCAAAAGACCCAGAGAGCAAACATTTGCATCCCTTCAAAGCCCATTTGGACGACGATATGTCGCATTGTGTCGCTTTTTGCACATTGGGCCCGCACAAAAACAGCAGGTTCCATTTTTAATTCTTCTTTCGATTTGTCCTGGACGCGATCAAGGGTAGAAGAAGAACGGCGACAACAACCCAGATAGTTTATAGGGTAACCCAAAATCCGGTGTTTCATCATAATTTTCACAATTAAGATAGCCATGCATTTAATTAGGGTATGCCCAGTTGTCGGACACGCCCAAATCTCTTGACTCTTATTTGTTTGATGAAACACGTATTTGTGATGATTACATCCCTACAATTGACCGGTAAACTATCAGTTTCATAGATGTCATGGGTGCTAATTATCCCCAACAAAGCAGGTAGTAAAACCTATTAATTATAAACAAAAGCAATCAACTATCATTTATCAATCAGTCCCCACTTGTTTGGTTAAAACCCCTATACTTCTGATTAATAGATCAGTTTCGATATAGGTATGAAATGGGCTGTAACCCACATGTCATACAAGGTGGGTTCCCGAAACGAAAGCTAAGTTGATTGATAAACTAATCGAACTATAGGCTTTATTTTGATTGTAATTGCAGTTTATACGGAGTCTTATGTATATATATATGTCTATATAAGCCAATCAGCATCAATGAGCCATGTTCAGCCATCACTTATGAATTATGTCTTCACTTTGTTCATGGTTAAGGTTTAAGACTCTATAAATCCCTATAAGACATAGTTAGATTAGTTAGATCCCATTGAAACTGATTGGATCCCTATGAAATCCCTATGAAATCCCAACAGAAATCCCAACATAAATCCCAACAGAAATCCCTATAGATCCATCAGATCCAACCAACAAGTCCCCGCTGGCAGCGTTGCAGGTCCTTTGGAGAACTTGGGCAGCGTGGTCTCTGGTTCCTGCGCGAATGGAGCCCTCAACGGTCAAGTCTGGGATCCGAGAGGTTTTTTCATGGTGGTTTGATGTTGGTTTGATATGTTCAACTATAATCAACTATATATACACATATTATATCATATTGTATTATATTTACATCGTTTAGTATGGTTTAATCATTGCTTAACTTTAGTGATTTTTGCTTATTATAGCGAAGCAACATATATTCAACATATATTAGTATATTATGCTTGACTATGCTATTTATGATTTCACTATGTTCCACTATAGTTTCGTATGATCGTGACATGACTACTGGCACCATCTGCCCAGGCGTGGCAGGAGAACAGCTGCGTGAACTGTCGCAGCTCGGCGCTACAAAAACTGGGGATTTTTTCACCGGTCACCAGTGGAGGTTCGAGTCTCCGGTGGAAAATCAAATATGGAGGTTTGTAATGGAAAATCAACGAAAATCAACTATAGAAATGGATGTTTGAATGAGAAATTCCACTATAAATGATTATTTTTTTATGGAGGTTTTAATAGGATTTAATCCTCTACACATGGAGGTTTTTGATTACATCACTGTGAAATTCCAGGAACTAAATGCTGGATTTTCCAGCTAGCCATGTGTGATAAGCGGAGATACCACCCGAGGTTTGTGGTTCCCTGTGTTTGGAGCACGGATTTTTGCATCGACTTTGATGATTTGGCCTGCGGCCTCCTCTTTGGTACATGCTGTGTTTTCCACATTGAGGATGTTGTTCAAGATGCTTGGATGTGCATCTCGGTAAGTGGTTCAGAATCCATGAAGTCCTCTATTTTTTATCGTCCAGTGTAGTGGTTTTTGATCCTTCGGCTATGAAACTCAATTGCTGCTTGGTGGTTTCAAACATGTTTTTCCCATAATAATCATAATATATGGGATGTCATCCTTCCCATCGACTTTCATATTTTTCAGAGGGGTCAACTCAACCACCAGCCAGATTGAAACGTGACCTGCTACTGTAACCCCTTGGAAACGTGACGACAACGTGACATCTCTCCGAGCGCCCAGATTCCACCCTCAACGTCTCATGGGCCAGAGCAACGGTGTGCCACACAGAAAAAACAGAAGTGTGGAGTGTGGTAATGTGATTGGTGGTTTCAAACATGTTTTTTTTTCCATATAATCCTTCCCATTGACTAATATTTTTCAAGATGGTTAAAACCACCAACCAGTAATGTGATGTTAGTTGCTGGCCGAAAAATTCGGGCACTTGCCAAATTGCCATCGACTGACTATTTCATCTGATTTCATAGTTGTTCATTTCCAGCGAACATTTCACATGTGCTCTCTTCCAGCTGATTTCATCATGTGTTTCTTTGTTCCATTTGCCAACGAATCGAAGGTTGCCCCTATTGGACGATCTGTTTCAAATGTTGAGCCATGCTCCACTGAATCAAGTGTGGACGACTGCTCTGCTGCTAGATGCCCTTTTAACCTGCAGGTTGTGTTAAACAAAAACTGGTAGTACATTCATATACACATATCATATTGTGATATATTGTGTAGAAATACATATCATATTATAATTAATATACGTATGCATATATTTTATATAGAGATACACACACACACATGTACGTTTGCCAGCACTTGCCCTAACATGTCCACTACCAGATATCTTTTTGTGCAATGTCAACCCTGGATTAAAAACCTCTAGGCTGTTTAATTTTGGGGGTACCAACTGTGATATATTTACATTAATAAAATTCTTATTATTACTGTCATATTTTATTATTATTAGTATATATTACTGATATATTATTGCTTTTATTTTATGGGTACCCCCTACTTGTACCATGGTTGTTCCTCATGGCCATATGGTGACATGGAACTCAGCCACCACCAGAGCTTCACCGAGGTTGATACGCCAATCTGCGTTGGCCGCTGCGATCCATCCATTGTGCCAGTGAGCAGTGGCATGTTTTGGGGAAAATCGGTGTTTTTCTCACGGGATAATGTACCTTTATTTATATACATTTAACATGGCAGCAAGCAAGGTCATTATTGGGTAATTTAACTAGATATCACTAGTAACATCTTAAAAGATTGAAAACTGGGATCCCATGTTTAGCCATGTTCAATTCAGGTGTATTCAAAATCAAATGTCATTTGAACCGCCTCAAATATCTTCAAATCAAGTGGATCTACGCCTTGCCAGGCAGGCTTCCTAAGTCATGGGCCACCCCCAAAGCATCCAAAAAATGCTTATGATCAATGGGAAAACCAATGGTTTGGGGTACCCATATTTTAGGAAAGCTCCATATTCTTATCAGCCATGTTTGGGTTTTCCGATGCTTTCGGTCATTCCGTGCCCTTGCCATGTCACGTTTGGGACGGAAATCCCTGCGCTGTAACAGGAAGAAGTGGGGAGACAGCAGCCACCTGAATGGTTGTGTCCAAAGTCTGATCCTTAGGGGCAGTGCTTCCAGTGCGGGTGAGGTGCCCAAAATTATCTAGGGTAGACCTTAGGTGGGCAATTACATACTAATCTTTTGCTCTAAATGGGGATACAGTATACTATACCCTCTGGTAATTTAACATCGCTATAGAACCAACAATTTTTGAATGTGTAAATCATCGAAGAAATTGGGCCATGGCTGCCATTGCCATGTTTGATGACTGGAGTCCAGAGGTTCTATACCTATTACAAGCTTCGTAAAGAGCATGGGGTAACTAGTAAGCCTGGTAAGCAGAATGAGAACTGGAGATGTTTGAAGCGGATTTCATACACAGTCCAGGAATTGCAATGGTAATTAAACTGTGATCATACAGTTATACCCATGGGTGTGTCTGAAAATGGGATATATCCCCCAGTGTAGCCATTTACTATAGGAAAATGATGATAAATCATTGGCTTTTGGGGTGCCCCATTTATAGCCAAATTACCTATCATGAATCACCAACAAATCACAATTGTTGGTTGGATGATTCAATGATAAAATAAGCTACCTCAGGAAGAATCACACGCCCAGACTGCGATATTTGTGCTTGAGTTTGCAGATAGTTCTTCCAATCCTTTGATATCTAAGTTTGTTGGATGGTTCAACAGCATATAATACTGTAATATATATATAAGGCATGTTGAATATAAATATGATTGGATGTGTACATCTATAAATGTTGGTCTTTTTCAATTTCGGATTAGTTGGAACTTGGGTTTTGTGACCTTTGATGGACGCTTTGAAGGTCAATATGCCATGTCCATGTGCCACCCCACCTTTATATACTTGTTCTTAATGATTATATGCAATCCTGGTTGCCTCCAAACAACCCATGGCATAGCCAGGGTTGCCAACAGAACAAACGGTTGGAACGGTGGATATCGACCACCATTGCCAAGTCCCCAGGCCGCTGACGAGCGTGCAACAACTGCCCTCGGTGCGAACAAAGGGGGCTGTGGGAGAAGCTCTGGATTTTTCATGATTTTTCTAAAAAAAACACAGCGCATAGATCATTGAAATCCGAGAGCCAGTGGAATACAGGCCACATTTGGTCATACATCCCATTTTGTTCCCATCAAATCCCTTTCATTCCTCATGAAATTTAAATCACCCATGAATTTCCGCAGAGTGCAGGTGTGTGATAACCGAGATTCGGCGGAGTACCTGAGCAACATCACCTCAGATGAGCTGCAGGGCAGAGAGTACATGCAGGTGTCCGGGGCTGTCCAGGACACTGAGCCATTAAACTTAGGACATGTTAGATCGGTTGGAACTGTTGATGGCCTATGAAAATAGGGGCTTATGAACCTAACTGGTTCATTTTGGGATATAATGGGATATATGATATATATATAATATAATATATAATATATTTATATGGGATGGGACAAAGGTTATGGTGCATGAGAAATGATGAGAACTCCCAAGACCTGGCAATTTGGGATGCCGTCCGGTAGTAATTTAACATAGCTATTGAACATCACATTTTTTTGAAAGTTAACAAAGCTATTGGGAAATCATACTTCCGGTTATGAAAATCACAATTTATAATAATCCTCTATAAATTTAGACTGTTTTCATCCATTTTCCGTAGTTGTCTTAAATTACCAGAGGGTAGGGAAAGTGCTCTTTTAACCATTTCAATCATCCTTGGATGATTTATTTGGAAATATCATGGGTGACGCGGAGCCAGTCCCATCGATGATATTTGGACTTAGACATGGGAGCTGGCATGATTTGATCGGCTATCAATCATGCGAGTTCCGAAACCACGCGAAAGAACTAGGATTGTCCACAAGCCATAGGATCCATGTATGGTATATATGCTAACATTTGGGCTATATTGATGGTAAATGTTACCATATATAGCACCACGGATCCTATGGGTTAGCATTTGCTCGCCGGTTTGATGTCATGTAGCCCAGAACTATACAAGATCGAGCTATGAATATCAAATTTATACTGTATTTTGCTTGGTTCTTCCTCCAGAAACAGAAAGTTATATTCGAATGTTGCATCATGGCTCTGGCTGGTCATGTCTGACAATCCACACTCAAGAACCACACGATTCCTGCAGGATTCCTGCAAGGCTCTTATTTTAAGCATCAATATGTATGAGTCTACAGATAATCTCATGCCCCCATTCATTTCATTGTCATATACCATCTACCAGGATATAAACTGGTATAAACATGTATCAACACGTATGAAACATATGACTATTGTGTCCCATCCCCCCAAGCATGGCAGTGGTTGAAACTCAGATACGCCAGGCCATGTCTCGAATGCTGGTCATTCCCTGCGGTGGCTCTACGGCTGGGGAAGCCCACCATGGGGATTCTGGCTACCACAGTTTCAGCATGCTTAAAGCCATGGTAAGCCCACCATTGTTGATGGTAAAAAAATCTGAAATTATTGATAGTCACCGAATATAACAGTATATTGATAGTATTACTCTATATCAACTGTATATAGTATTGTAATATAACAGTAATATACTGTAATATAGTAGTTTACTCTATATTGATAGTCACCGAATCATCCAACTTGGTCGCTGGTTAATAACCCGGCTTCGTAAGGTTCCTAAGTGGGTTATACCACATATAAATACATATTATATATGGTTTATATCTATGGTTACTGACCGGGTATGAAATGGGATCATGCTCCAACTTTTTCATGATTGTTAGTGATAATCCCATATAATCCCATTATATCCCTATTCATATGCCATGAACTATCCCGATTATACCCAACATGTTTTATGATTAAATTTCAATTGAATCCCCATGAAATCCGCTATGTTTGCTGGTTCAATCCCCAATTTCGTGGCTTAAATCAACTTACAGGAAATCCCAATTCAAAAGCCAGTTTTTCATGGTAAAATCCATTGAAATCCACTATATGGGGATGGGTAAAAATCTATTAATACCATATTTTTAGGGGATAAACGTCCATTAACCAGCTATGACTTAGGGTACCATTTCATTGCCAGGGTAGAGTTTTGGACGGTCTGGATCAACGGTATAACCTTTCAACTTGGTCAAAAAATATTCCAGATGTATGTGCAAATTGCGTTGCAAGCACGGCAGACAACTTGGATGGATGAGCCGACATACCCACAGGTTGCTCCGATGGTTGCCGCTGTGGATGAAGGGATTCGACTTTTGACCACCAAGACAGTGGCTGATTTCCCGAAAAACTTCAGGTTACAGAAACTGCACACGTTTTGCATTGGATTCACACGTTGGTGGATACTCGACATGGGGTTCAATGGGTCAGATTCCATCAATATTACTGGTTGATTATCAAATCCAAACTGGCAGGATTGGACCTTTTTCTACCAGTAAGAAATGGGCCGAATGCTGAGGTGAATGCCTCCGGAGGCTTCGTGGAGCCCGGGGCGGTGGTGAGTTGTCGCGAGGTGCGCGCCAGCGAAGTGAAGGAGGACGGTTCACATTGTGGAGAAAAATGATGGATTTATATGGATTTATATGGATTTATATGGATTTATTTGAATTTATTTGGATTTATTTGGATTTATATGGATTTATTGGGTTGTAAATGGGGTGCCCATGGGATTATCGCGTATAACCCTTGATTATCCTTGATTTATGGCAATTTATGGAGTTACAAATGGCATTATAAAGTGGGATTATCATGGGATTTTCTTATAGGATAGTGGGATATAGTGGGATTAGAATGGGTTCCAGGGCTATGGGTCATCATGGCTATAACCCTTTATCCTTGATCAACCAATTCAACAACACACATGGGTTTTGGTGACCGACCAATAATGGGGAGACATGCTGATTAACTGTGGTAGAATTACCCGCTGGTATGAAAAGAACATGACTAAACTAAAGAGGTACCCTCTGGTAAACTAACATAGCTATTCAAAAGGGCCATTTATAGTGAGTTTTCGCGTTAAAAATGGTGATTTTCCATAGGTATGTTAGTTTACCAGAGGGTAAGCCTCTGGAAAATTACGGTATATGATATCACTTAACTTGTGACGGTTTTTGATGGTAACATGTTCATAGTTAGAGTTGGATAGCGATTGGTCAATAGATTGGTAGGAAAATCTATAGGGGAAACCGGGGAAACTGTACCACCAATGGTGGGTTTTCCTGTAGATTTTCCCTTAAACCAATCCAATGACAAAGGTAGAAAGGGAGATGGTTCAAATGGACTTGAGGTGATTGGCTGGAAGTTCATGACATAGATGTCGATGCAGCCAACTAGCTGATGAAAATATGGGTAGCCTTTCCCTTTCCACAATTATCTTAATGCAACAAATGGTACACAAATGGTTTTGGAAAGTGGAAGGTTACCAGAAAAAAGGCAAATAAATGGTATACCAAGCCGGGTCGTTCATCCCTTCGCTCCTCACAGCGCTTGGGGTGACTATGCGGGAGTCTTCGAAGGTCATTACATGATACACCATCATCTTCTGGGGGTTGCATGAGTTTTTGGGTTAAACAACCAGAAAAAAAGAACAACTATTATATACCCCATTTGGTATGTAAATCAAATAATTAAAATTATGTATTATCAACATAAATCAACATAAGATAATCCTAGACAACTTTTACCAATCATGTCAAAAAGTGAATTCTGGTTGGGAATAGGGTGAAGGGCTAAGGGTTTCATTCTACCAGATTATTGATTGGGTTTTTGATGGCATGAAATCACCCATTAGTATTAGAGCTATATTAACCTTACGTGGTACATCAAAAAAGTACTGGTGAGTTTTCCATGGGGGGTAGTGGCCACAACATACCCATTTTATCAATGCTATTCAATGCCTATAGATCTAGATACTTCCTGAGATGGTATTCCACCCCTGAATCATACCCCACAGAGATTCAGCATATCTATGGAAAATTGCCCATAGAATCCCATAGAAATACATGACAAAAAATAATGTTTGGCCATAAAAAAGTGATGATTATCATGTATTTCTATGGGCCATGTTCAATAGATATGTTGAATATCTAGAGGGTAACAAAGCAATTTTGGGGCTCTTATTGAAACCTAAGTTTAAGTTTGACTGTTTCATTACCCATGACGGATCCATGGTGCTGGTATATATGCTAACATAAAGGGGGTATATTGATGGGATCCATGTTACCATATATAGCAGCACCATGGATCCTATGGGTTATGATTTATATATGATCTACAATATATCTATCTATATTTATATCTATATCTATATCTATAACTTTATATATGGGTAATGATTATCATGCTATTTGACCACGTTTTTTCACTTCGCAAAGTGTCATTGTAGCGTCCATGGTCACCTCCAGGCCTTCTGTTCCGAGGCGCGGCGGCGGACCAATTTGCTATGTCCATAAAACATTGTTTGATGACCTATTAAAAAAAAAGCTGATTTGATCGTTTTAACATGATTTACCCTCTGGTTATTTAACATAGCCCTGGGAAATGGCCCATTTATAGATGGTTTACCTATTAAAAATGGGGATTTTCCATGGCTATGTTAAATAACCAGATGGTAACTATCAACAATGGTGATTCGATATGACTTAATCATCAAACATGATGATTTTCAAGTTCGCAAACTGTTAAATTACCAGAGGATTCAGGATGAAGTGTCTACAATATAACAAGTAGATGGTTTGACCAATATTGGTAATTTACTTGGCCATCATTCAGTGTTTGAGTGACAAGCTTTTTAGAATTTATCAACATCATGAAACGCATTGATTGTTATGAGTTGAAGCATTAAATTACTGGTGACTGAAGTCGGAATAATGTTGAACTTGAGCAGATGTATACTGGAATACTTCTGCTACTCTACTAGAATGTTGACAACATCGTCTGGAAATCTAGTGATGTGGAGGTTCCCTAAAATGGGGGTACCCCCAAATCATCCATTTTGCTTTCGGATGTTCCATTCTAAACCATCAATTTTTGGTGTACCCTCATTTTAGGAAACCCCCATGTGATGTTTATCTACTGGAGACATTCCTGGACCATTAGAATGGCAGTCACAGTCTACGCAACGGCAAACGACCGCCGAGGGTGTCTCCTCCGAAGTGGCACAGCAATGTCGGGTGAATTGCCAAGGGCATCCGTTTTTCTGCCCGGAAACTCATGGTGAAAAAAGATGCTGTTGATCTGAGGGGTTGAAAAATTGACACCGCCATGTTACTGACTATTGCTGTAGCTGGTTGGTTATTTTAGACATATGTTATCATCGTTGCTCTGAATGGCTGGGTTGACAATCCCAATTATGAAGTCTTTGTGATGGGTTGAAACACGTTGAAATCAACAGGTGTTCAACACGTTGTAACTTCTATTGAATCAACCAGTCCTTGGGCCTCTTGAAACAGGCGTTTTTTTTTTTTCAGACCTTTGAATTGTGCCGTACTGCAGAACTGCAGCTGTTTGTTAAACACTGACGACTTGGGCTCCGAAGGGAACTTGTCTCAGTGATTTATCCTGCAAGATGCTGCAAGTCAACGTGTAACACGTGTCCAAACAAGGTGTAATTCATGTGTTCCTTTGCTGCTTGTTTTGAATATGTCATATGGTTCATGTAGATTAGCAATGCCTCCAACGTGAAATCCAGCCATAGATCATCCCAGGACAGGTGTTTTTTCCTGTGGAATGCTTCAATTCCGATAAGCAAATGTTCAACTGTATATAGTCATATAATAGTCTATGCATTCGATAGCACGAATCACGCCTACTAATAACAAGTTTCCATGCGCCGGGGGCGTATATATTTAGATAGATCGAATTCAATCCGATTAGATTAGATGAATATAGCTGGAGAAGACCATAATAGATTATATAGATTAAAAAGGACAGATAGATTGGATAGATGGATGGATAGATGGATGGTTGGATAGTTAGATAGATAGATAGATAGATAGATAGGAATATATTAGATTAGATTAGATTAGATAGATAGACAGGTGGATCGATAGAATTTCCCGCGTTATTCTATGCTTACTATGTAGACTCTGCAGCAGTGCCATCAGTTTATCAAAACATGGTCTTCAACAAGCCCAGCACGGGAAACCCAGACCTGAGGCAAAGAGAGTTGTGAAGCCGACGAGCAGTCGGGTACCTGTCAGTCCTGTCGTCAGAAGCTTAGAGGGCTGGAACCTGGTGGCCCGATGGTGACGGGATATAGATATGTATCATGTATCCTTATATATATATATACACAGATATATATTATAATTGATTGTATGTAATATTTAAAATATGTCTATATGTATACTGTATATTGTTAGTTACATTATACAGTTTTACATCTTTTTTGATTGCCCAGAACTGGATTGCCTTACCAACCTATATACACTTCTCTAAAGATTGTCTAGACCTACAGGTAGACATGTTCAGTCTCACGTTGTTTTCAGCCCTGGGGTCTGCTTGGCCATGGCTGGGCTATGTACCTCAAAATGGATGGGATCGGATTCATCCATATTCATTCCCTAATTGGTGTTTTTTAAAAGGAAAATGATGATTGAATACCACACAATGGCTTGTTTAGTATGGAATGTGCTGATTAATCCGTGAATGGAATTGTTTTTCGATGTTTTTCGGGCCTAAGTGGCCTAAGTGACACCAGATTCTGTAAGTCTTTTGCGCTGCAATGCCTTCCAGGACCTTTGATCGTTGTTTCCATTGTTTCTTAATGAATTCTTAATGTATCTTGACAATCGACAAACATAATGCCACACAAGCTTCGTTCCACCGCCTGCTGATCCGTTTTCCCTGACATTATCTATACTACCTCTCAAAAAATCCTAGGTTAATGAAATGGTAATAAATGGTGTTTGTTCATTTGGGTGCCATATTTGGAGGCATTGAATGGCTGGGATGGTTTACGTCAAGCTCCAGTGTCCCAGGTCGAGAATGCGAAGCTGCATGCGAATGCAGCAACTTCTGCGAGCCTCTGATCAAGGAGAGGGGTGGGCACGGAAGGCCATGGCGGCGGGAAAATGATGGGAAACCACCAGAAATCAGCCAGGGTTGGTCCTGGTTGATTGTTCATGGCGCAGTTTTTTGATAGCCATAAATTGTGGGATGAATTTCTGAAATTTTGGGATACCCTGCGGCTGCGGGAATCATTCACATGGCATGCAGGAAAATCTCCCATTGATACTCGTAGTTGATTTTCCCAGCAAACTAAACCTCCATTTTAGTTCGGGGACGTCCAATTGCCATATAGGGTTTCACCATGTTTCACCCATCCAAGGTGGTGCAGGATTTCTTCCACCCAAACGATCTCCGACGCAGGATGCGGCCCTTTGTGTCGAGCAGGGTGGCCGTTCGAGCCTCAGAGTGCTGGTGGATCTGGCGTCACCATGGGTTCAGCTATACTAGTCGTCATGGTCATGGGGATATGAGGATTTAACCATCAAACACATGGATTTGACCATCAAAAACAGGTGGGTTTTTGATGGGATAGTGTGGAATATAAGTGGACATAAGTGGACATTCTGGTTATTTGGCAGTTTTCGAATTGGAAAATTACCAGGTTAAATAGGTAAATCATCTATGCATTGGCCATTTTCCATAGCTATGGTAGTTTACTGGAGGTTATTGACTTTTTGCGGGAACGCGACGGTGAAAAAGGGTACCTAGTTTTGAGAAACATATAGTTAGTGGAAGAGTGCGTCATCAAAATCTAGTCACACAGCCAGCCGGGAATCCACTTTTCTGTCATTCTTTGCTCGACCCATGACCATCTGGAAATTTAACACAGCTATCGAAAGTCACCGTTTTTTTCTATAGGTAAATCATCCATAAATGGGGCGTCTATACCATTGCCACAGAGTGTGTCCCATTAAAACCCATTATATTAAATTTCATGAAATCCCATTAATATCCCTTTAATATCCAATTAACATTCCATTCAATCCCATGAAAATGTCATTAATCTCCCATTCAATCAACTTCATCTCCCATTGAATTCCATCAATATACAGTAATATACCATTAAAACCCATTAATATGCCACGAATATCTCATTAAATCCCATGAATCTCTCACTGAGTGCTGTCTGATCCATGTCTCATGTCTGATTCGCGCTGCTGTCAGGTTGGCAGCAAGCTCTCAGTGACTTGGCGGTATTTTCGCAGCATTTTTTGAGTGGATGTTCCGGTGCCGCGTTTGAGTACCGGACAGGACCGTTCTGAAATTCTACAGTATATAAAATTAATAGAGACGTATCTATATATATATATTATATTATATATATATATATATATTATATTATATATATTATATTATATATTTATATTATATTATATTATATATATATTATATATATATTATACATATATATATTATATATATCAATAGATAGACAGACAGATAGATAGATGTCATCCGGGACCCCCTTTTGACCCCCGAGCTTTGTCAAAGGTCAAGACTTTGACAACGTCTTCTCTTCGATGCTGACCTTGTTCGAGATTTCCAGCACTGAAGGCAAGTCAACGTGGGTCAAACCACGTGGTCAGACGTGTCGGGTGGATGAACAAAAGATGGGGATATATATATATATATATGATATAACTATATGAGATAACTTAACCAGCCAAAATACAGCAAAATTGAATATACATGCAGGTAGTCGGATATTTTATGGGATATTTGAGCTTTAGTATCATGTGTGTTTGAACATGGGGTAACACCAATTCCATACCGCATTCCAACGGATTGTCATCAAGTTTCACATGAAATTGCCAACTTGATCCATCTTGGGGTATACCACGGTTTTGGACACACCCAGTCATCCAGATGTGTTATTCTACATGCTTCACAAGCAGCAGCAATAAACAATGATGGCATGCGCAACCGACTCCAGCGCCAATATATCCCTGGAGAGTCTTGACATGTTGGGCGGCGATGTTTTCCAACGCCATACACATTTCAATATTTCAATGTCCAAACAAATCCAGCTTTTGAGTTTGAGTCTGGCATGTATTGGATTGCGGAAGAAAATAGCTGTTTTACATTGTTTTACCCCAATCTGCAGAAGGGAAAAACCGGGTTTCATGGTTTCCCATTGAATGTTTCTACATTGGAGACTAAGATGCTAAATATCAACACGTTCATCGATGAGTCGCTGCAAGGTGGGGCTGTCTAGACTAACTGGGGAAACCCTGAAGTAGGATTACTGTTGGGATTATGGTAGATATATCGAACTAGTTGATGTTTCATTTTTTTCATCAACACACATCACTGGAAGAGCCAACCATAATCAACAAACATAACTATGGGGCATTATGGGGCCCCCCTTTGTGAGTTCCCAGTTGTCGTTTGCTTTTCTTCCCACTGAGGTTGGGCAGATGTGATGTATGCCGCTTGCGACAGCGTGGGGCATTTCATCGAGTCACCTGACCGTTTTGAAATTCGGCAATGAGACGCGAAAGTCACCCTGGTTGATTGGTTATCAATACCCTTTATAACTCGTATACATGGAGCCCAATATACTGCTGGGACCCATGCAAAACTTTTAGTATCCGAGTGACATCTGCAGATATGGATGTAGTTGCGAAAGACCGCGAAAGGGCAGCGAAAGGTTCGCGAAAGGTCTGAATACACCCATTAAACTAGATGTATGCGATATAGTATTCATGTTTGGCAGTTACAGTTGCATTCATCCAACCATTGAACAATAATTTTGGGAGTTTTTCTCAGATAGGAATGGGTTTTAGTATTGGAACTGAAACACCCGCCCATCCTGTCATGAAACATGAGCTTTAAAAACAGTTTTTTTGGCGAGAAATCCGCGAAAGGTTCGCGGAAGGTTCGCGAAAGGTTGGCGAAAGGCGAGAGTGCCAGGATCCCACCTTGGCCCAACATGGTCTAGTTTGTCTTGCAATGTTGCCACTGCAAAAACCTTTCAAAGTCTTTTCATTTTGTGTTTCCGTTAATTATCGGGCAATCTGTAAAACGACTTGGGCGAATGCTTCCACTTCGCTTGTTTTTAATACAATCCTCCTGTAAATCCTTCTTACGCAATTTACACACGAAAACATGATCATAATTCCCTGTCCCGATTCTGCTGGGGCGCGAAAGGTTCGCGAAAGGGCAGCGTAAGGGCAGTTTTGAGGTACCATAATTTTGAACAACCCCCATAAAAAAATGGTAAAACAGGGGAACTGGGACAAGACAGGTTGGAGGTCAGGTGGGAGGCTGTTGTGTTTTTGTTCAATGTTGTAAATCTAAATGTTTGACTGTTTCTTTCTGTTAATCTTGCTAAATGTGTTGTTGAGGTTGTTGTGATAATGTTTGGATTGAATGAAGGATAAAAACCATAACAGGGAACATACTAACATAAAGTGTCCTAGTTCCCCTGTTTTACCATTTTTTCCCATATATATATATAATATGTATTGATTGATTGGGGATGATCATGTTCCACCACCTGGGAATGCCCATGACAACCAAGCAGTACTGTACAAAGGGATGACAGATCGTTCCAGAATTGTTTATTTGACGTGGATAATGGATGATAGTATTTCAGATGCATTTCTAGGATGATCATCTATCCTCTGATAAGCAAACGTGGTAATGGAACTTCTGTTTATAGATAGTTTTCCCATTAACAATTTTATAATATTTCATGATTTTATAGGCAATTTCTCAGCTAGCCGCTAGCCATGTTTGATTGCCAGAGAGTGTATAGTGACTATATACTGTTCTGTATACCCTCTGGTAATTAAAACACATCTATGGTACTTGGAGGATCCTTCCACTTAGCAACTGGTTAGCAACCATAGTAATAACCCATTTATAGATGGGATAACTACTGAATGGGGACTTACTTTCACCAGGTTTACTAACCAGCTATAGATGCCCCGTTCGAGGCCCATACGGAACTACAGCGAGTGGATGTTCGCACCATTCTTCGTGGTGGGGAAGCCGAGGATGTGGCAATTGTGTGAGGTACCAATGGGTAATTCTACACCCATAAAAATGTTCATGTTAAGAGGGAACATGATACGGGTTGAAACCACCAACTAGTTCATGTTTGTGATGAGTTTGGGACATGTTGAAATGATGATCAGCTATATGGGATTTTGGGGTAATTATGTGACAAACCTTGATAATTTTTCTCAAAACCTATGAGCATCCATAAATCCCAGCTGTTTTTGGGGTGAACGGACGTGTATTCACCCATATCATCGCATATCCACTTATGTTTAGCTTTCTCCAAAAAATGAATATATAAGCATCTCAAATATCCTATAGCGCAACATGTTTTTCGAATTGGTTTTCGGAGAGCCCTCTTTTCAGGCCCATTGACAGTGCGCTTGCTGCCAACATGACTCGGCGATGGGTACCATTCAACACATAATTTTCTGCAAATTTAGGGGGATAAACATCCACAAGTATCAATAAATCATATAGATCCCAGCTATTTTGGATTTCACCAGAGGATTCCAATGGGTTTCGACTCAGTTCGCCATGTGGGAGTCGTTATGACCAAAGGGATACGGGTGGGCTATAGACGTTCAGTTGGATGGATTACCTTGGTCTATAGCTGCAGCTGGAAAATTCATCTACACGAGGGGGGGGTCCATTGCCATGTTTGATAACCCGGAGGGTAACGTCTTAGTGGTCTTAGTGCTGGTTACTTCAATGTGTTGTTCCTCATGGTTTTGTATTTTTGCATTTGTTTGAGTTACAGTAAATATGGCCCCTTTGTTGCTCCTCATGTATACGTGGCCACACATGTCTTAGTTATAGACTGATGTTGATTTGTGCGATGCTTTAATTTGCTCCACACTGCTGGGGGTCGATTCCTGTCGGCCATTGCTACTGGGCCCTGGGGTCGCTCTAAGGTGTACATGATCTTCTCCAACATGTTCATCATCAACCTGAGCGTTGGAGTCATCGTGGAATCCCGGTCCGGATGTGCGGGTGTTCAGCATATCGCTGCGAAAGTTTGTTTGTTCTTTGTCTTTATGGTTTAGACTCTTTAGACATTTATTTCCTTTTGCAGACTCAAAATTTGAAGATACAGAAACCTATTTAAACTATACTCTATAGTTTAGTCTCAAAACTATCTCTTGCAAACTCAGTTTGGAACACACTTGTTTTTGGGTATTTAAAATGAGCCCCAAGGGGCCTCTTCAAGCTGGGCATCCCCCAGTCCATGAAAACCTCCACGGATTCCATAGTGGGGGTACCCCAATGGCTGGATGGTTGATGGAAAATCCTATACTGGTTGGTAGTTTGGAACATGTGTTTTTTTTTTCCATATATATATATACAGTATATATATATATATTGGGAATAATAATCTTTTCCATATATTGGGAATAATCATCCCAACTGACGAACTCCATCATTTTTCAGAGAGGTAGGTATACCACCAACCAGTATAAACATGGATGATTTAGGGGTACCCCTATTTCAGGAAACCTCCATGACGCACTTTGATAAGATTTCCATGGTCATGGTCTGCGATATTGGACAAGATTATTGAGAGCAAACTGATGCTATGGAGGTTCTGTGCCCCATTAGTTCACGAATGTGCTAAGAAATAAACCATGAAGTTTGCCATTTTGCCAACATATGACAGCATTGTGTAACACATCATTCTGGTGTCACGATCCCAGACTTGAGCTTCATCATCATACTTTGGTCTGAAATGACTCAAAAATGGGGGCTGTATCACTGTATCACTCCCCCATTTTCATGTTGTCAAAGACCGGGCCATTGCCATCGCAGCGCGCCAAGGACAAGTTCATGGACCTGAAACAATCGGGCAAGAGCTGCTTGGCGTGTGTGAAAAGTGAAGGATGTGCCCAAATGAATGTCAATCTGTCAAGACAATTTTAATAGGGAAAATGATTGTTAACCAGTGGATGGATTGTTAACCAATTAACCAGTGGATGGAATGGAGTTACCGAGTTACCTCTATTTTCTGACTTAGTCAAATATCGACATGGGGAGTGAGTTGTGGCAGATATTGAATGATAATGATTGAATTTTGACATCACATTTGATACAACTGGTGCAATATATATATAATATGTTCTTGCAGAAGTCCCGCATTACAGCACTGAACTGATCCTGATGCCATCTAAGGAGACGTGATCCTGACATCAGCAGCGGCCTCAAGCCCTCAAAACTGGGTTTCTCCATAAGTGGGGTTACCCCAAAATCCGTTGGGCTTTTTGGGGCTACACTACGAGATTTCCAAACAGACCTTCCAAGACCGAAAAAAACACTACAGTGGATACTACAGAAACTTACCAGGTACTTCATGGATTTTCATGGATGGAGCCTGCAAGTTCCAGACTTCAATGGGGGCATCTTTTCATTGCAGCTGCTTTGATTTTCTGACTTTTGGTGCGCTCTCGCACCGCCTGCCTTTACCACTGTCGTCGTCGTCGTCATCATCATCATCATCATCATCATGATCCTGAGCACTCTCATGCCACCAATTCAATTCGAAGGGTGATGATCACCTATCATGCAACAAATTTGAGTTCATTTATATGTGGTAAGGCCAAGATGACCAAACCTACACTTCGGATATCATAGGATGGTTAAGCCACAGAGCCATTTCTTGGAACTGGGGCTGCGAAGCGCGCCTCGGTGGCCACCGAGGCACAAGTGAAATGGCTGGACTCGCAAAAGCTGTGCGGCTCCCCAGGGCTGTGAAAAATCCCATGGCTCGGACATGATTCGTGTTTTAAGCATCCAACAGATTCGAAACAGAGCTTTGTTACCTTGGATTTATATGAATTTATAATGATTTATATATGATTTATATATGATCTATAATATATCTATCTATATCTTATAGATAGATGTCATGAAAAGAAGCTGTTGTTTTTTGATTTTCCCAGACCGACCTTGCGAGGAAGTGGTCGGAAGATGGAGTATACAGCATACCGTATACCCCAAGATAGCTATTGTAATCGGGAGAACAGTTTAGTAAATACCCTATTTCCAGTCAAACCCATCAGCTTGTTGGTTTTCAGATGAAAAATGATGAATGGGTTCTTTGAAGTGTTTTTTGAAAACGAACAAAGTAGCTGTTTTCATTGATTATCCAAGGTGATAGAAACCCTTTGTGATTGGCAGAAGTATTTCCCACGATCTACTTGTTTGTCGCTGTTTTAACGCTGGGAAGAGCTGCCAGATTCATGTCAATAGATAAGGGGTATTGCTTATTACTTAGTATGACTCAAATGTATTCATGTATGGAGTATGAAAGGCGGCAGCAAATAATTGCGTATATTACATGATGCTTTTAGTATATTATATAATTATACAGTATATCATTGAGTATATATAATCAATAAACCGATGGTTTCTATTTTCGGTATATTACACGTTTCCATGTTTTGTTCATCCAAAGAGTTGGGTCCGGAATTATAACCGGTGTATGTGGAATAGATCACAGCTATTTATAGAACGTTATTATACAAGCTGGGGGTCCCCAAACGAAAGCAAAGTTCACTTATAACTTGATTAACATTTGGGTTTATTGGGAATATATAACTATAATAGGTCTTAGGAGTTATGTTAACTACCCAAACTGTTTATTTTTCACATAGCTCTGGAAAAATGGCGCCGCATTGATGAGTTAATATTGCACTAATATCCCATTCATAGGGCCATTAAGAGGAAATAACTGGATATTAGTGGAAATTAATGGGAAAATAATGGGCTATTATATAGCTTCCGTTAATAGGCCGTTAATATCATTAACTTTTGGCTTTATGGAGGAATATAACGATACTATACTATCGGCTATACTTATTGGGGGTTAAACATCTGCCAGGCTCAGCCGCACGCGCTTCTTTGACGTTCAGCCGGGGAGCCGAACACGAAAAAAAACAAGTGCATGCGATAGAAGTGGGATTATAAACTAGTGATACTGGGATTATAACTGGGATGATAACTGGGATTATAACTGGGATATTTGGGATTATAACTGGGATTATTGTTATACATGACATCCATATGGATATCAAATTACCAATAATTATATCCCTATATTTACATTATAAATCCCTATTGTTGGCCAACAAAAATTAAGATTATATATATATATATATCATGTCATATCTCATATTTGGGCACAGACAATTGGAACATGTTTCGTGAATAATACGGATATGTTATGGAACGTCAGTGGATTTGCTGGTAATCCTAAACCTCTGGGATGATTCATTGCGGAAGTCCCCTCTTATTCTGGTGTTGAAATTGATTGGGAATTATTCTATGGCGAAAGGTACTGGGATTCCCTGGGATTATTGGGTATATATAATATACGTACTATATATATATATCATATCTATATACTGTGTATATATATATAAGCATATGATAACTCACAGTATACAGAGTATATATATATACATACATACATACATACATACATACGTACAAACTATCCAAGTGTGAGTTTGAAAAATTAGTTTGAATGATCCTGAGTTTTTCTGGCGGGTGTTCTCAAATGACTGCCAAGCGGACGGGTATATCACGTGAAAAGAGGTATCATAATGTATCATATTCCCAGTTCTGACCCCTAGTTCTAGGCCCTAGTTGGGTCTTGGTTTCCTGTCAACTGATACGCCAACAACATGTAAAAACACCTTTTTGTCTTTCTTGTCTGCAAAAGTCAGGGGGTGCAGCTCCACACAATGAGAAGATACTGTATATGGCCAAATGATGGGGTTTATCTACATGCATCCATACATACATACATAGGTTCATACATGCTTTCATACATGCATGATCATGCATGCATCCATGCATCCATGCTCCAGGGACCTTGACATGATGCCGTCTCTCCAGCGGAAGGCGCAGTGGCCATTAAATCTCTGTGAAAGTCAGATGTTTTTTTTTGAAGCTGACTACATGGAGTGGTAGTTTGATTTGATGATTATTGATGGTTCATGATGAATCATGATGTCTTATGGAATATGATCGTTCCTGGGGATTCCTTTAAAATAAAGAGGTTATTTTCCCAGAGAGCGTCAAATTGTCTATGGATCCCTCCAAGTTCCGATTGTCAAAGTTTACAATGGAGTGACCAGACTGCTGCGGTTACATATACTGATACTTAAGTGATACTCAATCTATTGATACTTAAGTATGGATCATTCAATACCAGGCTATTGGTTAATAAGTATCATATACTTATCCATACTTATCCATGCGCTGGGCCTCCCGTATGGTTTTTTCATGTTTTTTCCATACTGTAAGTGCACATCGCATGGCTGACCGCCCAAGGTACACTCCGTACAATGGTCGATTTTTCCCCAGCAACACCCCTCAGAATAGGAAAGTGATTTATCATTTTTTATCACTCTTTTAGCATATTTTAGGGTTTGTTTATTCTATCTTTTTGGAGATTATATTGTCTTAGACAATATATGGTTTCTTTAACAAAGCCACACATTTCGCGGGGTACGCCCATGGGTAATGTAATCAACCCAAGGCCATAAACCTACCGGAGGGTCTTTACCACCCAGTTATGGCAATAGTTACAATAGTTTATGGATGGTTAAGGCAGTTCAACACATCCCTAAGTCCCTAAGTGAAGTTTCAGGCAGCATATGGTCCAGGCATATGACATCATCAGCAGCTTTCGCTTCACGACCTTCATCATGGTCGCGATCGCGTTGAATTCGGTGCACCGCGGATCTGGGGATCATGGTGGCTGTCGACCCGTGGGATTTGATGGGTTGGTCCGGTAACATGGGGAATAGCCCCAAAATTCTCAATGACTTTATGAGAAAATGATGACAAACGACTGGCTGGCAAAATAGGGGGTCTCCTATTTTTTGCAGACATATCTGGCAGATGAATCCGCAAACCCAGGTAATTATAGTCGACAGAATAGTCAACATTTATAGACATTCACTCCACTATATAGATGTTGATGGTTTTAAAATGTTGTAACTTCATGCAGATAACTCAAACGTATGTACGCGGGTTTGTCGAAAACTTGGGTATACCCCAAAAGTTCAACTTTTAAGAGGGGAACAAATCATGATACACTACTGAATTTTAGGGCTACCCATGGCTACCCTATTTTCAGACCTGGACTTTGCACACCTTTTGTAGCTCGGTGTGCGTCCCGTGACAGGCGTTGATGGCAATGCAGACCTTTCCCTCGCAAATCGAGTGGTGGGCCGATGTGATGTACGTCAGGATGTCTCAGTGGATGATCTGAGGTTTGCATTGACCAGATCCACTAGGGATGTGATGAGGATCACCATTTGATGAGACGTCGATGTAAAGAGTGGCCCATGTTCAGACGCGTCCATTTGATTCCATTTGGGGATCTATTTGTCTATTTGGATTTGGGGCAATTACCCTCTGGTAAACTAACATAACTATAGACAATCACCATTTTCAATGGGAAAATCCACTATAAATGGTCATGTTCAATAGCTATGTTAAATTACCAGAGGGTATATCACTTTAGTATCATACACATCCCGCTTATGAGTGCCCATAAAAAGCCCCTTAAAACTCATTGAACAATGGATTCAACATGACGAGTCGAGGCCATTCGAGGCCCATGCCGGAAAGCATATGGGAAATGAATTGGCGACCTCCCAAGGACCTCACCGTGAATCATGCTAGTGGGAATCATCCTTCAATCAAGTCTTTATTCTTTACATTATATAATCTTTATATGTTATAAGTTATACTACAAGTATTGTATCAATTTGCCCGCAAATTCTTTATGGAATTTGGCTGGCTTCCAAAGTCCCAAAGTGAGGTCGGAAAGCGTGTCTTCTCGGGTATTTTCACATTGGAAATGATGCTGAAGTTCTATGCGCTCCGATGCACGTACTTTGAGGAGGGGAGCTGCACTGAGCAGGGAAAGCGCAGCTGTGCTGCTGTGCTGCTGTGCTGTTGTGCTCCTATCAAAGCGGTCAAAACGACTAATTGTATAGGGCTATGCATATCCATGTAGGGAATCGCGGTAAGCCTGGTTGTATAGATTTAGGTCCCAATACAAAACCATCTCAAAAAGAAGAGTTTGCTGGTTGGTGGTTTGGAACATTTGGATTATTTTTCCATATTTTGGGAATAATCATCCCAACTGACTTTCATATTTTTCAGAGGGGTAGGTATACCACCAACCAGAGTTTAGGATGGGAAATCATGTTTCCAAGATCGTCCACTGTGAATTTGATCACCTCTGCCTCTCGCTTCCAGGACTCCTGGAATCGCTTCGACTTTTTTTGTGTCGTTGTGTCACTGTCGCTTGGCGGCAACCAGCTCTTGGAGGTGGCGGTGAATCCCACACTATCCATTAATCGGATATGGCTTGATATGGCTTGATATGACTGCGGCCAGTTCAAATTCAGCATCCCAGTCAGCAACGGCGGGCAGATGTAGTGAAAAACATGGGAAAACCATGGAACATCGAGTCTTTGGAACTACTTTCCGTTTTAACCCAGAATTAGATTCAAGACAAGCTTGCTCGGCCAATGCTCGGCCAATGGAAGAGAGCCACAATTCTCCGTGAACTGAACTCAATACGTCCATCATTTTGTGCAGGGAATGGGAAACGCGGAAGGCTCCGCCCCGCCTTTGCACTCGATTCCGTCACTCATATATTTTATCATACCACCTCCTCAATGAATGTGGTAAACCAGATCATAAACATATAAACATCCCCAATATGTCCAGAAATGGGTGCGGGTGGTATAAACCCTTCAAAATTGGAGGTTTGTGGCATTGGGTGGCTAAATCACCAGGTTTGATGGTTACATCACCATAAAAGTCATGGTTTCTAGTGGTTAAGTCATCAAAAAAGTGTTGGTTAAATCCCATAGAAAAACACGGTTTTCGTTGTGTTTTTTTCCCCTATTATCCTTTTTCATGGTTAAATCATGTTAAATCACCATTTTATGTTGGCTAAATCCCATAGAAAACACCAGTTTTGATGGTTTAATCACCATTTGTTGGATCCCATGATGAGATCGACCTACAAAAAATGGTCTCCGGCCAAGGCTCGGAATCGTTCTGGAGCTGCTTGGATGACTATTCTGTAGCTCTGCAAATTGCCCAGTCATGCAGGTATTAAGTTTAATTAATATATAATATTCTATAATAATGATAATTCATATATATATATATACATACATAATTATATATATAATTGATTATTATGTATATGGTATATATAATACCTAATACATATTATTCTATACATAACTTCACGATACATGGATATCTATTGGAACACATGGTGATATCCAACATCCACCGCCTCAGGGACACCACGACGTTAAACGTCACGGGCGTCACATCCGTCTTCCGCGTGCTGCGACTCTTCCGTTTGTGGAGGGCCTCAGTTTCCGTCGACGCAACAAGGTGAAGGATGGTGTACTATGGTTACATATCGCGGCTATACTAACTACGGTAGAATCATAACTATGGTATAAGGGATCTTTATCCATGAAATAACTGGTATATCTATATGATTGATCATAACTATGGTACACTGTGGCTTTATAGTCTTATAAACTATAACTATAAATGGATTATAACTATAACTACAAACATTTATAACTATTAACACCAATTGGTGGTTGCGACTGGATATTATAACCTCTATGACTATGGTTATATGATCTTGCAGTGAACCCACTTCGTTTTTCTTGGTTTGAACCAATCATCAACATGCAGATTGGATTTTTGCGGTGTTGGACCGGAGGGATCCGGAGGCGAATCATAGACAGTTCGAGGGATGCGGAGGCAAAAAATGTTGGGGATTTGTCAGAGATGTCAGCCGTCCAACTTGAACGACCCAATGGTGTACCTCTACTGCTAAATCCCGGAAAACACCAAGGTGGCATCACAGCCAAGTATATCCAAGTATCAAATCCTGGCAGCGACTGAGGATGAAATATTTGAGAGGTGTGAAGAAGATTTTTGCTGCCCTTGCCGCGTTGGGGGCCCAATCCTCGTCCCAGATGTCTCGCGACAAAGTGTCCAAGCTCATTCTCCTGATCATTTTGGGGCTTTACCCTGAAGCTTCCCCTTCTGAATAGAGGTCCTTTTCTTGGTGTCTCTGCTAACGTAGGAGCGCACTGACCAACAAGTCACCCCGATGGCGATCTCTTCATCATCCTCATGGCGCCCCTCAACCCAGGTCGGTTCCCAAATTGGTGAATGTCATGGCGATCTTGTTGCTCCTCTTGACCTTGCACCCCCGGATGGATACGGATGGGATGGGAACCCAGGAAAAAATATTGGGGATGGTGATGGGGATTGGGATTACGGACAGTAATACACAGTAGATTCAGTAAATTTCAATGTTACCCTCTGGTAAACAAACAGTTTGCTATTGAAAATGGCCATTGAAATAGTTGATTTACCCATTAATAATGATGATTTTCCATAGTTTTTGGTATGTTTACCAGAGAGTAGTCTATGTGATATTGTGTTTGGATTTCCATGGCATGGGATGACCATGAGTCTCAAACTAGGCGATGTCCCAAGTTGAAATTGAGGGTGGTACCCCACTTCCAACCCTAACAGTGGCCATGGTTTCATTGGATCGGTCGAACTTTTACAGGAAACCATAGGAAACCCTTAAATTTGATGGCAACAACCATGGTTTCCGGTCGTTTTTGTTTCCTTAAAGCAATCCATTGAATGTTTGGGTTTCGTTTCAATGTTAGAATTTTGGGTATATTGTATACTGCATACTTTGTTGATTGGTGCCTCAAGCATCAACTAGTCATGGCTGTTCATATGATGAGCCCAGGAATCCCAGTTATAATTGGCTTGTTTCACCTCCATTTCACTGGAAGCGGCAGGTTGCAGTATATTGGTGTCCATTATACATGGTAGTGGATCGCCATAGCAAATTTGTGGGGATGACCCTCCACTTACCAGCTATTTTGATGTTATATATATATATATATACACCCTCTGGTAAACTAACATAACTACCGAAAATCACCATGTTTAATGGGTAAATCAACTATTTCAATGGCCATTTTCAATAGCAAACTGTTTGTTTACCAGAGGGTATATAGAGTTCACCTAAAAAAACAACAAAAAGTAAACATCCAGCCAAAACAATGGTACACGATGTCCAATTTTCAGGAGGCTGCCTGTTTTATTTAGGGATATCATTGGGATGTCATGGGCCATGGGAAGTGGAATGTAGTGATGTAATGGAACACATCACCAACACTATGAATGTGGTTCAACATGGCTCATATATGCTTAATTATGCTTATATATATATATAATCCTAAAATGGTAATTTCGGATAATGGAGAATGATGATGAGCCACGGGTTTTGGGGATATCCATGGATATCCTACTTTTAGACAACGCCAGCTTGAACTGGCTTGGGTTACATCCTGTCGGTTCAGCCGGTTCAAGCAGGTACAGCATCTTGGGGGTGAGCTTGTTTTCTACTTTGAAATTTTCTTCTGAAAATGCCCAGTGCCACTTGGATTGCACAAGTTTCTGCCGCAAAAATCCCGTCATTTGCTCCCTAAAATGGGCTTGAAGACAGGAACTTGTGGATTGGACAAAGGAACGCTCGTTTTTGTATTTGCAAGCCACTTTCTTGTATTCAAGCAACTTCAAGCATCAAGAAATCTCCCTGCAGTGCCGGAGAACTGAGGTAATTTCAAGGACTTTGCCAAAGCCTCAGCAGTGGGCACAGCAACTGGTGCGACAGTGGGTGATCAACGTTGGGTAGATCCCAACGGCTGAACCAAGAGAGAGACTTAATGATGGTTGCTTCAACAATCCCAACAAGTTTTATCTCATTTTGGTTTCCCTATAGTTTTCCAGAGATGCCTATCTTGTTCTTTTTATTTTCCCATTCATGTTCTTGTTCATAAACCTGCGGATTCTCTTGATATTGATTTTTGATTCATGTTCCCATACATCTTTCCATTTACTGTCCCATCCATTTTCCCACTAATTTTCCCACTATGTGCTTTCTGTATTGTTTTCACATATATGAATGTGTCCAATTAGTTTGTCCAAATCATTTCCATTATCTATGTGCTTTATGGGTCTTTCCATACACTTTTCCATGCATCTTGCCAATTGTGTCCTCCCATCATTTGCCTTTCATGTTCCAAACATATGTTCCATGTTTTCCTGAAATATCCAAACATATTCTATATTGGCAAATGGATTTGTTCCCCATTTTCCCATCGTTTTCCGATGAATTTTCATCATTTTTCCCATGGATTCCATTTGCTTGAGCCCAAGCAATTCATCTCCACCTGGTTGTTTTCTCAACATCTTTCCCATGGAATTTCCCAGATTGTCCCATGGGAAAAGCCCATGGTTTTCCTATCCTTTCCCACCAGGTCCAAGCCTTCATCACGCTCTTTCGCGCCTCCACTGGTGAGGCGGACCTCGGATGGGTTAGCCATGGGTTTATCATCTATGAATGGTCCATTTTCCCTAGCTATGTTGAATTACCAGAGGGTACTGTACATATACGTATATGTATTATTACTATAGATCATTGTATTCCATCATAGTTTATATTGGGGGATTTTCTCTGGAGTTTTTATCGGGATACCATTTTATACATTATGCAAGATTGTGTAATTAAAGCTACTAGTATGAGACCAGAAAAAAAAAAAACATCGAATGTTCTTGAACATGTCAAATTCTATCTCATTCTATCTATTTCAGCATGATTATAAAATGGTTCTACATGTGTGGAGATATAGATAACCCTACCATACCAGACTTTATATAATCACTTGATTTGGATATTTGGTATCCCCAGATTAAAAAAAATGGGTGAATACTATAACTGGGGCTGAATAAGATCCTAGAGATACTGGGAGTAGGGGTTCCAAAACTAACCAAATAGACTGTATGATACATACAATATCATACAATATGAATGTAAACAATCAGTTACTATTTGAATGAATACAAAAACTGGGGATACTACTAGGGGATACCATAGTAACTGATATATGACTCTAATACATGAGTGGATGATATAAACGAGGAATACGAACTAATATGTACAGTATATATATATATGATAATAATAATTAATACTAACAATAATATACATGGTGGATGATATATATATATAATTGGATAACGCTAACAGTGGAAATCACAAACAGAACGCATACCATGGAGTGGATGACTTACGGTGATTTTTTCTTGGAGTTAAGCTCTATCGGCTGCATGGGCGTGATGTAAAATTCATCTCCAACCTTTCTCCGGAAAAAAAACCGCCATGTTGATCCCCCAATTTGATTGGTCTAATATTCAAAATCAAATATCATCAACAAACCTTGGATTTTGAATATACATCTTTTTTCCAGTTCAAAATTCATCTCAAACCTTGGTCTAATATTCAAGATCAAGTATCATTGCAGGTTTCTTCATGCCATATACAAGATAGAGAGAGTTTTCATTGGAGCACGGAAGCGCATGGTTCCTTTGCAAATGTGGTGGAGGAAATATTTCAAAATGTGTTGGTTGAACACTGAACTCACTGAACTAAGTCTACCCTCCATATATATATATGTATATATATATAATCTCGCTTGACAAAAGAACATTCAACATTGATGCCTACTTTGAAGTGCAACGCCAGCTATAAGTGGATATCTATATAGGGGCCCGGCCGGCGGCCGGCAACCCCCCCATGGTGTCTCCCCCCCCCCCAGCAACCACTGGACCACCCCCATGGGGGTGGCCTAGCCATCTACGACCATCCGTCAAGATCTCATGTGCTATACTTACATGCTGGCCTCGTGCCACCTATACACTAATTACCAAACAGGATACCTCCATGCAGTGTTCACTACTGCCTATATGTGCCCATACAATCTATTTACAACGTATTACTGTCCATAAAGTACCTCTATAGTAGCCATATTCTAGCTACTATTAAGATCTCGTCTGCTATACATACGTGCTGGCCACGTACTACTTATACACCATCTATATGATACCTCTATAACACCCCACCCATCCCACAGACGGGACGTGGGGGTAAGCTACACCCAGCATCAGTCTATTTACAACGTATTACTGCCAATAAAGTACCTTTGAAGATCTCCTGTGATGTACATACGTGCAAACCTGTATAACCTACCCACTATCTACATGATACCTCTATAACATCCCACCCATCCCACAGGGTGGGCGTGGAGCATTGTAGCCACATACCTACTTTTTGCCTTACATGCTAGTGACATACTACCTAGCCTCCACCCATCCCACAGGGAGGTGGGGTGTGTAAACTATATCTTTTATATACAGCGTACATACAGCGTACATACAGCGTACATACAGCGTACATACAGCGTACATACAGCGTACATACAGCGTACATACAGCGTACATACAGCGTACATACAGCGTACATACAGGACCATGACCATCACGTGGGGGGTGGGGGGGTTGCTGGAATGGATCATATATATAATATATATAATATATATATAATAGTATAATATAGTATAATATAATATAATATACTGCAATATAATATAATATAATATGATATAATATAATATAATATAATATGGCCATAGTCACAGGAGTTATAGGGGCCCCATATCCCAACGTACGGGGGTTTGAACTTTTAAGCGGCAGCTCTGAGGCCTGGAATGAAATTATGCATGACATCGTCTGGGGCCTGGGCGGATGAAACGTTTGTTGACTGGGGATTCGGGGATTACCCTCTGGTAAACTAACATAACTATGGAACATCACCATTTTGAATGGGTAAATCAAATAGAAATGGGCCAATGTCAATAGCCGCCATGTTAGACCGGAGGGTATATTGATGATGAATATATGGAGGTTTCCTAAAATATGGGTACCCCAAGTGATCCAAGATTAGACCATTTTAGTATTGAAATCCATGGTGACGACTGGGGTGTATGACTATATTGTTACTGTAATCCACTTATTTGGCTGAATTATATATATATACTATAACAAAATTACTGCGACAAGTCGCTGAAATGATGGTTGTAGGATTCGGGGAATCATTCCCAAAATGGCTTTCAGATGTAAGATTGGTGAAATAATTTAATTTAGCCAGATTGTTTGGACATCGATTGGACTTACCTATGTTGTACCTTCAACTAGCATAAAATGCTTAGAGAACTGGTTGTTTGTGGTTGGTTTGGTCATGGGGAACAACTTGATGAAATCCATCAATTATTGGGATTCATAAAAGCTGAATCATTACACTTGTAGGTAGTTGAATCATTTGAAACCATGTGGGTATGGATCAATACCTATAAAAATACCATTTTTAATGGGATGAACATCCATTTACCAGCTATTTTGATGTGAACTACAGGGGGATAGGGTTTTGACCCACTGCCATGTAGATGACATTTGTAGAGAATTAGATCCCCATCAGTCTAACTGGAGGTTTCGTAAAATGGGGGTACCCCAATAGCATCCAATAGCTGGATGGTTTGTTTCATGGAAAAGCCTCTTAAAACGGATGATGACTGGGGGTACCCCCATTTTAAGAAACATCCATGTAGTTATATTACTTCTGTAACTATAGAGTTATATAATGTTATATTACTACTGTAACTTAATATCCAATGGTTAAAACCACAAATGGTCACCCATCGATTCATCCTTTCTTCCATGTCTTCGATGCACTGAGGCAAGATCTCCAAGGCAGATCTTTGCTTCAGGGGACTGGTGCACGTCCCTCGGCTGGCAGATGTGCTGGGTTTCATCGGAACCCAGGTGGGTGACTCCAGCAATAATGATGGTTTATGATGGTTGCAATAATAATAGCCAATAGCCAGCAATATTATAAACATCAACCATCAGGTTTATGAATGTTTATGATGGTTTATGAATGTTGATGTTATGGGTCTATTCACCACCAGAGTTGATAAGGGCTTCACCTAGCATTGCTTCGGGGTCACCCTTCAGGGGGGTTGAAAGGTTGAAATGTCCCCTGATATGTAGGCCAATGTAGACATATACATTTTGGGGCCAGATTATATTTGATTTTAATGATTTTCATAGGATAGAATGATATAGCCAACTTTCCCCAGAATTGGTGGTTATATAATTGGGATAAGGATTAAGGGAACATGCTGAGGTTCCGTCTCCGTTTCTCTACATCGGTCCCGCACATCTCTCAACTGCAACGACCGAGGCCCGACTACCTCTTTGATCCCGAAAACCACTTTGAGGCTGGGAACTGAAGGTTTCGTAAAATAGGGCATTGTACTTGGAAACAACAGCCACTTGAATGGTAAATTTGCGAAATGATTAAAAATGCTAGAGCTCCATGATTTTTTACCCAGTTCAGACATGCACCTGGACAGTTTTGAACCCTTAGACTTCGAATCCCGAATCAAATCATAGACGGCAAAACACGCAGCCACCACAAAGCATGTCATCACTGCAGAGGGTCATTCATGATGCTTATGACATGGGACAATGCCAGTGTGAACGGACGACAGAATTTGACCCAGGTTCTCTCAGAGAAATGCCTTATCGAGAGGCCATGAACTGCCTGTGGATGGGACCAATGGACCAACCCCGCTTGTGAAGGTTGGATATGGCCCATTGAACACAGGGAGTGCAAAGCTATGCAAATTCGGGAGTGAGACCTGAAGACCGCAAGTACCACCGCGTTGACTCATGGTATACCCTCTGGTAATTTGACATAGCTATGGAAAATCACCATTTTGAATGGGAAAATCCACTATTTCTATGGCCATTTTCAATAGCAAACTGTTAGTCATTACCAGAGGGTAACTCATGACCCCAAAACAGTCACCATTTAGACAGGTCCCACGATGTCCCACACAGCTGCAGAACGGTGAAGATCCCCATGTTTTAATGGGGCCCAGTTAGGCTTCCATTAATGACGCTCCTTGGGGTACGGCTTTGGCCATGGTTTTTCATAAACACGGCCAAACCATGCCAAAAATCTCCAAAAAGGAATGGTTCCCGCTATTCGCCACAGTTTCTATATTTATCGTTGGTATCACGGTATCACGGGGTTGCTCCAACCCATAAATTATGGCAAGGGGCTTCTCCCCCGTTGTGGGGGCGTGGGGAGCAAGCAATAGGAACGGTAAATTCGGCCTGGTTTGGCTGAATATATACTGTAAGAGGTGTGTGCCTCAAAATCCCACAGATTTTGCAACCTCGTTTTCCCCATTTATGGCAATAGGCAATAGGATATCCTATCAAAATTCCTATGATGTTCCCCTTTGTGTTGAAATATAGGTGATCTGATAGCCCAAAATAAAATCTTCGTACGTCACCCCACAGAGCGTCGCAGACCCAACGGCTGTGTGAACTCGTGGATCATGGGACAGCTGATGCCTTTGACATATTGGGCAGGGAGACTCAGACGTTGTGATGATTTCTGCTGACTTGCTGTAGCAAACACATGGATTTGTTATGTAGCAAAATGGATTCAAGGGGGGATGAACTTAATTTAAAGCAGGATTTGTCAGATGTTGATTTGATTTTGGTTGGTGAATCATCATGGATGAATAACCATCAATGTTAAAAGGCAAACTGATTCACTGAGCGTGCTGCCAAAGTTTAATCATACTTTTCCCTCTGTGATTGCTAGATATTGAGGGCAATTAGTATTTTCGGATAAACATTGAGAATTAAAATGATTTAATCATAAATACGGAGATTGACTGGATTTGTGCATGACTCATGGAGTCATGATTTCGTTCATGAACTAGTAGGGAGTTTTGTGTTTGATGGTCAAGACAACAGCTTTAATTCCCCCGTGGGGAATGGATGTAAAGGGTCAAGATGGGATTAAGAATGATTAAGACACATCCCAAGTTTGTTTGTCCAGATGATCATTCAGGGGCATTGCGGCATGGTTTTTTTTTTGGATGATCTTGAGAACCAGTGGTTTCTCTGGTGGTTCTCGACTCTGGGCCTGGCTTTATCAGGTGACGTATACCTTGATCGTCGCCATTATGGTGATGAACCTCGTAATTGCTGTCATCTTGGAGAGCTATGAGGACCACGAGGGGTGCCCTGAGACGGCAACTGAGCCCGGCCCCATGGCTGAAATGGTGTGTGTATTATTGGGGAGATGTGGAGAGGCTAGTCATGATGACATAATACAGATATATACGGTATATGGGGTAATTATCCCCATTTATGGAAAACCCATTGAACACCTTATATGGTTTCACATAGCAAAAAACGGAAGTCGTGACAAGATTGCAACACAGCAACACGGCTTGTACTGGAATACCGATGGATCCACAAGATGGATTATTAGATACAATTTGAACTAAGTAGCCCAATAATTATGGATGGTTTTCACCATGAAAGAAACATGTTGTTTTGGAAATCAGCATGTTTTTTTGGGACACACCTGTATCCTGTATTCATTGGTTACATCCCGGTTCGTAAGATTTCGACACATTGATATGTTTTGATATTTCTGATGGATCAATCCAAATCCATCATTGGTTATTACATGCCTCATTTCTGATGGTTAAATCACCATCCTTTGTGTCATGTGTGTTGATCCCGCATCTTTTCCCTATGATATCCTTCGCGTTCACCGGTTGGATCCCAGTTCGGCCGGTACCAACTGCAGGAGGGCAAAGGAGAGAAAGACACCGAGATCGTGGAGCACTGCGTCAAGGTTCGCTGTTCAGTTCCCACAAAGGAACCGGGGACCCTTTGCAGGGAAGGAAGCGCCAGAAGTTACTTTGGAAACCTATCAAACTAGATAGACAGATAGACAGACAGACAGATAGACAGACAGACAGACAGATAGATAGATAGATAGAATAGAATAGAATAGATACTCCGCCCTAAAAGTAGATGGCTCAGAATCTTGAGTTGCGCCATCTATGTCAAAAAAAAATAATGGGGGATAGATGGCTCAACTTCCTTTAAAACAGGTCAGTTGAGCCATCTATGTCCCTAAACATGACATATTTTTTGCAATCTTCTGCGCTGGTTTCCCCCCATATTTTTTTCTCAACATCAAGCTGCCTTTTTGGGACATAAATGGCTCAACTCCCACTCATTCGACAAAATCAGGCTGGGAATGCCCACATAGATGGCGCAACTCCCTCATATCTCCCGACATCCATCAACTAACCTAACCAAAATATGCCACATCGATCAGAGTATCCCTAAAAATGACCTATTTTTTGCAATCTTCTACGCTCTGGCAATTTGCCACTTTGCTTGGCCCCGGAAAACGGACCCCACCAAGTCCCCCGAAAAATATTTTTTTCCTGAGTTTCCCAAAGGAAACTTGACACTTGGTGGGGTCCGTTTTCCGGGGCGAACCCAAGTGGAAAATTGGCACTGCGCTGGTTTGTAAACTAGAAAAGCTGCTTTTGTAACATATTGAAATGTTAAAATTGTGCATATGTGCTGAATAATTTGATATTTTTTTAAAATTATTTCTATCCAAAAGTCTGTCCACAACCAATGTTAAAACATTCAGTGGATCATTTTCAAGGTATGGAAATGAAATTTTAAAAGCTTTGAATGCGATTTAAGGGACATAGATGGCGCAACTCATTTTTTAACCCACCAATTTTTTTTTGGGCGTTTGAATGAGATTTAAGGGACATAGATAGCGCAACTCATGTTCAAGGTATTGCAATGATTTTTTGAAGATTTGAATGCGATTTAAGGGACATAGATGGCGCAACTCATTTTTGAACCCATCGAAAAATATTTCTTTGGCGTTTGAATGGGATTTAAGGGACATAGATGGCGCAACTCATTTTTAGGATAAAAAATCTAGGGGAATTATTTATATATATATGTATGTATATAAAATATTTACAATACAAAAATGTGTAATCTAGAGTATAAACAAACAAAAATGATCGGAAATGTAGTAAAATTAGTTAACAATACCCTTATGTCCATCTATTGGAGTGGCAGTTGCGCCATCTACCTTTTCATTTTAAAGTCTAAGTAGGGCGTTTTTTTCTTCAACTGGCGGAATTCGTTTTATGTTCCAGCTAAAATAGTGCCGTTTTCTTTCTCACCCCGCGGTGCCATCTTATGGTTATTTTGGTTTTCGAGTTGAGCCATCTACTTTTAGGGGGGTGTAGATAGATTAGATAGATTAGATAGATTAGATAGATTAGATAGATTAAATAGATTAGATAGATTAGGTAGATCAGATAGGTTAGATAGATTAGATAGACTAGATATGTTAGATAGGTTAGATAGGTTAGATAGATTAGATAGATTAGATAGGTTAGACAGGTTAGATAGGTTAGATAGGTTAGATAGGTTTAATATATTAGATAGATTAGATAGCTTGGATAGAATAGACAGATTAGGTAGAATATAGATAGATTAGATAGATGAGATAGATTACATAGATTACATAGATAGATACATAGATAGATACATAGATATCATAAACCGTAGTCAACCTAGTTATAAACCAACATACCCCTTCCTGTGGTGATAATGATTCCACAGATTGTTGCCAAGGAAAAATGTGGAACCGAGAAGACTGGGGATTCGCCTAAGACATGGGTTTCATCCATCAACATTGACTAATCCATGTCTCTGGCATTTTTGTTCAATTAGATATGTTCAAAGACTGTGAATTATGATATGTTCAATGATATACTCCATGGTTTCTTTCTCCAACAATTGCATTTTAACAACAACGACATTTTACCTAGCGATTCTAGTTAGCAAATAATCGGCGACTGGAGTAGTGTATCATTGAACATATCATAGTTTCCCTCTCGTAAATCTGATCCGGCTAGCATGCAAGTCTACAGGTTTTTACTTGGAGAATGGTTGGGAAAACTCATGGCGGGGATGTTCACTAGCCAGTAAAACTGTTTTGATTTCCAGAAGGTAGCCATGAAGCTACTGCCAATGGCTGGTTTGAATTTTGAATCGCCAGGTGGAATGCCGATAACTTCAAATTCGATCCTGGCTGTTGAGATAGGTTTAGTAGCATGGTGGTGCTAAAAACTCCTAAGATCTTGGGAGCGCCTTATTTTCCACAAAGGGTGATGGAACTGGTTCAACCTCTAGGATTTTTGTGCCTCGGAGTCTCGGAGCACCTGCTTTTGGAACTTGCTTTTGGGCCATCTATACAGAAAGATGTACGCTGTTTACGCCACTCCTTTTCGCTGTTTTACAGGCCAGAGGTATCTGCACTAACTTGGAGGTATCTCCCATTGTACCGGGCATTTCCCAGCGCCGTGCAGTTGTGGAAACAGAGGGATACCGACCTCAAGATGTTTGGAAACTCAGCCAGGGGGCGATCGGTTGCAGTCTACTGGATAGGGAAACCATGGGAAACCCGAAATCCAATGATTTACCATAACTGGTTGGTGGTTTTGGAACATTTCTTTATTTTCCACAAGATATGGAATAATCCCAACTGACTCATATTTTTCAGAGGGGTAGGTCGACCACCAACCAGATAATGCTCCTTCTTAACATGGCCATGAATGGGAGGTTCAATCCCCTCTTGACATCTCCAAAGCCCGCCTAAACTTCGTGCCCATTGAGAGAAAAGATCGGACATATCTCAGTTTAGCCAAACTATTAGGGGTCAATCTCCTCCAATTTTTGTTTGGTACTGTACTCTTATTGCTGATCATCTTTTTCGGTTTGTTCATACTTCCCCGACGGCTGCAAAAGATGCACGAAAAAGGATATCCGATACCATGTCTGATGGCAAAATGTCCCGGAAAAACCAACCCCTGCCCCCCACTTTTTCTTATTTATAGTTACATCCCCTGAAAATTGTTGGTTATTATTTTATCATATTTTTTCCAATGTTTGTTAGTTCAATTTCAATGTTCATTTTTGTTGCATTCCATGGTATACCAAATGTGTTTGTCGAATTCCAAAGTGTTGTGACATATATCATATCATCCTTGTTATTCCATATCTCCTAACTCGTAATTCATGAATTACGTCATCCGTCATTCAAATGTTCATTAGTTCGAGATAGGATATTTCCATGATATTTCATGATATTTCCATAGTGTTCATTAGTTTTCTTCCATTTTCTTCCCCACATGACATCTTCGTTGTCGCAGGTATCTTCCCATGGAGGAGGCCATTGCGTACATTGCCGAGGCCAAGGGATGAAAAGGATGGGGATGGCGACCCGGCCCGATGTCCGTGGGAAAAGGATGGGACATCTAGGGTTAACCATAGAAAATGTATGTTAATCCAGAAAGAAAACATAGATTATCTGGGTTTTTCTTTAATTTTTAATCTATGATTGGTGGTTGATCTATGATTATGATACCCCAAAAAACTCTATGGTACCCCGAAACATTGGCCTACGGTTAATATTTAATATTGGTTAGTCATCATCTTCCCCATAGGAATGGCCACAAGTGGGGGGCTGAATTCCAAATTTTCAGACACACCCGGGCCCAAAGGCACTTCAACGATACGAAAAGGGAGAGTGAGCCCATCAGTCTGCGGAGTTCAGCTATATATCATATATATCTGGTTGGTGGTTTGGAACATTTTTTTCATTTTTTTTTCCATATATTGGGAATAATCATCCCAACTGACTAATATGTTTCAAAGGGGTTGAAACCACCAACCATGCAGATATATATATATATACAACCTACAGTATATTATAATTGTAATGTAATTGTACTTGTATAACTTATATATAAACATGTAAACTATATATAACATCGTGAAAATGTTGAAGCTTCGGCCAGCTGTTCCAACACTCTCAAAACTGATCGAACATGGAGGATTCAGAACAGCGCGGGCGACTCCGGATTGGAACGGGGCCAGGGTGGTGATCCAAAGTTATCTTGGAGTAAAGCTAAGTCAGGCAGGTGGTCAAATGATTTAGGGAACAGGTGGAAAGATAAAGTTTGAAAACCATAGCAAACCCATTGAATGGATTAAATAATATTGAATGGATTATGATTATCAAATTAGTAGGATAACCAAGATCGGTTTTGCGGGAATCATATATAAACCATCCCACTGGCATAAGCTCTTCTTTGTCGGCTTGGAGCGATTTATGCAGGCCTTGAACTATGGGATGGAATTGCACCAGGAGGAGAACAGGTGCCGATTTGCCTGCGTGCGGCTGCGGAAAGAACAAGTTCAATCATGGGAAAGTGATAATAATATCAACACAAATCGGATTTTAAATGATTTTAACCATGTCACACGTGGAATAATGGGTATATCATGGGGATACCCTCCAGTCATCAAACATGGCTGGCTGGCAAATCCGTGCCGGAGGGTATGATGATCAAGGGTTGAAAAGCTCGTATGGGTACTATGCATATAAACATGTATAGACTTTGTTGGGTGCTTTCTATAAAATTCAATATTATTCAATATGTTGCCATTTCGATGGGGACTTGTTTGGTTTTCCTCATTATTTGTGTATGTATGTATATGTATATACAATTGTATATATATATATGTTTTGTTCGGCAGGGGATCTGAGATCCATGAGGGGCTTAGCCTGGTAATGAAATATAGATCAATAGTATTACTACGATTGGTATTAGGTAATCTTTCGAATCTTAATCGTTACCAATCAAATAATGGTAATCAGTACTATGGAGTTTATTCAACCTTAGTAAAAGTAATACATATAGTAATAGTGCCTCCAACTATAGATGTATCCACAATCAACCCTATTAGGCCAATTTATAAACCGACTTAGCTAGCGATTGGGGGGGAGCACTTCCTGTTTGGGAGCAGCTGGTTCCTCCAGTTGATGGTTTGCTATGTATCCAATCTTTGTTGATACTGGGTTTATGAAAGGTTGATCATGCGTATTTTTAATTACGACCAAGCCAATACTTTTGCTCACGAAAATTTATCAACCTCAGCTTCATTATTGTAATTCACAAATATGTGGCTTTGTCTCAAAATCAGATACCCCATTCCGAAATTTCATCCATTGATCAATCATCATCCCAATGAATAGCCACAGGGTGCTGCCGATGCTGTTTCGGAGACATCTCGGTGAAGTTCCCATATTGTTCATGGCTAAATCCGGCAATGCTTCACCATGTTTGATGCAATCCGGCACATGTTCATCAATCATATAGCCATTCGCGAAATATTCGGTTGTTGGCCATCTACTATCCCCGTATGTCCCCGTATATCCCCGTATGTCCATGGTTGGTTAGTTGGTTATCCCTCTCCTTTTTTGGTCACCTAAACCATATACACCTACAGGCATAAACCATATATCCCAACAAAAAGACTTGGTGAGCCTCCTTTTACCATATATTCTTACCACGTATCCTTTATATAGTTATCATATTTCTTTTTTATGTGAACAAGTGGCTTTACTATTTACATTTGATAAGATATCATTGCCAGAAAGCCACGTTTTCATATCCCATGATCACAACCAGCGTATGGTTTTCGCCAGAACCAGCGTTAAAAATCGTTGCAGGATGCCCATTGCCATGCCAGAGCTCATCTCCAAGAGGCCAGAAAATCACTGATGGGTCACCGTTTTATGACCATTTTACGACGGGAAACATCATAACTTGAGGATACTTGAGGTAGTTTCCAACCAGCTAGGTAGTTATGACTGGGGGAAACATCATCTTTAACATTAAAAAAATCCAACCAGCTATGACTTAAGGTAGTGGAGACCTGGCTTTTGACTCATAGCCATTTTTAAATGTTGGTGTCAAATCTTGGTTGTTTTTTTCTTCAGATAAGTTGGTGGTGTAAATTATCAAAACAAAACTCGACACAAACACAACAAATGTATAGATTCTGGCAAAATCCGAATCTCAAATAGTGATGAATTACCGTTCTATATCCTTTTTGGGCTTACTATTTATATATATAGAACATGTTTGATTGTTCGTGAATCTCTGACCATGCAAATTTCAGTGTGTATATCATAGTATATATATATACACATACAATAATATATGTATAGATACACAATATGATACTTAAGTATAGCACAGTTGTTACAGTGTACAGTTCATCAGTTGCCTCATCAATCCAGGCTGACGGAAGTTCCGATGAAGTTCATCAACACTTTGGACCTGCCCTGCACGGAGGATGGCAAGGCGCCGTGGAACGGGGGACCGCCACAATGCAAAATGGTAAATTTTGAGTTCCCGAGTAAAATCAAGCCAATGGGCTGAAACAAGCCGTTAGAACCATAGGCAGCAGGCAGGTGTCAGTTACAGTTACAGTATATGTTTAGCTCGCAAGATATGAATTACTCTTTGCTCACCAAAGGCTCCAAAGGTGGTATATAAGTCAACTTGAATCGATTTCTAGGGTGGCAAGTAACTCGCAGGTACTCTTTAACTTTCCTATTGGTTGCTAGTTACCCGTTTTGTTCTGTTGCAGTTTTGTGTTACTATACCTTCTCTTACTCTTGATTTATTTCTTAATGCCCGTGTCCCGCAGTTACCACCCTTACAAAGAGGATGCCAGTGTGGGCACTGCCAAATCCTCCTACAGCCTTACAGATCTCAGAGGATGTTTTGCCAGTGGCTCGTTTGATTTATATAGATCCCGCATGCATTTGGTCGGGATATCTTGGGATACAATCCACTTACAACGATCCATTTTATTTGCCAGGCATTTTGTTGAATATGCGATGCACCCTTTGGTAATTTTATCATATAGATATTGAACATGGACATCTAATTATACTTGATGTTCTGTTCTTAACAATGGAAATCTTCCAGCATTTTTATAGTGGTTACCAGAGGCTAAGTTAAACCATTTCTCTTTCTCTACCGATTTCTCAGGCAAAAAATCCACCGCTCCGATCAGGTCTACTTCTGGCACGCATTGGTTCAGGCGGGTTTCACGGAGCTGTTGACCGAAGCCGAAGCCGAAGAGCTACGAACGACACCCGAAAAGTGGTCATTTGTAGGCGAATCACCGTTTTAACGGTAAAACGTTGAACTCAATGGGGAACGTGTTTCGTCGCTATGTAACATGATGTAACAAAATGGAGGCTTTTTTTTCCAATCATATCCCCAGTTTGGCTCAATTCCTAGCGAAAAACCATCCAATTAAATCCCTAGTTTTTGGTTGTTCAATGACCAGTTGAAATCACCAATTCGTTGAGTTCCTGACTTTGGATTCCATGCCTCTGGTACTTTCACAGCTAAATAGCTCATCTTCCATAGCAATGTTAGTTCCCTAGTTTTTTTTGTTGGAGGGTAAGTGCCCATGAAATCACCATTAAATCACCATCAATCACCATTTATAGTGGTTAAATGCCATTAAATCCCTGAAGTTTTCTTTTGTTAAGTGGTTAGTAAATTGATGGATGATGAATCACCCATGAAAAAGCTGGGATTTATCCCACGATGGGCTGCTATAACGGTGGAAGAACTTTCTTTAGCTTTGCTCGACTGATCCTACACGGAAATGATAACAATTATATATGATTATTTATGATGGAATATATATATATATGGATGAACTCTTACATTCTCTGGAAAGGTAATTTTCTTTGGTGTAACTGGATATATATATAGCTATAGATATAGATAGATATAGTAGATTCGATTCATTATAATTAAAATAGATATACACTACAGATGTGAATTATATCCATTATATCAACATATATATAGTAGAATATCCATCATGTATACGTATATATATATATATACATATTTATGCATTATATCCATTATATCAGATTTTAATGTGAATAATTTATCCAATCAACGATAATTAAGAATATATAGATATACACTACAAAAATATACTAGATATTACAATAGAATATATATATATAAACTATCTATATGGATTATATCTATCTGCTATGATATATAGATAGGATTCTGATATACATCACAGATGTGTTTTTTTCATCTACAGAAGCCAGGTCTTGAAACTTCTGTGTCATCGATGGGATCCGACCCTCATCAATGAGATCAACTCCCTGGAGGTTGAACCGTTCCGGATTCAACGGATGGGCGTTGGTTTCCGCTGATCGATAGAAAAGCCTGGTTGGTGATTCACAGGTGGTTAATGATGGTTAATGATGGTTATATAATGGTTGATAATGGTTATATAATGGTTAATAATGGTGAATGACTGGTTGGTGGTTTGGAACCAGGGAATTTTATGACTTTATGACTTTTCATTCAGTTGGGAATGGAATAATCATCCCAACTGACGAACTCCATCATTTTTCAGACGAGTAGGTAAACCACCAACCAGTCATAGTTTCCAATGTTTCCAGGTTTTGGAGGTTTCCTGAAATGGGGGTTCCCCTAAATCATCCATTTGTAGATAGATGTTTTATTATGAAGCATCCATTTCGGGGTACCCCATTTATGCAAACCCCTATATCCTCCAGGATGTTTTTGATGATATTTTTTGAAGATTTGTACATATATGTATAGACATGATATGTACTAGGATATCCTCCAGGATGTTTTTGATGATATGTAGCCGTGCTTATTTGTGCTTGATATTTCCAGGTTTTAATAGTCAATCACGATACATGATGATACATCTAACCAACACACAATAGAAAACAATCATTTTTTCGGGGGGGGGTATATAACCAACTATGGGGACATTGTATGGAAAACAATGGTACAGTATACATCTAGGAAATCATGGGATCTAACCCTAAAGAATTGTGAATTAACCAACAAGTTTATGATGGTATAGTGGAATACAACATGGGGGTCTACATTGTGTACAGCATCCTTCTTTTAAAGGTTTGACATCGTGAGATAGTTCAAGTTTTTTTCTGATCTTCTTTCCAATTTCTTCAGAGGCAATTCACTGAACTTGATTTATTTCAAGGCACCCACATACAGATCAACTATAATCCATGAACAAACATGCATCCACAATAAAACACATATGAATGTGTATATATATACACATAGTTATGTAATTATATATATACACATTATATTTTTTTTATTATATCTTATACATATATATATATATATATACTGTATACATATATATATACATATTTTATACATATTTGTATATATCTTATAAATATGTATATATATATTATACATATACATATATATATATATATCTTATATATATATATTATTTATTATATATATATATATGTATATGTATTATATATATATTATTTATTATATATATATGTATATGTATTATATATATATATATCCACCCAACTCATAGTTTGACCCTGAGAATTCTGAGAAACCACCCACCCTTGGCTTCGTGGCTGGGCACAGGAGATGCTGGATCCAGACATGGCTGAGAAGCTGAAAATGTGAGCCATCTCAGTTGTCGTTGTTGAGACATCACTAGAGATGGTGGTTGTTCGTTATAGATATAAATAAATAGATACATATACATGTTTATCTTAATGATATGTTTTAAATAAGATTAAATAAGTAGTTAGTAAGTATGTATAATTAACAAACTCATGGGGCATTGTAAGTTGTTAACTATTTTTGGGAACCGCAGATTTTAGTTCATTTGACTCGTCTTGACCATCCAATGATTGGGTACCCAATGTTCACCAAGCCATTTTATTTACAGTTGTCATTAGCTAGCTATAGCTAGTATGTATACTTAGTAATACTTAGCTAGCAAAGGGGTATTATTATTTTTTTTGTAATTGATGGTATTCTAGTTAATCTCTGTAATTGACGTTATTTGCAGTTACTTGCGGCTGATGGTGATGGGCTAGTTGGGAACATGTTGTTTCCCCCATTTTCTTGGCAACTGTGAGCAAGATGAGCGGCTGATGTACCCCAAGTTGATTGAGCTCTCTGTTTTCTCTGCCTAGATTGATTCGAGAAAAAAACATACCATCCTCTTCAGGCCGTCTTGTTCGAAAGAAATGTCCCAATGCATTGAAGTCGTGCACTTTTCCAATGCGTTTGCTCCGTTTGCTCACATCATTGCCTTGTCGCATGCGAGTTTCCACTCACCCCTGGAATCGGAACTGGGACACGAAGGAAAACACCTTCCCACGATGATCTGTGTTCATCTATATTCATCTATGTTCATCTATGTTCCATGTCCATGCTCGACAATTTGCAGATGCTTTTCTGGCCAAAATCACAGACTTGACAGGACATATCATTCATATCACCCCCCGTGCTCCAAACCTCAGCTTCTCATCTTTTGGCTGCCCAGGGACCGGATCTGGGAGTCCAGAAAGCGACAAATGCAACAGGTCCCGATCTGGGGGGGTCGCTGGGATTAATTGCATGTTTTCCTCAAACCCTTCCAGCGAAAAAGGGAGATAGTATGGGATGGGTCAACATTAAGAAAGTTAGAAAAAAAGCACGGATTTGTTCTTGCTGTTTGAACCCAACTTTTTTTGGGTATCCAATTCATACCCGTATTCATTCCTGAGCTTGATTGATTTCAAGTCATGCTTGATAGGGTCACTTTGAGTCCCCTCAGAGGTTCAGATTCCTTCATCATGGGTACGGGCCCTTGAAGATAGGTTCTAGTTTGCTGAACCTAAGTGGAGGTTTCCTAAAATGGGGATATCCCTAAATCATCCTAATGCTAATAGGATTTTCCACTATAAACCATCCATGTTGGGGTACCCTCATTTAGGGAAATCCCCAAGTCTCCCCCTGTACTGGTAGACTTCCAGATGCGTTGGTTTGTAGTCGTCCCAGAACAGAAAGGGCCACAAGGCCTCCCGTTTTACGTAATCCGTTTTACTGTGATCCACTTGTAGCTATATAGGTTCTGTGATTATATGTAATATTTGTATATTTCTAGTATAACACAAACACAAACAAGGTATAATCCAGCAAAAAGATGTGAAGCGATTATATGATGGGATTTCTTTGATAATATTTTTTTTTTAAGCAGGAATTCCTACCAGATGTGGGAATTGGCTGCTGACCTTGGGCTTACGCCATTTGGGGAATGTCAGGTGCATCGGAATGATTCGGACATGCACTCTGTTAATACAAAACTATTACCCTCTGGTTATTTAACATAGCCATGGTATAGATGGCCCATTTATAGATGGTTTACCTATTAAAAATGGTGATTTTCCATGGCTATGTTAAATAACCAGAGGGTACATCATAAATATACATAGGATCATAGTATCTTGTAGATGCGAATCTAAATTGCACGAGTAACAAACAACCTTTACAGCTCATTCTCGATGTTTACATTTAATTTGACTGACTGAAGTCTAAATGTCTTCAATGTGATTTGTGATGTGTAGGTTCACTGTTTTCTTTCTTAAGCAAAGTATTCCTATTTCGTCATTCTAGTTTCATTACCATGCCCCAATGTTTTTTTTGCGAAGGCACCCCGAGAGAGCATCCTTTCGGTCAAGGCTGGCATTGGCTTGATGGATGATGGAGGGATCTCCGAGTAAAAAACCCCTTGCAAATGTCTACATGGAGGTTTCCCATTTCATGGGGGTACCCCTTGTCATCATCCACTTTAAATTGGGACTTTCTATGAAATAAACCATCCATTCTTTTTGGGGTACCCCCATGACTATGGAAGCCACCATATTGGTTGAGCTGAATGTTTACGGCTGGGTATGGCGTGGATCAACATTTAAGGCCCCGATTGGGGGCCTCAGATTTTGTTCATGTTTGGTACAGCATCCTGTGCCTTGTTGCCTTGGACGAGGCTTTTTCCAATGATCCCATATGATAAAAACATCTAGAATGATAGTTTATAATACTTTATAATACGTTATAATACTTTATAATACTTTATAAATCTGATACTATATTATATATATAATTTGATATCCCATTTGATGTCCTTTGATATTCCATTTCTTATACAATGATCCTTTCAGATCCTTTCAGCGCCAGGATCACATCGCTGCTCTGAAGATCCAACACATTGTCCGCGACAGACGTTTGGGAACCTGGTTTTCATCGCATGGTGACGAGGAGGAATTTTTCACCTAATTTTTATAGTGATATATGACATGCGAATCAGTTATTTATATTAAGGTAATGATAATATATAATATAATATAATATATTTAATAATGGTTTAGCATGCTTTTTTCAAACGGTCTATACAGGATTGATATATATATATATAATACATGAGTTGGAGCATAATGGCGAAGTCTATGATCATTCTTTTGCCCACAACATATCTCTCTCCTTCTCTGTCTCTGTGAATACAATGAATACAGGATCAGTCAGAAGGTGTTCTGCATCAATCAGCGGTGGTCAAAAGGTGCTTCGAGGATGTTGTTGTTTTACTATCTGGTAATTTACCGTAGCGACGGAACATGTCCATTTTGAACTGAGCTAAAGCATCATAAATGATATAGGTAAGTGTCCATAGTTATTTTAAATAACCAAAATGGTAGATTTCGTTATGATTTGGCCACATTACAATCTGTGGCAACTCTCCCTCAGTCCGTCTATCCATTCTTCCTTCTGCACATGGAAATCCGAAAGAGGCTGTTAGTCGGCATCAAACCCAAACTTCATGTTTTGAACAACTCCACTTTCTTAGTTGGTTAAAATCTTAGTTGGTTAAAATCTTAGTTGGTTAAAATCTTAGTTGGTTAAAATCTTAGTTGGTTAAAATCAAATGGATGGGATTTCCCTGCATCAAAGGTCACGTTCTTCGTTGGATGGGGGTTTATCAGTGACCAGCGGTTTGCCATCTTCTCACTATCAAATGTGGCAGCCCAGTAGCTTCACCAAAGTATTGGTTACAGTATTAGGAGGTTTCCGAAAAACTGGGTATAGCCCGAAAAAAAAACATTCTGGATGGATTTTCCATGAACCATCCAGCTATTTTTTGGGACCCCCATGACTATGGACTTCCCATGACTTCCCCATAGAAATACAAGAAATTGATCATCCAAATTCTGGACTTATGATGATTTTCAAGCCAAAGAGCTTGGACCCTGCTCAACCGCGCGCTCCAGGTGTCGTTCGGGTCCCTAGCGAGTCAGAAGTGCCTAAAGGCTCGGCCCTACACTCGAAAACCTACTACTTTTTGGGGGTCCCAAAGAGGAAGCCCCCCAAATGATAGCTAAGATATGTTGCAACTAGGCATTTGGTAACTGGGAAGTTATAGTGGAATTTGTGTGGATCCAAAGACTTTCCAAGTACGGCTGCCCGTGTTGCAGGGCGCAATCACGCCTTCCAAGATGTGGTGAGTTGAAGGCAACCTGGCGGCATTTAAGAAGGTTTTTCAACGGCGATTCCTGGCCACTGGATTTGCCAACCCCCCAAAAAAGACAAAGAAATAGAACGGTCATGTATTCTGGATATGACCAATTGCGATTTTGGGGGTTGTAAGAAAAAAACTACACTGTTGCAGAAAGACCGAGTTTTTGACTGTAGAATTATTCTATACAGTACATGTTCCCTTCTTGAACCAAGTCTGGCAATTTTACATCATGAGTTGCGAATGTTAGTGTACTGGTCCACGTGCGTTCTTTTCATTTTGAACTCTGCACACGGTACGTTTGTGTCTGTCTCAATTGACTATAATCTGTTTGGGATGGGTTGAAACCACCAACCATCACCAACCAGTAACCAGTCCATATGAAAATCCACATGTGGGTTCGTTTGAGAATAGGATACCAACATTTGATTATCATCATTTGCTCTATCAAATGCCATGAATCGGAGGTATGTCGACCATGGCCTCAACCGTGCTGCAGGCCTCCCATAAAAAGAAAACGTCCAAAGAGACGTGAATTGATGCGAGCCGAGGCAGATTGAACTCTGCATTTCGTAGCTACTCCCGGCCGCCAGGTGATGGCATCCACATTGGGGATGATTGTCCAATGGTCTCCATGAAATGTGTGTTAAAACAATTAGCTTTTCGTTTGGCTATCCCGTAAACTGATGCCATCGCGCACGGCAGTGCATCCAAATTCTGAGACAGTTCCAGCTTCATCTGTGTGGTGAACGAAGCGAAACTCAGCGCTGGAACCGAAGGTGTCGCAGTGTAATATACGACCGCCGCAGAGCCAGACGTCACCTGGGGAGGGCTAAGCTGTGAACAGCTGGATCTCAGGCCACAGGGTGTTCCTTCTCAGCAAAACAGGTAGCAGATTGATCATGATTGATACAGATCCATAAAAGCCATATGCATCCATATGCTATGATATGCTATGTCATAATATGGCATCTATGGCCAAAAGGACTGCCAACGATTGGGCCACTTTGGGGTAAAATGGTGGCATGCTGTGGCCCTGCTCAACCAGTGCCGTTGGCTCCCTCGGCAAACCGCTAACGCTTCCGACGTCCTCCGACGTCCTGCGAAGCAGGAGCCACGGATGACCAGCAAAAGAGGAGATTCAGGTTGTCAGGGGCACTACAGGGGAGGGTTTGGCGTCGAAGAATGGGGTACGGTATACTAATGTATACTATATGCAATGTAGTATACATTGAATTTCTATGAATGAATGGCATTCTAATAAGGACAATGGATTTGGATGGATTTGGGATGACCCTATTTCCAGATCACCTACTTTTGGTAGTTCCTACAACCGGTTCCTGCGAGTGGTCCGCAGCAAATTGCACAATTAGATCATGGATCAGTGGCTGAAGCCGGGTGTAATGGCAAGTTGCGGTGAATCCACCTTTTGCCAAGGCCATTTCCTAGTCTTCATTGTTGAAATGTTTCATGGTCAATGCTCGTTAAATCAAGTTAAAACCCCATTTTGCTTGGTTCAATAGCCCTTTTTGGTGGGTTCAATCTTACAATCTGCGCTTAAGGAGGGCAGGATGCTTCTAGCTCTCAAAGTACAAGCTTCCCGGGCCATCATGCCGGTCATATTGAACTATACCTGGCATCAAACAATCTTCCGATGGGAAGACCCACCTTCCCATTTTGAGGCTATCACTGCCCATTTTCAACATTGCACTCTTGGAACTCCCCCTGTGTTTCCTGCCATGCAACAGCAGCAACGTTGCACGCAGCTCTCAAGTACCATTGCCTCTGTGATCTCGGCGCGCCAGCCATCGGGGGCCAGTTAGTCGGGTCCTCGTTCGTTCGCTCGCGAGATTGCGGGATGACAAAGGTCGCTATGGAAATCCCATGGCATGGCTTCTTGGATGTGGATGATTTTTCATGGCTTCCCAGGTTTGGGTAAATAATGGTAAATCCACCTGAGGGACCTGGGCGAATTTTGATTGTGGTAATTGATAAAACCATGAATAGGCGGTATAAACCATTCCCAAATGGGTGGTTTATTATTGTTTTCCCACATTACTCAAATCATCTCAACTCCAAGGCTTCGTGGGCACTGCTCTATGGACGCTTGTCGTTTCCTGCTGCTTGGCAGTTTCCCTGCCACAGATCAGCAGTTGGTGGTCCGGAGCAACTCCATGCAGTGCAGTTCCAGAGTGTGTGGAGAAGGCGGAGCGTGCCATGTGAAGAAAGGCTAAGTTGGATGATGCCCCAGCTTGTCAGCACAGTTGGTTTGTAATGTTATAATTTGTATACAACCAATATTTGGATATATTTTGGTGTATGATCGATATATATATATATAATATACACATAATCAATGGGATCTGTAAACTATGATAAACCAACTTGTAGTTGGGGGCGTCCACATTGTAGTGGTATGAGTTGCCTTTTTTCGAGCAACACATGGTGGCTGTGTTTCCCGGTAAGATCTCGTGGTTAGCAGCTCCGGCTGGGAGGTGTCCAATGCGTACCCTCAGAGCTATCATGCGTTCGTGGCAGTGGGCCTTGGCGTTGTATTGTTACGAGAGGGAACTTTGCTGCTGGTGTCTGTGGCAGATCAGCTGATGATGAAGCCGGCTTCGAAGAAAAGGTCTCTCTCACATCGCCTCGAATTCAAGGACTTCTTGGCACAGTATCTGCTTTGTATCTCTGTTCCGAGAATGGGCTTGTCAATTTCTCCAACGTGGGGACCCCGCGAAAGCATAATTCTTTAATGATTTTAATGGAAATAGCAAACTTTGGATGGTTTTGGGGGTCCAAAAAGATCAAATCTAGCTGGTGGTTGCGAAATAGTTGTCTACATCCTAGTTGGCATGCATGTGGCTTTCATCTTGTTGGCAATGGGCTGGAAACACCAAGAAAACATGTTGCATCTCTTGTTTTTTTTTTCAACGTCACTCACTACGGTGTTCACGAAAGTTCCGAAAGCATGTGGCGGTCAGCATGGGTCTCAGCAAATGTGAGGTTGTGGTTCATAGCGCTGTTCTGTGAGTGTAGCGTTGAACATGATTGAATTGGTATCACCCAAATAGCCAAATGGAGCGATCCTCGCAGGGACACTTCGATGGTGCCAAACAGTCCTGTTTCATCCTGTTTCTCCATTTTAGTGACCAAACCAGGTATGCTCCTGAGCTCTTTGACAGCTTTTGAGACATATTTGGCATCTACATCTGTGCCACTCGTGCATGTTCTGCAAGATGCCGTGGTTCCAGTCTACACTGTCAGATACATCGAATCTTGGTAGCCTCAAGGGACCCAGTACAGTGGAATGCTAAAGTCGTGCCTAAAATTTGGAAATCATCGTAAATAGCTGGGGAGCACTTGATTTGAAAAGTCGTGCCTTTTTAGTAAAACGCATAGGAATTGCAATGTTTTGTTGGATTTGGTCTTTGGAATAGTTTTTGTTAATAAATCTTGCGTTTAGGTTGTGTTTAGCATCAAGGGTACCTTTTCCATATTGTTAATAAATCTTGCGTTTAGGTTGTGTTTAGCATCAAGAGTACCTTTTCCATATTGTTAATAAATCTTGCGTTTAGGTTGTGTTTAGCATCAAGAGTAACCTTTTCCATACCAAGTCAAACTGGATGTGAGTGTAGCGATGAGTTGGTGTTTCTATCTTTTTCTTTCCAGTGTGCTGCGGCAGCCATTTTCACTTTTCACTGCGTGCTCAACGCGGCATTGTGGCACTTCAGCGTGTTGCTTGAGATGGAGGTGAGAAGGGTCATTGTTGTGTCTTCGTGTCGGTTTTAGTTTCTTATGTGGTTCCGCAGGCGGGTGGGCAGAGAGCCTTTCTTGTTATTTTTTGACGTCGTTTGCTACGTCGTTCGGACGTCGTTCGGCACGTCGTGGTTTCAAAAATAGGAAACCTATAGGAGAGGTTGGTTGTTGTGAATCACGGATGGCAGAGCGAAGCCACTGGTGGACCGAGAGCAGCAAAGCGAAAAGAGTCAGCAAAGCGAAAAAAGTCAGCGGACCGAAGCGGCAAGTATTTCCCAACCCCAGAAACATGAACAGTAGAATGCAACTGTAGACGGATTTTTGCGAACATTTGATTTTCCCAAGTGTGGAAACATTCTTCTTATACATACGCGATTCCATGGTGTTTTAAGATTTGGGCATGACTTAGGCATGAGTTTCTTGAAACAGCGATCCATGGTGATTTACTAGCAAGTTTTGACCCAGGCATGAGTTAGGCATGAGTTTGTCGTTTGACTGTAGGACCCAGTAGGACCCAGCGTTGGAATCGAGCCGTCCAATAGAATCAATGTCAAGTGACGCAGGTGGGTCTAGAGCTCTTACAAGTGTTATTTTATTGTATTATTTTATACTTCCACCTAGGTATAAATATAAGAATATATAAGATCCAACGTGACCATAGACCAGAGTTAACTAACTCGTTATAGCGATTTATAGAGTGTTATAGATTTAGATAATGCTATAGCCATAGTTCACCTTGTAGTAAACATATGCAAACAGAAGCACACTTGTAAATTCATCTATACAAATATATATATATACACCATATATATATATATACACCATATATATATATATCTATACCATATATATATAATTATATAAATATTATATATATATATATGTATACAATTATATAAATAACATGATACAATATAAACATCCAGCAATTACAGTGTAGCTCACCTCGTTGTGTGCCCAAAAAGGAATGGTTGGTGGACGTGCCATTGCTGATGATCCTTACGTGTTGTGGCGCCTTGGGGCGGCCTTTGTCGCAGGCTCTTGGAAACTTGGTGCCATGAAAATCGATGGTAAGTTGAAGGATTTTATACAGATACAAACACAAAATACTGTAGTACATATAACTGTCTACAGTTATATGATGTTATATGTATATCTCTATACATATATATACATACATATAGATATACATATTAATCATATTATATATATATACATATAAATAGATGTTGAACCTCATTAAGATAAACAAGCAGTTGTGGCCGGTTGAAACTGTTTCTGCGCTTCCATTTTGAACCTTTGCAATATGACATGTGACGCGAGTTTTGATTCACGCACTAGTGCTGTTGGAGGCAACAGTTTTTACTTTGTCAAAAGGTGCAGACTGGTTCGATGGTTAAACCTCCTTAATTTTGCTGACTAATCATACATCAACCACTACTTCCAAGCATATTGTTTGTAATGTGTTTTTTTTTCCCCATTAAATCCCCATTCTATTGCAGTGATACCATCTGTACAAGGTAGGCCTCTCAAGCGCGAAGGTGATTAACCCTATGATCTCTACCTTCCGCAAACAAAAAGCATGGGTATAAACCAAACTCTAAGTGTTATACTTTCCATACATAATTATAGATAACAGGTGGTATATCGTACTGTTATGGAAGTTACTATAGAATACTATAGATAGGTTCCAGAAAGATTATTTAACCAAATGATCAACCAACTTTGCTATTATGCTATCTATGGGGCACCACCTTTCTAGTACAGGCCTTAGTCGTTCTCCTTTAGATTGAGGGATGATTGTAAAAAGCAGCTGCTGATCCCCTTGATGATGTTTACTGATAGAATCTCCCAAGTTGCGTCCCAATGTGTGATGGCACTTTCAACAGATGTTCTCTAGTGCAAGAACTCAATGAATCTTGATTCAACCTCAATTCTTATGGATGAAGTCCCCAATCGATGTCTTCTGTCCTGGTTGTTTTAATTCCTTCCCCCAAGTGAAATCCACCCCTTGAAATCCTGGTTCAACATATGGGCTTGTCTGAACACAGGCTACGCGGCTACCCCTAAGATCCAACGGTTAACGCCATTTTTCCAGTTTATTTCCATAGAGTCATAGACAGAAGGTATATAACATATATAACTGCCCAACTACCCCATTTCCAGCGAAATTCCCATTGTTGTTCACCGCAAATCCCAGGACCTATCGTGGCCACCAACTGCTACATCATCGCTTCCTGGGCCGCGCTCTTCGTGGGTGATGTAGCTTATCAAAGGCTAAGTTGACGTCTTGAGAACATTTCATAACTTAATTAAGGTATCTTGAGGTTAACATTTGGATTTGGATGGGGGGGAAATAACGAACTAGTTAGATTCTTAGATGGGCTTTACAACCAACAAACAAAACTGGGGGCGTCACCTAGATTCATGTCTGGTGATCGTAAGTCCAGGGTTCCGTGGGATCATTGCGTTTAGATACCTCTGGTAAACATCCCAAAAACTGTGGAACATCACCATTTGTCATGGATAAATCAACGATTTCTATGGTCATTTTTCCATTTTCAATAGTTTTTTGTATGTTTACCAGAGATACCGATCATATGGATTCCCTCTGGTAATTTCACATGGCTGCCATAGCTGGAATATGGACCATTGATAGATTTACCAATAAACAATGCTGATTCTCCATAGCTATGTTAAATTACCAGAGGGTACCACGATTTGTAGGATCCTCCAAGTGGGGAAGTGCTTCCCGTCTCGCCAACTCACCGAGCGCATAAGTGCCTTTTTTTGGAGAAATTCGATGCTTTAGCCATCTGGTCATGGTGAATTTTCCGGATGGGGATTTGGCGATGAAGAATTTGATAGCACCTCACATGGAGATTCAAACAGGGAAACATCGCACTTTGCTGGGCGACCTTGCCACCGTTGTCATGGGGGTTTGCAGGATATCATGGCCTAGATACAGACATGATGAAGTGGTCGAGGCTCATACAAATTGAGGTTCATATTGATGGTTTTTTCAGTAGCCTCAGAAGGTCTCGCTGGTTGTTGCTGATTTGCTGGCTCCAAATGTGCTTGTTGTCATGATTTCCGAAGTCAGTTGCTGCAGCTGAAGGATCTTCATATTGATTGAATTTCTGTACCCGAGATCACATCAACAGACTCCTGTCTTCACATGTTCTTTACAGTCAATTAACCAGTTTTGAAATCGGTTTTTGTTGTGGATAGTCTCTTTGATTTGGTTGCTTTATGTGTGTATTTATATGTATATATTTAATTTATATTTATATTTACGGGTTTGTAGTGGTTTGCACACAATTTTGGTATGAATAGACATACTGTGTATATATATAATATATATATATATGTATATATATATAGTGTATATATATATACATATTTATACCGTATTTATACATTGATTATTTGTTAGAAGATGTTTCCAAGCCCTTTCACCCCTACTCCGTTTGAGGCATGTGTTCGGAACACCGTGATCACTGCGATTCTTGTGGCTTACGCCTGGGCATCTGAGAGAAGCTTGGGCATGTGTTTAGGTACAGCTGAGGTATTGAACAAAACCCCTGTTGGTTGATTGTTATACGGAGTTATACACGGTTATACTACATTATATCTACTAGTTAATATATTGGGGATGATCATAACCCATGGCAGGGGAATCCCGTTCTTAACCATCCAGTATGATAGAATGACAGAGGGGTGTCTAAACTTTGCTGAATTAGATTTGACTGATTGGATGATATGGTAATGGTTAAAACCTGTCATTAACATATGGAGGTTTCCTAAAATGGGAGTACCCCCAAGTCATCCATTTATAGATAGATTTTCCAGTACCATCCAGCTATTAGGGTATCTCCATTGATGGAAACCCCCACATGGGGTGAAGAACCATACCCATGACGGATCCATGGTGCTGGTATATATGCTAACATAAAGGGGGTATATTGATGGGATCCATGGCACACCATATATAGCAGCACCGTTAGGATCCGTCATGGGATAGATCCCAGCTATGCGTGCCAGGGATGATCCAGTGGGTCAAGGATTTTCTTCGCGAGTCACAAGATGCGACCTGTCTGGAACAGAGGGAACCAATAAAACACCCCCAGATGGCCGTCTCGGACCTATACCATTTGTAGATTATTTTGTAGGAAAATCATTGGTTTTCCATATATCTATATATATATGTTAGTTTACCCTAGGGTAATCGGTTCGTGAGGTTTAAAAGTTAAAAGGGTCAAGTTATCGAGCTGTCGAATTCTCAAAGTCTCGAGTTTCTCGAGCGCAAGTCTGGTTGCACCTTGACACCTCTGTATGGTCTGTGGGAGATCAGCTAAAGTGCGAAGGCTGTGGATCAAGAACAAGCTTTTGATGCTGATCAACAACATTGCTCGTGTTTAATGTGGGCAAAACAACAGTAAACCACCCATTTGGGCATGGTTTATACCACCAATTTATGGTGATATTGGGGATGGTTTATTATTCTTTTAAGCACATTAGTATCTCCAAACAATCCATGTCGAAGACTCGTCAAGATCTTCCACTGGAAATCCACAATAGGTGGGGCCCCCAACTGATAAGTTGGTTTCTTTGCCTAGGCTAGCTGGGTTTTTATTGATATAACTGTAGTTAGACGGGTGTGCAAATCAACGAGCATTAAAATGCGGGTTTACTGTTGGGATTAAGGTGTATAAATATACGAATTGTCAATCAACAGGCATCTCTGGAAAAGCCAACCTTTTCAAATCATCAAACAACAACTATAGTTAAGTATAGTTATGTATACATATAATATATAGAGAGAGAGAGAGGCGCCATAAACATCCATAAACCATAAATTCAATCATGGCTAATTTGGTTTTCTAACTGTGCTTTTCCACCTGGAAATGGACCAAGAACTTCTCAGGTCCCATGCCGAAACACACGAGTTGCTTCAGTGATCCTGCTGAGACTTGGCGTCCTGTTGGGACAAAATCTCCTGGGTTGTCCAAAACAGGGCCATTTTTAATGGAAAGTCACCATTTTTAATGGGTAAATCAAGTATTTCAATGGCCATGTTCAATAGCTATGTTAGATTGCCAGAGGGTAGTTGTCAAATTCGAGATCGAACTTTGAAGGAAGTTGATGAATCATACCTCCCAAGTCATGATATGTGTGTGTGCGTGTTGCTTTCTTTGTTCTTGATGGTCAAAGGATGTCAAATGCAAAGTCTGAAATGCGATTTCCTGATGCCGGTGGCGGGACAATCTTGGAGGGAATTCATGAATTCTATTGGTATTCCTTAATTCCTTGGTCACATTATAGTTCATAGATCAGTCATCATTTGTCCGAAGCATTACCAGGAACTCCAAGTCTTTTATCTTCCATTTCTGAGATGTTCACCTCATCAGATATTTACAGATATGCCCTCTGGTAATTATGCATTTTGTTCAGGTTCACATGTGTTAGGAACGGTAAATTACAATTTGTATCATCTATTTCCATTTGCCATGTTCCACAGCTATGTTAAATAACCAGAGGATCAGAGGGTAATATGTCCTTTAGTGTGTAATTCTTATCCCTTTGAAAAAGAAGAGTAATATAGAATAATCCGTTTCCGAAAAACTTCCCCTGGAAGGGGTATATATTAGATCCGAATCTACATTTAGGTTTCCCAGTTTGGGAATATACTTCCGGACTGGTAAAAATCCAGTTAGATCCGAGCTCTGAAGGATCGTGGTGTTTGGTATCTATGGCATAATCTACGTTTCAGGCGGGGTGTTTTTTTTCAGCTGGTGGGTAGCGGTTTTTTTTCCTTTGGACAATTTCATCAACTGGTTTTGTTGAATGGTGTTCAATAGTGTTGCCAAATCATGGTGCCAATTTGTTGAATGGTATTTCATCAACTGGTTTTAAGACTATTTTCAAATTGATCTTTGAATGGTGAAGGGGCTCAGTCAACAATGTGCATGGTTGCCGATAGCAGATATATAAGTACAGGTCAAATTTTGAGACCCATCCGACCCATGGAATTTTGGCAAGTCGGATGCTTGCCATTGCATACATGTACATATTGTGTATTACATATTCGTGAATGATCATCTCAAGTTTCTTAGAGTTTTCCCATTCAACTTGGTTACCCTCCGGTAATTTAAAACCTATCGAACAGCTGATTTCTAGATGATTTACCAACTTAGATTTAGTTTTGTCATGTTTTGTCTATATATTAAATTCTATGAAATTTCAAGCCTAATCACCATTTTTAGTTTCTATAGAAACATGGTGATTTTCCAGTTCGCAAACGTCTTAAATCACCATAGCCAGGGCAGCCCCCTGGAGGTGTTGCTGGATTGATCAGCTTCGAGATGGAACATCTGGGCTACACCTTCATGGGCTTCAGTTGCAAGGCGAGATGTCCCGGAGTCAGAAGTCCCAGAATATATATATATATGTACAGATAGATTAGATTAGATGAGATGAGATAAGATCAGATAAGATGAGATGAGATGAGATAATACAGAAATGTAGATAGATAGATAGATAGATAGGTAGATAGGTAGATAGGTAGATAGGTAGATAGGTAGATAGGTAGATGGGTAGATAGATAGTTTTAGATAGATTTAGATAGATTTGATCGATTTAGATCGATTTAGATCGATTTAGATCGATTTAGATTGATTTAGATCGATTTAGATCGATTTAGATTGATTTAGATCGATTTAGATCGATTTAGATTGATTTAGATCGATTTAGATAAATTTAGATAGATTTAGATAGATTTAGATAAATTTAGATAGATTTAGATAGATAGATTTAGATAGATAGATTTAGATAGATAGATTTAGATAGATAGATTTAGATTTAGATAGATAGATAGATAGATCAATAGATTTAGATAGATAAGATTTAGATAGATAGATTGATATAGATTTAGATTCAGATTCAGATTTCTATTTAGATAAATAGATAGATCTAGATTTTGATGATTTTGATATATTTTGATAGATAGATGTATATATATATATATATTATAATATATATTATAATGTGGGTAAAGCGATAATAAACCGCCCATGACTGGGAATGAACCTGATCAATCCCGCGAGGATCATCCCACGGCCTGGGAGACGGGCCATGGCCATGGTTCCCATGGGTTTTTTTGGGGCGTTGGAGACGGGGACCAACCAATCACCAGGGTTATTCAGGGGGGATAATCTCTAAGTACCCGCATCATGTTTTTCCAAGTTTGGAAATTTGTAGGAACATATTGACTTTTTGTAGTGGATGGTGTGGGCGATGTGGCTACATTGTGAATAAACAGATGGTCGGCATCTGGTGGCCCAAGAGTGCAAACTGGCGCTGGAAGGTTATTTCTAGAGGCTTTTAATTGGGTTTGAACATGGGATAGCCAGAAATCCTATGTGTTTGAAAGTCATGTTCCCCGTATTTACATGTATTTACCTTGTCATTTTAGTGGATCCCCTATTTTCGGACACACCCTATACATCCCTATACGTATTTGTGCCTTTTCAGGTCAACTTGATGACAGTTGTGCGATGGGATCATGATTACTTCAAAGGGGGAGCCATTGAAGCAATTAATTAGATCCGCAACAATCAGCAAAAATCAACATATAATATGTAAGTATATGTGATGCTTGTATGTAATATGATTTCTATAAGATTACATATGGCATTTATATGGAAATATATGGCATAATGTGTCTGAAAAAACAGACATATTCGACTGGAAGAAGGGGCCAAAAAATCGCCAAAAGCAGGTGACTCTGAGCATCCTTTTCGCCTCCATCCGGGCCTATCAGAACCATCAGGTCTTGGCAAGGCAGGGCAGGTTGACGAGAAAGCCAGTTGGTTGATGGTTTTTCGGGGCGTTTCACCAAGAAAAAGGAGATTTAGTCGGGATTCAACCAACAAGAAAGGTCCTTTAGCATGATTGAACCATGACATATGGGGATTTAAGAGCATCTAAAATGGTGGTATAATGGAATATAGATGGGAATATCATGTATTCAAATTATTCAACACAGCAATAAACCTAGCATTTGCCAATGGTTTATGCCAACCATTGGGGTTGCTGCATGGGGAATATCACAATCAATGGGGAATCCCGTTCTCATCTAACCAGTTGAAATGGGGCATGCCTCTCGTAAAGCCTCCATTGATTGAGGAACGTTGATGAAGAAGAAGAAGACACCAGAGCTACCGAGACTGCCGGCGAGGCAGAGAAGATGCCAAATTGGGCAATGAATCTTGATGTCGGAAGCAGAAGACTGCCTGCAAAGGGACTTATCAACAAGGATTCGTTCGAAGGTGCAGCTCAGCTTTTCGACAATGCCGTTTTGGTCAAGATTATGGGCATGTACAAGTACTATTACAAGCAGCGTGTCATGATGACACCCGAGGAATACCGGGCCCAAATGACTACCGGTAGCGTCGGGAGGCTTGACTTGGATGATATCTGCCCTTACACAGGCGACAATGATGATGGGACGCTTCGCCGCCGATCTGAAGAGGAGCTTGATGTAATGTTCAAGGCCAAGGCGAAAGAGGACGAGTGGATGCAGGGCGAGAAAATGTGCGGAGGCCGTCCGCGGGACATGTTGACACCCGTGATCCAGACGCTTGAAATCTATGAAAAGCTGATGGAAAGCCTCGTACTTGCAGGATTCAAGCCCGAAGACCTCCAATTCCTCATTCCAATGAACAAGATGAAAGGAACTCATGAGGAGAAAAGTGAAATGAGGGCAAAAATCAGCGATTTCTTAGGTAGGCTGTTGAAAAGTGCTTTTCCGAGTTCAACTCAATACGCCTACTTTAGAGCTGGTGATCATGGATTCGAAGATTGCATTGAGATCCCCGCCTTCACGGTCTACTTGGCCTACAGGGAAAAGGAGCGATCTATGGAATTGCTGGTGACAGCAACTCAATGCAATGTGATCCTTCCACAAGCTTTTATCGGAAGAATCGCACACGCTGTCAAGCGTGCAGAGCAGGAAGCCTCTAAAGGGCACTTGCAGTGGAAGAAGCACTTAGCACCAAATGTTGATCCCAACATCGCGCAGAGTGTCTACAAATCGATTGGCGACACTGAAGGTGCAAAGAGGGCTGTCGATGATGCCGTCAAAGCTGAAGCAGCAAGGGCATCTGAAGCAGAAGCAAAGGCTAAGGGCGGTCCGAAATCCTACGCACCGAAGCCCCCTCCACCAAAAGCTATGCCATCGAGCGCCCCAGGTGCTTCGAGTTCCTCATCCGCAGCGCCTGGTCCTGCTAAGGCCAAACCTGCATATAAATCAATGCCCACAACGGCAAAGTCAACTCGGCCGTCTCCTGGTGACAGGCCACAACAAGCGCCCCAGTATAAGAAGAAACGCACTGACTAATTTGATTTTATTTTCTTCTATGGATGGATGAATGCTGGGCACTATGTGGCGATCTTCATCTTCACTGATGAACGTCATACCGAATGACTCGTGAGAGGATTCTGAGCGAGGCCTAGTGATGAATCAACTTAGTTTTCTCACCGAGTCAAATTCAAGGTTCTAGTCTAATCCAAACTTTTCTTTTGTACAGATTGTCTTGCTGATAGCTAGCGTTGCAAATGTATGAGGAATGCACTCTGTTAAGACCCATAGGGTACGCAGTTGTGCTGAACTCATAATGCGTAATTCGGTTAGCTTGAAGTGGGTCAGTCATTGTACTGCATGTTGCAGTTGCCCACGACAAGCCGCGAAGCCGGTTGCATATGGGGATCCAGAACTCGTAACACCCAACGGGTAACGAGGGACGGTGAACCAAAATAGCACAATCTTTTGCGGCAGCTGTAACATATAGTTTTCTTAATTCGGAGAGTTCCCATCCTTCGTGTCCAATGAACTGACAATGCATTGGACATGGGGGGTGCGAATGGGAACTAAGTAAGGGCAGCGCTGACATATAGCTGTATATACACGTCATGTGCAAATCAATGTTACCGCCATGACCTCATGGCTCAAGTGCCCACTAACAGGAAAACAATTGCTGCTCTGTCCGCCATGCTCCCTTGAAACGTTGCGCTAGCAGACAAACGCAGGATATTCTGAAACGAGCAATATAACATCCGGAACAGGGATTATTCTGTTCACATATAACATATATATATATATATGTATAATGTAAATTAAATGATTCACCAGTGGATTTGGTGTATTCCCTCGTGAAATCCAATTGGCCAGGCTGGTTGGGAAACTTCGCGGAGCCACTTTGACCAGATTTCAGGGCCATGTTTTTTTGGATGCGAAGTTGGAAATATCAGGGAGAAAGCAATGAAGTCTTGGGAGAAATGGATATCTTGATGATTGGCTTTATGGATATATTGATTATATTAGATTAATTATTGATGATTAGATGATCATATATTCATTATCATTGGTTTGATATAATGATTGATTGATGAAATTTTGATGAGAAATGGATATCTTGAATCCAGAAAGTTTTGCTAATTATTACTATTTATGCAACAAATTGATCCTTATGGTTATTGACATTTTTTTGTCTCACGGTCGTTTGATGCTATGTAATCTTTGCCCTGAGCGGTCAGGTTTTCCGAAAGTGCGTCTAAGGTGTTGGGAGCATTATGAAGTTCTTTGTATATCGCATCATATCCCATGTAAAAATCCCCCCATGTACAGTATACATATATATACTGTATATATATATATGTTACAGTATGTTCTCACGGCTGTGTCAACAGCCCTTAAGTTTCACACGCCAAACGCGACAAGTGTCCGACGACGTCCGGTGACGTTGTGTCGCTCCGAGGTCAGCGTGGCGTTTGTGTCGCTCTTGCGGGGCAGCTTTGATCATGTGGTGCCGTGCGCAGTGAGTCCTGATGGAATGTGTCATCTTCCAGATCCTGGGACGGCGCTTTAGGTTGAACATCGACTGGGGGATAGCGGATAGGATTTGAGATGGTTTAAGCCAGGTGAAACACATTAGACACATGAGAGCTATATAATCACCAAAAATTGTGGGTTAATGACATTTTGAACCAAAGAACAATGATTTGGTTGCGTCTGAAAATGGTGAATTTACTCCAATTTATTGTGATATAGTACTATGACTTTATCACGGAATATTGCTGATAAACTATCAAACATGTGGGGTCTGTTGAGACAAACCCAGCACAAATACACTTTATTACGTACATTTACGTACACATATGATATGCACATACACTATACTATAGATATATGATACATGTACATATATGTTTGTTGTGTGTAAATATACATGTTTTTCCCCTGCCTTTGTAGTCGCTTTGAAACCCCACTGCTTGCTCCCAAAGTCCAGGAACGCGGCAGTCGGGACTTTCAAGACCTTGAGCGCTTCTTGGGGAAGACGATGGAAGAGTCAAACAATTTCAATGACTTGTTGGACAAAGACGATCGGGAACGCTTCTTGGCCTTGAAAAACAACATGATTGAACCATCACAGATGGGGATTTTGATTTAACCATCAAGAGTTCATTACCCTCTGGTAAACTAACATAACTATGGAAAATCACAATTTTTAATCGGAAAATCCACTATAAATGGCCATTTTCAATAGCTATGTTAAATTACCAGAGGGTATATTGATGGGAATATTGATGGGAATATTGATGGGAATATTGATGGGAATATCATGTGATGAACCCAGTAGCATAAACCTACCACGACTGGGGATGGTGACCCATCTATAGTGATATTAGGGATGGCTTATAATTGGGTTTATCACGTCATGGTTCATAGACCTCCAACGTCATCAAACGTATCCAAACGTGGCTAGCTGGGAAATCCCCGAAGTAAATGGCTAGATGACACCTCAAGATGTGTAGTTGCCTGTGGTATATAGTTGATATATGTTGATAGCACAGGGAAGGACTGATGGTATACATAGTTAGTTACTTGTGATCAACATAGTTAAATAGTTGATAAATAGTTTTTTGTTCCTAGTTGATAGGTTTTTTTTGAAACCATCTGGGAACAGATCTGGTGATTCAACCAACGTTGAATCGGGGGTACGTTTTGGGATGTTCGACGTGGAGGTTCTCAATGCCATATCCATGGATGTGCCCATTTATATCCTCAGATGATGTTGGTTAATGTTGGTTATTGTTGATTAATGTTGGTTACTAACATTTACTAACCTATTCAATATTCACGCAAAGGGGTTCTCAGATTCCTTGAGGTTTTACGAACTACGTGAAGAACGCAGTTCGTCAAAAAGATCAGTCGTTCCAGCAGATGGATGCCGGAAGCATCGCAAGCAGCTTGGTGCACCATTGATTTGCTGTGTTCCGCTGTCAAATCAGGAGCAAGTACTGTAATTCTGCAAGCCTCGATCAGTATCATTCGAGTCATAATGATCTGAAGTAGTATTACATTAATAATTATATGCCTCTATAGTAATTATTGTATAATAATCTGATATAGTCATAATTATAATTCTAACAAGTCATAATGTAAACAATAAATATCAATAAGTCATATTAACTATAGCCATCGCCTACTGGAATCTAATTGGCATATGGGGATGGGTCAAACCCGATGGGAAATCACCATATGACTGGGGGAATAAACATCCATATGATATCCATAAATCTCAGCTATGACAGCTACAGTATGGTAGCGCGCGCAAAAACCGCCTAGGTCAACCACCGGTGGCACATGCACTGCACATCTCTTTGCAGAGAGATGCGGCCCAGCTCCCAGCGTGTTTTCACATGAAAAAGACTGAAGAAAAGTCTGGAAAAGCCAACTAGATTACTACTGGTTGGTGGTTTGGAACATTACTTTTATTTTTCCATAAATTGGGAATGTCATCATCCCAACTGACTTTCATATTTTTCAGAGGGGTTGAAACCACCAACCAGACTAGATGTGACTAGATGGTTAGTTCATTTTTGCAACTGGACATCTAAGAAATTCCAATTCTGGACAGGTATCCTCAAGCTATATTCCTTGGTTGTAAATGACTTCTCCGTTTACTTTGTTCATCACTGGACGTTTGCGCAAGCAGCATAGTGACCATTTGTCAGTAGTCCTCCAGGGAGATTGTATGATGAAAAGGTTTGGATGTGGCAGAGTCTTCCTATGTTATCGGGTTACCGAACACAATGTGATCGATGTCCCGGACTAATAGGGCAATTTGATGCAACGGCATTCTGTCCACCCCTGTCATCCATATCCACAGCATTGATCAGACCGATGTGTTGTCATGATGATGTGGTGACATGCACCTGGCAACGGCAACGACCACAAGAAGGATGGCTCCACGCAAGCAGAAAGGTCCAAGTAGATAGCCTCCACCAACCATGTATACCACAAGGATCACAAAGTCGACATGAAACCTGCAGAACCGGCGATGTGGGAACTCTATTCGCAGCTCCCGTTGGAGCTCCCTCCCGGATAGTAAAGGCCAGGTGATGATTTCCCTGTTTTCACTGCTCCGTTACCCCTCCAATGATTCCATTCCCATGGCACTTTCTGGTTCCTTCAGTGGCTGTGGCCGGACATTGGTATTTGGCCATGGGGCCGCAAAAGCCCTTCAGCGATGTCGTTGAGTTCGTGAGAAACTGGATGTATTATAGCCATACACATAAAGATTTTTTTTTGGTTTTGGGCTTTGGGGAAATATATATATACGTATATACATATATATATATCTAGATACACCACATATTTATACAATTTTATACATAGTTTTACATATATTTGCCACATAAAGTGACATGAAGTTGCGAACTTTGAGCCGGGAATCAACAAGCCAAGGAAATGTGACGGGAATCACAAGCCAACTGGTCGACGAAGGAGTCAGTCAATGCTCTTCCCAAGGGCTCCCTGCCTGCAGGCAGAGCCACTACGATGAGACCTGGCACGATATTTTTGGTAACGGTGGACACCTGAAAAACACCACTGCTTTAGTTTTTAAAATTGGGTTTACTATGGCAATTTCAATTGGTAAAATGATGATGAAGCCCTGATTTTGGGACAAACCATTGACAAAGCCAATTCCTTGGTACTTAGCTTTTACTCCTGGATATTTGACAATGCCTAGCTGATCTTGTTGCCGAGCGGTCCCTTTTGCAGTCGATTCCTTGGTGATCCGACGGTGACTTAGGTGATCTGAAAGGTAGTGCCTCCGCCGCCTTCCTGAGTTTTTTAGGTCTTCCTAAAAGAAATGATTGCGCAAACTGTGTAAACCCCGCTTCAGCTTGTGGGGTGCCTCTACCTGTGCTGTCTTGTCAGCCTCATTAGCCCACAGGTACCGTGGATTCATATCGTGCCACCCAGGAATTGATGACAGAATTTATGGACCGCTTTCAAAGTAAACGGACTATCTATGATCGATGGGGCACCTTTGTCATCTGCGGAAGCTTCTGCGCGTATCTCGGTGACCAGAGTTATTTTTGGCACGCCTTGAACTGAATGAACTTTGAGATTTCATCAATGGAAATGGTGTGTGGAGGGAAACCTTCCTCGAATTTCCATAAACCACAATAAACCATACTACAACAGATAGGCAAAACATGACGCCATACCAGGTCCAAGAAATAGCTCCCAGGATTCCGTTCATAGTGATCCTGAGCCTTTGCTTGCCACGATTGATGAGCTCCAATTTGCTGCTTCGAACTCTGACGCGGCATTCACGGGCCCTGGAAGTCATTGGCTACGCTTCGTTCCCAGGCTCTGATGCAGGGGATGGGCCATAACCATAATTTGATATACTTGATGGTTTATCAATGTTTATCATCACTTTTCTCATTAAAATTACCATAGGGGTCAAAAAACAACATATGACCTCGATGAGGATGTCCAACAACCACTAAAAATTCCAAGCTACTGTATGAACATCATTGAACATTCATAGGGAGTTAAGCTGGAGAAACGGGAATAGGTCATGATAATGATATGTCATGAGTGTATAACCAATAACCAATAACCAATGATGATTTGGTGATGGTGGTTTCAAAATGTTTGTTTCGAATCTTTGGGATGATAATTCTGACGAACATATAGAATCAGGGTGATTGAAACCACCAGATGTGTAAAATCCGCTGTAGATCATTTTCCCTGGGAAGCCGTGGACTTTCCACAAGCATATGTCCAGATCTATCTTAGTTTGCTGGAGGGTAACCTATGCATAAGGCATATGGGGAATCATTTCATGTTTTGTTTGTTTCTTTTGTATACTGGAAACGAATTGACATGACCATTGTGTTCGACAAACTATATACCCTCTGGTTATGACTAACAGTTTGCCATGGTATAGATGGCCCATAGTTATTCCATGGTTTACCTATTAAAAATGGATAAACATGGTGATTTTCCATGGCAAACTGTGAATGTCATAGCCAGATGGTAGGTATTTCCAATATGGAGACAGTTTAACCTTGGTGCCTCCGGAGTCCAGCAAGGTCATTGCTTTGCGGCGTCATTGCAAGGAATCTAGATACTTGGCACGTGGATGTGGCAAACCCCGGCCGAAACATCCGACTTATGACTTCTATTCCACACATATCCAATGGTTTTTTTCCATGTTCTAAATTCATTTATGACTAGCTTATCGTATTGGAGAACACAGTTTGGTTACTTTGTGTGTGTGATGTTTCGACTGTTTTAGGTACGGATCGTTTTCGGTTTGATAAGAACACACATGCAGATGTTGGGTCAGACCTACGGGTGCAGGAGAACTGGGACCTTCTGTTTTGAACTTTCAGACGATTGTGGGAAATTATCAACATGATATCCCTCAAAAATGAATGGGTACAAAATGTTACTGAAACCCAGGATTGATAAACCATCAGTTTACTCATTTGGGCGTACTAATTTTATAGCATTTCTTCTAACATGTATAGTAATTATTAGTAATTGCTAAACATGGCCACATGCTGTTGTGGTGATCCAATATCCTGAAATGACCAAGGATGACATGCCCAGTGCGGCCCAGAACTGGGGCAGGGGTGCAGCTTTCCTCTTCGTGGTGCCTGGGTGCAACTCTGCAGTCCATTGTTGGTTGGTGGTTCTACTGGATGCATATGGATGCATTATAGCCGCAGACTTTGTTCTTTAGTGCCTTTGGGTTTCGACGGATTTGCCACAGAACCCACTACTTTGTACGTACTTTTTTTCAGCGGGGGGATCAGCAAACCACTGTTGGTCAAGAGTTATGCTCAAACATATTAAATATGTATCATCCTCATCCTCATCCCAAATATTATTTGGGATGAGAATGATGAGGATGAGGATGATGCTTTACTTTGTTTCAAATGGGGTTTTTCAACCACCAGACTTAAGTACCGACTTTCCGGTGATTCGCTGACTTGAAAAGGCCAAGGGGAAACTTTTTTCACCGCTGTTGGTTGATGATTAGTTCATGTTTTTTACTACCCAATATATTAGGGATTGTGATTACACATTATGGGAACCCATCTTAACCAGCAAGTATCATGGAATGACGTGAAAACGGGTCATTTCATTGATGCGATCAGAGCTTGCCAGGTGTCTCACATCGTTTTTGGGACGCTTCGACAAAGAGATGAGGGAAGCGAGCCGGTCTGAACTTACAGTGGTTGGTGGTTTCAGATATGAGCAAACTATGGAGAGGTGCATCCCACTTAGTAAATGGATTATAGCCCCAATTCATCTGGAATATATATATATACTGTATAAGGGTTGTATTATATATGGATTATAAACCACTTACTAAGTGGGATGCACATCCAAGTATGGAGAGTATATTCCATTGAAATAGATGACCAAACCCAATATGACACTTGAGGGGGAATCGACTTGAAGCCACCAATCCGATATGTTTTTTTGTCAATTATTATGTTTGTCTTGTCCAAGGTCAAGGTTTATCTAAGGACAGCAGCCCAATCATTTCAACGGCATGGACCAAAATCATAGCCATTCAGCCAAGGTAAGCGCTTCTTGCTAGAGTGGCTTAGGGCGTGCAATGCAGTTGCTTTGATGTGCAAGTTCATGATTTGCTCTGCATGGTTCTTGATGGTTTGACTGTATCATGTCGCTTCACAGTCAGGAAAGATGTTGGAAACAACAATAGAACCCGAATGGCTCACGAGGAGTTTTTGGTGAAAACATGTGTTTGCTGTTTTGAATTTGAAGTTCAGCTGTCCGCTGCACTTCATATTTGCTGCATGTTCTGCGCACAAACAACCTGATCAACCTGCGAATCAGCTCAAAGCGAATACCATCGAATACCAAAGTGGCTCTTGCACCGCATTTCTCACCTACGACTTCTCTTGTCGAAGCAATCACTTGAATGGCGCGTGTTTTTTGTTGCCCGTGCGAGGCTTTGTCACCGGTCTTTTTAAGTGCTCATTTGCATGCGCTGGTTTGGGCAGCCGCTGCAAAAGTACACCAGGACGCTGTGTTAATCATGTTATAAATCTCCAACGAATTTTACAGGACAATTATGCAAGTGTATTGTCATGATTTGTCATGATATGTATACACGCATACATACACATACTATATATTTACTATTATTTACTATAGAACATGGTTTATTATACAGTTACAGGATCATACCTGGTTGGTGGTTTCAAACATTTTTTTCCATAATATATCTGCCCAAATTATAACGACGTCACCTGACGTCACCCCAGAAATCGACCTAAGCCACTGAATTAAGGATACTAAGGGTTTTAAAGTGTCCTCATTCACCCGCAATGGA